AACCAAAAGCTCTTTTTGCTCCGTTGAGTGTGGTGAATTTCTTCGTTTCTTAACGTCTCGTTGTTATTGTTGCTGTTGGCTTAACACATTTCAAGTTATTTTTTTGCCAAAAAATGTATGCGATCGTTATTTCCGTACTTTTTGCTGGCTGCCGCATTCAGTGTTAATATAGTCTTAGAGATAAGCAGACGTGTTTTTACTGGATGGCTGGAAATTGAAAGCAAGCAAGCAAAAATTCATACAACGCGCACGCATAGCAAAGAAAGAAAATAAAAGAGATTGAATAATTTTTTATTTTGTTGAAAAAAGAAGGAGGAATTTTCTAAAAGAATTTTTGTGTGAAAAAATAATACCAGAAAGATAAAAAAACTATAGATTTTTGTGCGTGATAAGAAGCAGCAGCGGACACCAGGCAAGCAAGGAGACGCTTGCTTGCCTTATTTTTGGAAACATTTTTGTTACGAAAACAACAAGTATAAAATCTTTGACCTTTTGTCTTGCTAATCTTTTCACATAACTTTCTTTTACCACCATCGACACAGAGAACCAAACCAAAGGAGAAAAACAAACGAGACGGAACAGAAGAAAGTTGGGATTTTTAAATCCTTAGAACAACGGCTGTGATATCAATCATACTCGCCTGCTTTGTGGATTACCAAGGCGTATGATTGATTTGTTCTATTATTCAAGGCGGAACAAGCGGAACTACTGTCTTACGTTTAGAGGCATACTTGTAGCATTTTTGTTGGCTATAATCCCAGAGCACACTCCAGCCTTTTATTCATTCAAAAGAAGGTTGAGTAGTTGTGCCGAAGCTGAGCTAAACCAAACTCAGGCGTCTCCATTTCAACCACACATACAACCTACGTTTTTTATTGTAAAATCCTTGTCGCAAGGAATTTATTAAGCCAAAAGACGTCTATAGAAAAAGGTGGGTTCCACTGCGTAATGTCGCAGAACCGTAGAGAGACCAGCTGCGAAGCTGGCTTTCTAGAAAATCGCATTAAGTCATCTTTTATTTTCTACGCTCGCTCGTTTTGTGAATATCGGGTCTGACTTCATTTAATATTTATAATTCGTTCGCAAGAAGCACAAGCGGCGTCACACAAAACAATAGCGGCCGCGGCGGCTATGTTAACAGCAAGTGATTAACAAAATTATAAAAACGAGTTGAAAACTAAATGCAAAAACAAGACAAAATAACTCTACAACAACTGAATATGTATGCCTGACTATTTATTTGAGAGGAGGTCGGTCGGTCGGTCATTTACTTTCTGGCAATGCCAAAAAAAAGAAAAAATATTTTAAGCATTAATGCTAAATGAAACGAAGTCAATTCGCCTGACTTTGGCTGTAGCTGTTTTGCCTTTGCATTTTCAGTTGTTGTTATTTTGGTTTAAGAAAATTCTTAAATCCCAAGTCCGTCCCCCCTTCAAGAGTTTTCCTTCTCAAAAGAGTTTTGTGTAGTTTCGTTCGAAGCGGTTTGGCTGGCTGGTTGTCGCCTAGTCGTAAGTCAAATAACACAACAATTGACCTAAATTTGTTGCCGCAGATATATTTCTTTTCGGCATTTCTTTTTTTTTTTTGCCATTTAGGTGCCATTCACTTACAAAATAAAAACAACGACTACAGATTTGGTTGCCTGGCATTGCTTTCTTGTGTAGTTGCCTATCGAAATGGCTGTCTGGTTGGCTATATGCAAACTGCGCAAAAGTCATAAAATCAAACAAAATGTGAAAAAAATGATGTCTGCCGCCTGCCGGTTTGTGAATGAAGGAGTCAAACGAAGTAGCCCAAAATTCGTTGAGTTTCGAAACCCAACTAAAGAAACTTTCATTGCTAATAATCTGTTTGCAATAATGCAATTTATCAAATATTTAAAATGAACCTTTCGTTTTTTTTTTTTGGTTAATAGTCTTGAAGACTTCAAAAAACCAACCATGGCTAAAATGTTTGCAAGCAACATGCTAATAAATCTTTTAATTTTCTAACATGAACGACATGTTAATGGCCGCTTGTGAAAGTTAAATTAAAATTTAATTTTCTTTATGATTATAAAAATGACAGAAAAAATCAAAACTTTGTAAAATATTAGTCATTTTTTTTTTGAAATGTTAATATGCAATGTATAGAAATGTATACATAATTGATTGCACCATAAATTATAGTTGTGCTTACTGTAAAAATTTTTACCAAAACTATTTCTTTTGAATGCAGAAAAATAATTTATCAAATTGCTTGACAAATAATGACAGCCAAAAGATCACTTTTCACCAGAGGAAAATGTTTTTGTTTAGTTTCCCCTTTCAAGGTTTGAAATTCCAAACATTTATTTTTAAATATTCAAAGGGGAACCAGTAAAACACTCAAACAAAAACAATTGTCATAAATTCTCTTCACACTAAATTAACACAAATATTCAATAGTGCTAATCCTTTCTGGTTTCCAAATTTTTCTTCTCAACGAAATCATGTGTGCAGACATATTACGCTGTTTTATTGTTATTAATCTAGATTGAGTTGTGTGTTTTTGTTTTTGATTTGTATTTGTATTATGAGAATTAAAAAAAATACAATAACAATAGATTTTTGGCTTCTTTCCAATTGGAAAATTTCTTCATAACTAAATTTTGTTTCATATTTGGCTAATTTCATCATGGTGCCTGGCCTCAGGACAAACACACGTCACAAGACATCATCATCGGCGAGGCAACGTGACATTAATATTTTCATCTTAAAAATATATATACGTATTTGTATATGCATCATTCAGCTACCACTGTATATAAATACTACGAAATTAATTTCACTTTCTTCTGATATTTTTTTTATATACAATTTTGTTTATTCATTTATTTATTTTTTTTTGCTAACTTGTCCAAACAAGGTGTGTCAGCTAGTCAATTAAAAAGGCAGCAAATCAACTGAAACTCAAAATAGAATGACATTAAATGATGATGATTCTTGCCTTTCAAAAATTCCAATATTCAAATTTTATTTGGTTTTTCGAACCCATTGATTCATAGCAGAAAACAATGTTTGCCAAATTTGCATTTTTTGTTTCATTTATCATTTGCAAAGTAACCTTTTTTATTTTATTCATAACGCCTTTAAGACATTTTTGGCAGTGACGTCACTCCTAAAATTAAAAAAAAAAACATTTTTTTAAAACTATGTAGAGTGTGTATGTTCGTTTTTTTGGTACGTTTTCAAATTTAACAATTCTCATAAAACGCATATCAAAATAAAAACACAACAGTGAAACAAATTAAAATAAAAAAATACCGAAATTATCTAAAAATAATCGTAAAAGCACACTACACATTTAAACACATACACACACGCACACACAATTATGTTGGGGCATGGCGTTAGAAAATGAGGCCGGCATTTTTGTTGCTATAATTTTGTTGTTGTTTTCATTCAAGCATTTTCCCAATAGAAACAAATGAATATCAAAGCAACAAGAGATTTCAAAACACCTTGTCAGTCACAGAAATGGGAATCTCTTTTATACAAAAAAAGGCTGTTTTCTCAACCGCTGAATATTTCTTCGGAAAACTTAAGAGAATATCAGATGAGAAACATTTTCTCAAACACATTTCCCGTTGTCAAATATACTCTGTATAGCAGCTACTAAGAGAAAGACGATGCGTTTATGGCGAAGTATCCTCCGTCGCCAAATTTAAAATCAAATAATATCGTACAAAAATATAAACAATAATCACTTCCGCTACTTCATATTAGTAAACAATTATAATTTGATTTGTAAACCACATCTACATTTTCGAATACCCTTGTGATTCGCAAACAACATTCCTCTCACCTAATCCATTTGGAAATTAAAATAAACAGACTAATTGTTCCACATTAGTGTCAACCTGTTAAGATATTCTCATCTCTATTCTCCACGATTCAATGATAAAGAAGAGAATACGCTTTTCATGGAATATTTATGAATTATTATTCTACCCGAAATACATTCAACAATTCGAAGGCTGATCTCCCTCCTCCACATGATCAAGAGACCGATCTATCGGTGCGCCATTGGCAAAACAAAAGACATTGAAGGCTCTTCGAATTAATTCGGTATAAGAGTTCCGACCGAACATCATATGCCATGCCACCACCATTCATTTGTTCGCCCTAACATGGCCAACAACGTTAGCCATTGGCGCATGTGTCTGTCGTGCTCTCTCCCTCTCTTCTCTATTGACCGTGATGAATGAATCAATTCAATGTTCGAATTTTCGAATTCGAATATTCTTTTTGTGGATGATGATCTGATGGCTGGCGGCCTGCTGCTTGGCCCTTGTGTGCGAAATATTGCGTTGTTCACTTTGAGTAAAAACTTGTAGCTAAACAGCCGCATTTACTTTTTCCACGGCAATCTTCCCAGCCTTTTTGAGAGCTCTCTTGTGTGGATACAAAAGAAAAACAGAATTTTATTGAAAACCAAAAAAAAAAAAAAATACAATAATAATAAATAATAACAAAAACAAGCAATAGCAATTGTTTTACATATATGCAATATATAGTATACACATATATGTGTAGCAAACAGCGAATAATACTTAATAATACAACAGCCGAACGAAATAAACACGTCAAAATTTCAACAGTTCAAGAAATAAACCAAACAATAAGAACACCACATTGCTTGGGCCTATAGTGTGCTGCGGCTAAAATAATATAACCGCCACACCAGCCACCTCCGCCCCTCCTCATCGACGAGTTGTCTACAAAGTAGGAACAAAAAACCGCCAAGCTGATATTCTTCACCAAACGGGCAGCGGTGATGACTACGTCATTGACTACAAAAAGAATATAGATTTGGAAGCCATTTGGAAATACCATTATATTTGTTGTCGTTGTTGTTCTTGCTTTGAGTATAGCAGAACCGCGTGCTTGGATACTACAGCCAAGCAAAATAGAAATTCTATCAATTGTGTCATTTAATATTTGCATTTATTTCAATATTTTTTGTTAACTAATTTTCAGATTGAACGACTCTTTGCACGATAAGGATCGTCAGGTTGGTCGTGACTTAGAAGAAATCGAGACCATCTTCCATAAAATCTCTACACTACAAGACAAATTCAATACCTTGTTGGAGGAAATCCAGGGTGTTCATGCATTTGACGAGAATATTGCCAAAATCGAAAAACAATTGGAGAATTTGGATAGTGAAGTCAAGAAGACCGTTAAAGAAAGCCAGGACCTAGTCAGTACAACAAAGGAGTTGTACTTGAAGAAACAAAATCTCGTACCCAGTGATATCGATCAAGAGTTTACCGCCCTCGAACTGCTATCGGAACGAGTTCAAGGCAACATGGAGTCGAAACAGAAGGAATTCAAACGTGCCAAAACCGTACGCACAGACTATCTGGCCGGTGTCGACGAAATACAGAAATGGCTAATGCAGGCGGAAATAGAGGTGCAAGACCGCACCCTGGCACCGGCACAAATGAAGGAATTGTTGCATCGCATTAATCAAGAAATCACCGGCATTTACGAACGCTTCACAATGGTAAAGACCAACGGCCAATTGATCATCGACAACTGTCGCAGCAGTGATGAAAAATTGCTGGTACAGACCACAATCGATCAGCTGGCCCAACAGCTGGGACAAGTCCGTTCCTGGTTGGATGAAAAGAAACAACAAGTTGGTGATAGTTTAGATGCCTGGACCCGCTTTATGAATCTGTATCAGATAGTTATGGCCTGGGTGGCCGAAAAACGTGTATTCCTGGAACAAAGTATTGAACTGAAGACCCTGTCGGAGGCTCGTAGTAAACTCAACGATTATGTGACGGCTGTGAAGAGTATTAAACCCATTGTCAAACATTTAAGTGAAATGGACAAGGAATTGGAACACATTGGTCAGGTGACAACAGTTGGCGATCTCAAGGATAAACTGCAAGAAGCCGAGGATGCGAAGGTTGCTGTGGAAGCAGTATTGCTAGAGAGGGTAGGCTGTTGCAACAAACACACACACACACAAACTTGGTTCAACCTATTGGCGGGATAATTTAACGTCAACAACGTCTTTTTCATATTTCATTGCAGAACTCATTGCTACAAGAAGCCTGCGAAGAATGGGATCAATGTGAACGTAAAATTAAGGATATACGCAGCTGGATAGAAAAAACCAAACAGTCTTTGGAATCGCCACAACACAAAAAGAAACCCCTTAGGGATCAGTTGGGCTATTGCGAGAAGACAATGGCCGATATTAATGTACAGAAGACGAAATTAAGACTGTCTATTGAAAAATTGGAGGTAGGTTGTGGACAAATGATCCTCGAACAGCTACCACGTATTTGGAAATGTAACATTTGACTCATCTCAAAATCTTCCCCGTTTTCCCTTTGCCTGTCTTTTCTTTGCTTGTCTGATTTCTTTTAGGTCCACTTTAAAAACGGTATGGGTGGAGATCCACGTCTGAGCGAAAATGTTGATGATTTGTTAAAGGTTCTGGATAGCTTGGCTGGTCTGGTGAAAACCACCAGTTCTGGCTTGGAAGAAACCCTGCAACAAATCGATGTATATCAACAACAAATGCAAACATTGAGGCAAAAGATCATTCAAGAGGAACAACAGTTGAGGCTGGTCATGGCACCCACATATCTGCCACATGATCGTGAGCGTGCACTGGCCGAGCAACAGGTACGTACCGTTTTATTTGCTACCATTTTTCCTTTTGTATTAGAAGAAAGTTAGGCAAATTTAGGCGCAATTTCCCCCATGAAAAGGAAACAAATGAAACCACAAAAAAAGTTAAAAATCTCCTAGGTATTTAGGGATAATCATCATACTCATTACAATTTATCAACAGACATCCATCTGTGTTACATTTGCATTTAATGTTTTAGTTTAGTTTGGAGCTCTCAACCCTAATGGCAATGAGTTATGGCTCTTTGTTACTAAACTAACATTTAATGATGAAACGCTCAGAAATCTAAATAACCCAGCAAACAGTATTACAGTTATAACAACGAATACTAAAGTGACACCTAAAAGAGAACAGTTCGTTGCACGGTGGCTGCCTTGAAATGAAGCAGAAGAACAATTTGTTAGATTTTGTTCGTTAATAAAAAAATATTTTTCGTTTTCTTTTTTTTCCTTTAATTTTAATTTTAGTTTCAATTTTGAGTTTGCTATGTGTTAGTTTTTTTTTTTTGTTTTGTTGAGTTGCGTCTTCATCAGCAGCCTTCGTATTCATAATTTCACTAATATTTTGTCATTTAAAATCATGACAAAAGATTTTGTGCGCCCCGATCATGGTCATGAACCTAAACATCTCTTTTGCTATTCACAGCAACAAAAACTCAGACTCATAAGCATTCATACATACATATGCGATCATTGTCATAATATATTACAACATTTTTCATGTGAATATCTAACAAATCATCCAGAATCATTGTCATCGAAAACACACACACACTCATTCACTCACACAATGTTCACAACTACCTCCATACATTTGAAACAAAAAAGAAAGAAAAAAACTTTAGAATTGACTGGAATTGATATACCTTCAAAAATGTTGTTGTCACGTGGCACAATTCGTCTTTAAGAAAACTAGACCATTTTCCTCATGTGTATCCAGAAATATCCCGTGACAACAAGTTGCAAGTTTTTTGTTGTTCTTGTAAGGCCATGAAGTAATATTTAGGATTTCTTATTGATGAGTGTGCCTTTTTGTTTAGTTTAAAAATATAATTTAACCTCCAACAAAACTACATGTACACAAATGTGTATATGTGTATACACACATACATATTTTTAATAGCCATAGTGCCAGAAATACAATTTGTGTATATTTTTATACAAACACTCAGTCCGACTACATACATATATATAGATATAGATATGTACATTTAACTTTATTTAGGTTGAGTTAGAAAAAATCGAAATGAGGAACCATTTTCTGATTTGCTATGAAAGAAAATCTATGAAATGACTTGTATTTGTATTTATTGTATTTTACAGTTGAACCTGGTTATAATGAATAGCGAAATTTCGTAATACGTACAGTTGTATATATTGTAATATTGGAAAACAAATATTACAATATATAACATATTCAAAATTAAAAAAATAATAATAATAAATAAATGATCTCATTAAATACACTATAACCATGTTCAACTGCCTACAGTATTTTTAGTTATTCTATTTAAAATATTAGTTTAAGTTATATTTGTATTTATATATACTATTATTGCAAGAATTTTGCAATTGAAGGGTAAGTCATTTCCAGTTGTTTTTTTTTTTTGTTTCTTATGACAAAATAATTAACTCTAGTAATTTTAAAAAGAATCAATATGATTAGATTTGAAAGAAGAAGAAAGGAAAATAAATTTCGAGAATAAAAAGAAAAACGCTCACCCACAAACATTTCACCCCGTCACCCCGTTACCCAGCAAAAATCATACACACAAATCACCATTTCGTATTAGAACTGATTTGTCTATCATATAATATTTGTTTTCAAAGAAGGTCTTGGATTGCCGGCATTTCAGTATGACAACTATTAACCTATTTTTTGGTTGTTGTTCTGGGATTCGAGTCCGGGTCTTTCTTTCGCATATGTATCTCACCTTCTCACCGTTCCATATCATTACTCGTGGCTTTGGTAATTATTCGAATTGTTGGTAGTTTGTCATCTGCAATGAACGGACACATAGTCACATTCCACTACAATAACATTTATCATTAGCTTAATTTGTTTATTATTTTGGAAATATGGTATTATAATAATACATAATAATATGATTTCACAATGTCTCTCTTTTATTTTATTTGTCATTTGTATGGGTTTTATGGTTACTCTATCTATCTCTATCTCTTGTTTTAAAATTGTACATTATTTTTGTTGGTATTTGGTTTTTATTTGACATAAAAATTTTCTCTTTTTTCTTTTATCGACATTATCATAAAAAAAACAAACAAAAAACTACATTCCAAAATCAAATTCCATCCACATTTAAACAAATTCCGGTGTTGTTGCTCTACTCTGCTCTTAAACGGTATTGGTATAAACAACATAATATTTTTGCTCTTGCTCGCGCTCTCTTACATGATATATTGTCACACACTCTGTCGCTCACTAATTACAAATTACACAACTTAATTTTGCTAATAATCTGTCTGATCTTGTGGACTTCTTAACTTCTAACATAACCCGTCCCGCTCATTTTCAACATTTTTGTGCTTTATTTTAACTCTCTAATGCTCTCCTCCACTCTCATATATAACTTGTGTATTTCAAAAAATAATATTACTGAAATGATTGCCTTCTTCTTTGTCGGGTATACCTTTTGAATATTTGCTTTTATTCTCCTATATAAATATCAAACATACACACACATCCATAACACATAAACATACACACACATGCATTTACACACAACCCCACTTGTCTCGAAACTCTTGTCCCACCGAATAGGCGTGTCGAGAACGTGTCAAAAATCTCCACTCGAAAATAACCTCCCGAAATGAGCGTATTAAACTAATGATACATCGCGGTACTCCAGATGAGACCCTCTTAGAATTATAAAATTTTGTAATTGTTTACCTTGTCCTACCCTTATCCGCAACATAGGTTTAAGTCACTCATATGATTAAGCAGCCACCGCCACACTAGAGAGGAGCCGTGAGAAGGGCAAAAAGTGTTGAGTGTTTTTGTACTTTTCTCCCATACATTTATTTACAACAAAAACATTCCATTGATTGCCCTCTCCCCGCTCCCTCTATACCTTATATAGCTTATTTATTATAGTTTATATATAATTTATTAAAAGGAACATGACCCTCAGAAAATCTAAGAAGCAAAACAAATCATAAAAAATAAAAAAAGAATTTTAATTTTTAATAAAATAGTTTTCTTTCACAAACCCAAATATTCTGCAGACGTGTCGCAAGGTGTCTTTGTAGGCATTTATGTTTTTGTTAGGTTAGGTTTCTTTGTATACCCCAACATAACTATTTTCCACAAAACCTAACGTTTTTGGCAAATTTCTCCCATATTGTTTTTTATTGCAACTGACCAGGCTCTACGTGCATCCATTGAAGATATGCAAGAAAGATATGATGGGGTTGCCGCTTTGTCATATAAACTGGACCCACATTCGGTGGTCGCAACATCATCGTCCGTTTCCATGATGTTGAAACCCTCAAAGATAGGTCTGACTTATGCCGAGGTACTTACCGGTCAATCTTCGCCCGAATCAGATAAAAGTCATATTAGCCCTGTGTCCCTGTCAAAAACGCCCGTACAAATTGTAAGAGAAACACCCGAGACAAATGTGGACACCACAACGGAAGAATATGTCGACGAACAGGGCATTAAGCATAGAATAACCACCACCACGACGAAGACCACTAGAACGACCACCAGCTTATCCTCATCAAGACAAGATCGAAAAAAGGCTCGTGATAATAGAGGTAAACATAACGCTTTAACTACAATCACCACCACCGATACAACCGACAATGTGCCACAACCTCAAACAGTTGCGATTAGAGAACCTGAAGAGCAGGTTGAGTTATCGGTAACTGAAACAGTTCCTAGCACCACCACTTCTGTAAAGTCTGAGGAATTTTTGCACCACGAACGTAGTAGAACTCAACCGCAGGTCGGTAAGCCACAACTGCGTCCACCCAGAGAACAACGAAGAGGGCGTTCTCCTAGAAGAAGACAACAGCATGCCTCAGAAACAAGTGGTGTTGAACCACAATTGCAACACCAAGAAACCCCTGAGGAACACCGAACTTTCCATTCGACTACCACCACCACCACTATGACCACTGCTCAATTGACCTTGCCCCCGGCCGAAGATAGAACTCGTTCAAAAAGTCCCATGTGGACACCAGGCTCAACATCATATGCAGAGGTACTACGGGGCATTGAATTGGAAAGACAAAGACAGGCATCTCTGAAGGCAGCTCAGCAGCAAAGAAAATTGAACAGAGTGAACGAGCAAAGTCAGACGGTTTCCCAGACTAGTGATCAAAATCACGCCACTACTACCACGACCACAACAACCTCGGAAACCATCATGGTTCCTATTCAAGCGGTTCCGGAAGTGGTGCAGGCGCCACCTCAAGAAACGCAACCCCCAATTCAACAGGTTAGCGAGGTTGTTGCTCCGGACAACACATATTACACAGAGAATATCAACGAAACATCTAATTACGCCCACACTCAGGAGGCTGTAGCTACGCAACCCGAGCCGCAACAAACCACAAACTCTGTTAGCTACGTAAGTACTTACAACGCCAACATTCCCATGACGGCTGAGGAGATTCAGGCTACATATTTACAACCGGATCCCCAACTATATCAGTCCATGTATGAAAACCTACAGGACAGCGAACAATGGGGATATGTGGCCCAAACCGCGCCAGTGCAACAGCCATCAACCACAGATGCCTTCTACGAACAAATGATGCAAGTGCAATATACCCAACCTGCAACCATACAGACAGCCTACACCGGCTACCAATACCCCACACAGGCCACACAATATCAGTTGGTTACTGCCGGCTATTATCAGCCAGCACAACAACCATCTGACCAGACCTATCAGAACTTGTACAATACCAGTGAACAGCTCTACTACCAACAGCCGGGCACACAGGACTACCAGCAATACATGTATGAAGCACCAGTTGCCCAGCAACTGTCAGAACCCCAACAAAGCCAGCCTCAACAACAGCAACAAACTGTCCAATACAGCACGATGGACACCCTGTCCAGTGTCGCTACCACACTAGCCTCAATGATACAGCAGCAACAACAGACCACTGTTACCTCCACCACAACAATACAAACCACAACCATACAAACTAACCAACAGCCGGAACAAACGGCACCCACACTGTTGGAACCTCAAGAAATTCAGGTTGAAGAACCCATACCCGACCTGACTTTCGGTCAGTTCGATATAAATGAAATTGAAAGTATACCGCAAGAAAGTATACCCGCACAGCCGCCAACACCAGTAGCTGAGACTGCTCAGCCAGCTGAAGAGATCAGCCATGAAACAGCTGCTCCAGCAGCGCAATTGCCAACGGCTACTACTCGCCGTGAAGAGTACATCACATATGTCCATGAGACAACATTGCCACAACAACAACAAGCTCAAGTTGTGGAAGCAACAAAACCGCAAGTGGCCGGAACCACATATGCCGAAGTTTTATTCGGCCTAAGACATGGTCAGAATTTCCAGCCATCCAGTCATCAACCCGCCCATGTCAAAGTTACCGCTGCACCATCCAGTGTAAGCGTACAAACCCCTGTAAATAATCAGACAACCAAAACGGAAACTACGACGACAACAACGACAAAGACGACGACTCTAACGAAACCGCAAGCAAACAAATTCAAAGATCAGAGATTCAAGTCTCCACGCGACGAAAGTCGCACCAAGAGACAAAAACTAATGGAAGAACCACAGATCGGGGCAGTAAATGTTTACGGAGAGACCACAACAGCTGAAGCTAGTCTCAAGCCACAAAAGACTACGCAGCGTCATGCTGCAGCTCCAGCCAGTGTGGAAACATTTGATGCACCCAAACAACAGCCTGTGAGGAAAACAAGAAGATCTCGAGAAGAAAAACCCGTCTCCTTGCAAGACTTTATCAATTTTGAGAAACAACACTCGACGAGTACGACGACAACGACGAAACCTAACTCAGAACCCAAAAAAGACAAAAAGGAAGTACTCCCCACCAAGAAGAAATCCAAAGAAGAAAAATCTCCCCCCAGTGAGAAGAAGCCACTATTGGCTGACATTGTTAGAGAACAAAAACCGGCAAAAGACATAAAAACTAAGAAGGAAGTATCTGAAGTAAAGCACGAGAAAGAACTTCCAGCACAGAAAGACAAACCCGTTAAGTCGCAGGAACCGAAAAAGCCGGAAGACGGCAATAAGAAACCCCCAATTGTTGAGGTGATCGAAACTTCAAACACAAATGTCCAATTTATTGATTCCGAACAAAAGCACAACGTAAGCAACAACAAAAAAGACAAAAAACCGAAGAAGAAGCCAAGTGTACAGGAGCCAAAGGAAGCAGAGCTTAAAGAAGAAGTGAAAGCTGAACCAGTAAAGGATAAACCCGAAGAAGAGAAACATCAGGTTAAAGAACAGCTTTCCAAGAAATCGAAGAAGGGAAAGAAATCTTCCGAGCAATCCAAAACTTCCACAGAAACCGTAGATACAACCACGACAGAAACTATGGAAGTTGCTGCGCCACAAATTGCAACCTACGAAAGCGAACCTCAGATTACCGAGAATGTGACCTCAAAGACAACCACTCTGGAATCCGGAGGCATTCTCACAACCACAACTGTAACCAAATGCATTACTAAGAGAATTGTTAAAATAATTGTGGATGGCAAAGAACAAATAGTAGAAGAAGAAGTTGTAGATGAGGCTCCACAGGAAAATATAGTTGTCGAACAGATCGACTTGCCAAGCCACGGTGAAAATCTTCCCAATTTTGATGTTTCAAAGACCACCTTGAAAACGGATGGCACTGTTACCAAGACCGTCATCAAGAAAACCAAGAGAATCGTTAAGACTATAACGGAGAACGGCGAAGAATTGGTTCAGGAAATCGATGAGGATGAACCAGAAATTCATCGGGAAGTTGTACAATTGCCCAGCACTGAGGAAACCACAATTGTTACAAAGCAGAGTAGGACAACGGAAAAACCTTTTGAGGCACCGCTACAACCATTCGACCAAAAAGAAAAGATTGAAACTGTTCAGGAAGCCATAGTGGAGATCCAGTCGGAATTAGTAGGAAAAGAAACTGAGACGAATATAAAATCCGAGGAAACAATTGGTAATTCAGATAAGATGGAAACACTCGAAAAGCCGAAGGGTAAAAAATCCAAGAAGGATAAGAAAATCTTAGAAGAACCTAAAGTCTCAGAACCAGTTAAAGACGTTCCCGAAAGTGAAATAAAACCAAAAATAGAGGAAACTGTCATTACGAGTGTGGCCGATGTACAAACACAGGAGAAGGTCAATGATATTCCCGTAGCTGAAGAAACAAAATCATCGAAGTCAAAGAACAAGAAATCAAAGAAAGACAAAAAGTCCTCTGTTGAAACAAATGTTAAAGAATCGGTTAGCTCTACTGCAGCTACTGAAGTCGTGACCACTGTAACGACTACATTTACTTCGAATAACGAAATAACGGAGAAGGAACGTTCCGAACCTACTGAAGAGAAATCTGAAATATCCACAGAATCTCAAACTGCTGAATTCGTAGAGGAGAGAACAACAACAACCGATATTGAAGAAATCAATATTTCCGAAACAAAGGAACCAGCATTTGTTGTAACTCTCACAGATCAAGATGACGTAAAGCAGAAAAAGTCTAGGAAGGATAAAAAGAAATCCAAAGAAACCACAGAAAGGCAAACCGTAGCTGGAAATGTTACGATTCCAGATGAACAACAGAATGTTGTTGATTCTCAGAAACCCACTGAAAGTGAAACACCTACAGTTGTTGAGTCGCAGGACAAACCTCAAGACATATATTCTGTTCCTCTGCAGCCCATGCCATCTATCGAAGACAAACAGCAACCAGAAATTCAAGAATTGATCACAGAGGAACCTCTTACACCAAAGGAAGAAGTTTCTGTAGAAGTGACAAAGGAAACAGATTTCGTCGATCATCAGATCGAAACCAATGAAAGTGTATCAGAAATAACTTCAACCACCATTACCACTACTTATGAAGAAAAGCTAGTTTCGGAAACTGCTGATGAGAACAAAGTAGAACTCGTGGAAGAACCCCTAAGGGAAACTGTTAGCAAATCGATTGTGGACGAGACCGTTACAAAGAAGGAAGTTGTATCTGAAACGATACTAACTACTAATACGACTACTATTGAATCGGATGAAACGACTGTGGCTCAAATTTCAGATATTATAGAGCAATCTGTAGACGAACACGTCACGGAAAGTGATACAACTCCAATTGAGCCTCAAGAAACCTCACTGCCGGAAACAAGAGAATGCAATTTGGAATCAAAACAAACATCAGATATTCCAAAATCGCCTTACTCTGTTCCATTGCAACCAATTGATGATTCCGCTCAAATTATACAAGTTGTAGAAATAATTTCGGAACCAGAAGTTGTATCAACAGAAGTCATTGTTGATACACTCAAGAGAACACTGGAGGCTGCTATGGAACAATCCACAGAATTCCCTCAACAACCGCAACCTGCCAACGAAGGAACGCAAATTCAAGTAGATTCTCGTGTTGTCACTGAACCTCAAGAAATCAGCATTGCATCTGAGCATCTAGCGGAACAAAGAGCTACACAGCCTGTTACTTTGGAGACTATCGATGTACCTACTACCACCACTGTTACACAGGTGGTACAAGGTGGCACCATTACTAGAACCTTGACAACCATTACCAAACGCGTCATCAAACGTATTACTGAAGATGGTGAAGAAATTATCGAAGAAGTTTCCGACGATGAACCACAAGTGGTACAAGATGTAACTGAGTTGCCCGTTACTGTTCAAACTTCAGTGTCGCCAGTTCCATTTGAACAGGTCGCTGATTCGGACTCGACTTCCACAATGACATCCCAAATTATACGCGGTGGTTCCGTTACGCGAACCCTAACCACAATCACCAAACGTATTGTTAAGCGCATCAATGAAAATGGTGAAGAAATCATCGAGGAAATTTTCGATGAGGAGCCAGTGGTCAAGCAAGAAGTAATGGAATTGCCTACAAAAACTGAAATGTATGTCTCGTCTTCCGAACCTTCAGAAGACAACAACAAACCGAAGGTGGATATTCATGATAAACAGACTCCACCCACTGGCGCTACAGCCCAGATTGTGCAAGGTGGTACCATAACTCGAACACTTACAACCATTACGAAACGCATTGTTAAGCGCATCAATGAAAATGGCGAGGAAGTTGTTGAAGAAGTGTTTGATGAGGAGCCTGTAGTTACCCAAGAAGTTTCAGAACTGCCAACTACCACTCAAACCACAATCGTTTATGAGGACCCATCGGAAGAACCGGAGCACCAGACTACTACGACAATAATGTCAGAGCCTGTTACCACTACTACTTCACAGAAAATTCAAGGTGGAACAATAACCAGAACATTGACCACCATCACCAAGCGCATAATCAAGAGAATCAATGAACATGGTGAAGAAATAACCGAAGAAGTTGTCGATGAAGAACCCATAGTTAAACAGGAAGTCACTGAGTTGCCAACTAAGACGGAAACAACAGTGATAACAAAACCTGCAACTGATTCCCCCAAAGAAGTGGAGGAAGATAGCCCCGTGACCGGAGATCAGACCGTGACTAAAACCACCAAAACAACCACGAAACGTATTACTAAGCGTATCACCGATAAGGCAGAAGAACCAATGGCCGAAAAGCTCTTCGAAGCACCTCTGCAACCCCTGTCTGAGCAGACGGATGTTGAAGAACAACCACCAAAAGTAACAGAGCCCCTGACCGAAACAAGTGCAATATTCCCAACCACGGACGAACCCCAAAATGAAGGCGGTGTGGTAAAGACCACAATTATCCGCACCACCAAAAAGATCAAGAAAATTAAGAACGACGAAAATCGCGAAACAGAGGATGTCACCACAACAGCTCAATCTGCTGTAGTTACTCCAGTTGACGTAGTTGAGGCACCGAAGTCTGAAGTTGCAACTGAGAATGAACCGGAAAGCGTTGTTGAAAAATTGGTGGAAACTGAGCCCAGTCAAGAAGTTCCCGGCGAGCCACTGGACGTTGATGGCGAAGTCATTAAGAAAACAATTGTACGCACTACGAAGATAGTTAAGAAGATTACACAGAATTCGGAAAGCGAGTTGGCATCCTTTGAGGATAATGTATCAGGCAGCAACGAATTCCCAGTTGTAGTAACCGGAACGGAGCAAGAACCAACTAAAACGGCCCTTGAATCTGTTCAAGCCTTGCAACCGGAGGAAGCTGGTGGTGTGGTCAAAACTACAACTATCCGCACAACCAAGATTGTCAAACGTAAATCACAAGACACAGAGACTTCAGAAGACATGTCAGTTTCCTCTCAAGAGTCTGAAACCACCGCCCCTACCATTATAGAAGAACCAAGTGAAACAATGAGCGTAACCACCAATCAGTTGGATGGTGCGATTATCAAAACCACCACAATACGTACGATGCGTATTGTCAAGAAAATTTCACAGGACGGTCGTGTTGTTATGGAAGAAACGGACGAAACTCCCGAAGATAACGTAGTTGTCAAGTCGACCATTGAAATGCCCGACATTAGTGCCACCAGCACCGAGACTGACAAGACAGTATCCTCATCAACGTCTATTTCACGCAGTAGCAGTATTAGTAGCAATACTAAGTTGTTAGAAGCAACCAGTACCCAACCGCAGGAAATAGTTCTAAGTGGCTTAGAGGAAGTCGCCAAGTCTTCCGACAACTCTGCCACTGGTGTACGCGTTGTAGGAATAGAGACAGTAGCTTTGCCCATGACATCCAAACCGACCTCAACCACAACTCAAACACATCAATCACTAAACACAGACAGTCAAGACAGGTCCACTATCACTACCACAACCACCACCACCAAAATTACCTCGAAACACACCGCTCTTTCAATGGCTCAAAGATGTAGCTTTGAATCAGAAGATGGTAAAAATGTAGTCTATGTAGGTGATGGCATCGATGGCAAGTATCCACCCGGTAGCGTACAGAAAATTTCCCTCATCACGCATGAGGAGAAACACAAGACACCCATAGTTAAGATGCATTTAGATTTCCCCGAAGTCAGCCTTCGAGTCACCGAAACTGTAACCGAAAACTTAGAGGCAGGTCTTAATGTTAGCGAAGAGAAGGAACAGGTAATTGAGAAACTACCAGAACAGGTATCGCAACCTCTGGTGGACAACAAGGAATTCATTCATGAAATCGACGATGATGTCGAAATACCCGCTGAGGTTGTTGTAGGCAAGACAGAGGTATTGACCCAAGTTGTTCAGGAAGTTTTAGAAGATGTGGTTGACAAATCACAACCAGAAATAGTCGACGTCTCTCAGATAGTTGAAAACGTAGAGGTTGTCAAGGATACTCAGGTTAGGGAACAGGATAGCATACCCGAATTGTCGGAAATGACCCCTGAAGAAGAAAGTCTATTCAAGGAAATTCAAAGACAATTAGCTAAGAAAGATAAGAAGAAGCGTCCCGCTCTACCCGAAGAATTCATAAAGTCCGAAAGTGTTAGGGAATCACCCGAGCCCACTAAATTGGCTGAACTAACTCCAGATGTTAATGTGGTCGATGAAATTTCAACCACCACCATTAGTCCCAAAGAAGAAGAGCAAACTACACTCGTTTCTAATACTAATCTTGTTGTTGTTGATGTTTCTAAAGCAGACGATACAATTGCTAAAAATACTACTAGTCTGGTAAGCACCACACTGAAAGCTACTGAGCTTGCAACTAACCTACATAGCATCGTAAGTCCGTCCGCTTTACTCTTTGAAATTCCCAAATACTATTTGCCGCAAATGCTCTTGGCTGAAAGCAGCTATTATCTATTAAGATCAAGTGAACAACAACAACAGGTTAACACGGATGAGGAGCAAAGTGCAACAACAGAAACAACAACAATTGATGAACAGGTAACAGGTAAGGTTGAAAAGGAATCATCGATGGAAAAACCATTTGAGGCACCTTTGCAACCATTCCCACGCACGGAAACAATAGTTGAAAAATCAGAGGTTCAAGTTGTCCCTGAATCAACTGAATCTCAACCCGAGAACTATCAGAACTTTGAAATTCCCAAATATAATGTTGGAGCTTTGAATGTAGCAGAATCACAAATGTTAATTACTACGTTGAAAACTACAGAATCGCAGCAGCATGAAATTACCGAGTCATCTACTGAAACAGTGGAACAACAAAGTGTCGTCGAACAGGAGATTACATCAGTCCAATCAGAGCCTGAGATTAATACTAAACAAGACAATTTCTATAACTTTGAGATTCCGAAATATAATTTCGGGGCATTCAATGTTGCTGAAAAACAAATGGTATTAACTGCTCAACTAACCAAACCAGAATCAGAAGATATCACAGCAGAGACCAAAGATCTGAAGGAATCCGAAGTAGCAATAACTTCTGAAAACCAAATAGTACAGGAGCAAGTAACAACAACTACAGTAGAAACGACTAAAAAGGTCGTGGATATGGCTGTTGTGCCCGAAAAGCCAGCAACAGAAGCATGTGAGAGCGAAACGGCAACTGAATCGCACATTTCCGAAACAGAGAATATCTACAACTTTGAAATTCCCAAATATAATTTGGGAGCTTTTAATGTTGCAGAAAAACAAATGGCAATTGCGAAAACAGATAAGACTTCGGAGATTGAAGAGAAGCAGGTTACATCTGCAATTCAACAAATCGAAAGTTCGGACAAAATAACAGATGAAAAAATACAGGAGTCTGTTGTAGAAAAGGAGACATTAGTTGTGGCTGAAGTACAACCTGAAGCTGAGCCGAATTTCTACAACTTCGAAGTCCCCAGATTTAATGTTAGTGTCTTCAATGTTGCTGAAAAACAATTGGTACTTACAACGTTAGTAAAGGAGAAATCCGAAGATATCGCAGAACAAGTTGAAGTTGAACCAGCGGAGGAAAAAGAACCTGAAAGGAAGCATGCCGATGAAACAATTGCTGAAAAACCATTCTCAGCCCCACTGCAGCCATTTGCTGAACAAATTTCAGAATCAAATGAAGTGAACTATGTTAACTTTGAAATTCCTAAATACAACGTGGCAGATTTCAATGATGCCGAATCTAAATTGGCACAAAGCTTTAATAAACCCGAGGCAGAGGAATCTATCAAGGACATTTCTGTTGAAGAGCCACATGAACCAGTTAAACAAGAAGAAGCTAAATCTGACATTACTCAAGTAACCGAAACAACATCAACGGTTAATGAAGCCCAAATAGAAAAGATCGAACTCGTAGTTGGAGAAACCATAAAACACGAGGAACCAAAAACACCTGCAACTACTCCGGTCGATGAATCGAGCGGTAATATTCCGCTGGAGCCTAAGAAACCAGCTTATGCCGGTTTGCCAATTGATGAATCCTCTAACACTTGGATGGATGTGATGGATGAGCCTATGGTGCTTTCTGACGATGATGTTGAACAAGAAACATCTCCAGTGCAGAAACAAAACGAACCCATTACATTATCCCAAGAAACACCAACAGAAAAGGAAATCGTTCCCGAAAAACCATTTGAAACACCAATTGAACCACTCGTCGAACATAAGGTCGACGAAATTGTTTCCACAATTATTGAAACCACGACCAGTGTTGAAACAACTCAACCCGAGAAGAAATCAGAGGAACCCAAGAAACCCGCCTATGCCGGTTTGCCAATCGATGAGACCACCACCACATGGATGGATGTCATTGATGAGCCTATGGTGCTTTCCGATGACGAGGAACCGGAGGTAACTCCAGTAAGAGAACAAATTGAAACAGTAGTACCAAACGAACCAGAAACGATTACAGTTGACGAAGGTACATTGGTTCATGAAACTTCCAAGGACAAGGTTGAATTATGTGAAAAACCATTTGAAGCACCACTTGTCGAGCAAAAGGCCGAAGAAATTGTTTCAACAGAGACATCTGAATCAGTGGCTGTTGAGACAATTGAAATCGAAAGTAAATTGGAGGAACCCAAAAAACCAGCTTATGCCGGTTTACCAATCGATGAGTCCACCAACACATGGATGGATGTCATTGATGAGCCGATTGTACTTTCAGATGATGACGAATCGGAGTCTACACCAGTAAAGGGACAAACTGAAACAGTGGCAACTGATGAAATCCTAGTTCAAGAAACATCCAATGTAAAGGAAATTGGGAACGAAAAACAAATTGAACCACATGTCGAACAGAAGACTGATGGTATTATTACCACAATAGCCACAGAAACATCTACCATAGTCAACGTTGAAACAACTGAAATCGAGAAGCAATCAGAGGAATCTAAGAAGCCTGCTTATGCCGGTTTGCCAATCGATGAATCCACTAATACCTGGATGAATGTCATTGATGAACCTATAGTGCTTTCTGATGAAGACGAACCAGAGAATACTTCGGTACAAGAACAAACTGACAGGACAATGCCAAAGAAACAAGATACCGTTGAAGAAACATTGATTCCCGAAACTCCTAAGCAAGAGGAGATAGTGCCAGAAAAACCATTTGAAGCCCCAATTGAACCACTAGTCGAACACAAAACCGAAGAAAGTGTTTCCACAACTACAGAAACGACTATCACAGTCACTGTTGAAACATCGGAGGTTGAAAAGAAACCTGAAGAGCCCAAGAAATCTGCGTATGCCGGTTTGCCAATCGATGAATCCACCAACACTTGGATGGATGTCATTGATGAGCCTATGGTATTCTCTGATGATGATGAACCAGAGACAACTTCAGTGCAGAAGCAAGCCGAACCAGCTGCAACAAAGGAACCGCAAACAGTGTTACTTGAAGAAACATTGGGCCAAGAAGTAGACAAAGAAGAGGAAATTGTTTCTAAAAAACCTTTTGAAACACCAATTGAACCTCTTGTCGAACAGAAGTCTGAACAAATTGTTTCTACAACTACGGAAACCACTACCATTGTAACGGTTGAAGCAACCGAAATCGAAACATTGGACAAAGAATTATCCAAACAAGAGGAAATTGTTTCCGAAAAACCTTTTGAAACTCCAATTGAACCTCTTGTCGAACATAAGGTTGAAGAAATTGTTTCCTCAATTACTGAAACCACGACCAGTGTTGAAACAACTCAAGCCGAGAATAAATCAGAGGAACCTAAGAAACCAGCCTATGCCGGTTTGCCAATCGATGAATCCACCAACACGTGGATGGATGTCATTGACGAGCCTATGGTATTTTCTGACGATGATGAACCAGAGACAACTTCAGTGCAGAAGCAAACCGAACCCGTTGCACCAAAGGAACCGCAAACAGTGTTACTTGAAGAAACATTGGACCAAGAAATAGCCAAAGAAGAGGAAATTGTGTCTGAAAAACCTTTTGAAACACCAATTGAACCTCTTGTCGAACAGAAGTCTGAACAAATTGTTTCTACAACTACGGAAACCACTACCATTGTAACGGTTGAAGCAACCGAAATCGAAAAGAAATCGGAAGAACCCATGAAACCTGTTTATGCTGGTTTGCCAATCGACGATTCCACCAACATTTGGATGGATGTCATTGATGAGCCTATTGTACTTTCTGATGATGAGCAAACAACTGAAGAGACGTCAACACTTCCATCTGCTCAAGAGAAATCCACCTCGAAGGAAGCTAAGGTTGCATCCACCGTAGATGATGTGATACCTGTTGAAGAAAATGTTTCTGTTGACTCCGTGACAGAAAAGTCATTCAAAGCACCATTGGAACCCCTCACAATCACTGAAACTGAAGAAATTAAGGAAATTTCAATTACAACGACAACTGAGGAAGTCAGTGAGATTGTAACTGATTCATTGACATCTGAAGAATCTTCTCCAATAGTTGCGGCATCACCCCAGCCCACAACAATTGGAAATCTTCCTATACCTCAAGACATAAGCGAAATCAAAGAATTTGTTCCGAGACCATCGTCGGAGCAAATGCATCCTGTGTTTGTCGAACTCGGCACAGATCTACCCCAACAACAGTGGACGGACACTCCCGATGAACCTATTGTGCAGCAGGACGAAAAGGCAATTATTGATACTTGGTCTAGCGTTCTGGAAGACACTACACCTAACATTGCATCTATAGCTATGACATCGAAGCTGTCCGCAGATGCTCCAGAATTCAAACCCTCTTATTTGCGACATGCCTACTCCGATCAGACACACACGTTCTTGGCCAACGAGAGAATTTATAATGAGTTTGTACCAAGAAATAGGCAATCACGCAGACCTCAAGAGAAACCTCAGACTCCTGGAAAAACGTCTAAGAAGCACCCGAAATCGCCAAAACGTCAAGACAAGGTACCCAAACCCGAAAAAGTTGAAAAATTCTCGGATGTCTTCCAATCCATCCAAACACAGCAACAACAAAAGACTGTGGAAGTGTTTGAACCTTTGGTTGCCGAGAATGTTCCAGAACAAACGCCTAATGTCTGGCAACAGTCTGCCGCCAATGGAAAAACTTACGCTGACATTCTGTTGGAATCGAAATCAGGTATATCGCAATCATTGCCTCAAGAAGCATCTAAACAACATGTAGAACAAACTGAAGTGGTCACCAAACCTCAAACAAAAGATAATACAGAGAAACAGAAGAAAGAGAAACCAAAGAAGGAGCGAAAGGACAAAAAGACAAAGAAATCACCGCAAACACAATCAGTTGAAGAATCCACTGTTAAATCGGAACCACCGACATCATCTGAATCGGATACCGATAAGCCCCAAGCAGCAGTGCCTTTCGTGGAGGAAAATGTTGAAAGTACAACCACCACAACTAAGTCAGAGTTCTCATGGGCCGCTTTGGTTCAAAAACCAGGCGAATGGATTGATGACACTCTGAACAAAAAACAAAAGCCTGAGCCAGCAGCTGTCGAGAAGCCTAAAGAGTCGCCTAAAGCAAAGAAAGATAAAACCAAGAAGCCTAAATCTCGCAAGGAAGACAAACGAACGCCTGTTTCCACTCCTGCCCAAACTACATCAGAAGAAGATGAAGTTGTCGAGGTCCCTAAACCAGCTGAGGAATTCCAACAACAGCCACTGTCATCTGAAGAATCCGAATGTGTTGTAAAAGTACAAGAAGAGCAAGTCATCACGGAACAAAAGGACGTTCAGGAGAACACCTCCACATGGGCGGCTTTAGTGAAGCGCCCTGGTGAATGGATCGACACAATTACATCCAAGTCAAAGAAGTCTGAAGAACCAGTATCCGAAAAGAAAGAAGAACCGTCAAAGGTGAAGGACAAGAAATCAAAACAGAAGCGTGATCAATCGAAGTCGAAGCAAACTGATTCAGACGACAGCGATAAATCATCAAGAAAGCGTAAGGATAAGAAACCGAAGAAAGAAGAACCCTTAGTTAAACCGGCAGAGAAAGAGTCATTGGTAGAAGCCAAGGCTGTTGAGGAAGTTATGGCAGTAGATGAACAAGAGCATATTCCACAGCAACAACCTGAACCACAAAATAATGGCTTCTCTTGGGCGTCATTGGTTAAAAAACCTGGCGAATGGATTGATGACATCAGTCAACGCAAGAAGTCACCTGTCCGCCAATCTGATATGCCAAAGGTTCAAATGCCAAAGAAACCGGAGAAAGCTCCGAAAGTTAAAACTGAACCAAAGCGGAAACAAGATAAACCAGTTCGTTTCAACGATGATGACTATGTCGAAATTCCACAACATCCCGAATCACCTTCAAAGGTTCTAGAAGAAACTGTCATGGAAGTCCAAACAGTCGAACCAACCCAAAATACCAGCACCATCACCTGGGCCAAGATTGCCAGTCAAATTGATCGTATGGAAGATATTCCCAAACCCAAACCTGTCAAAGAAATAAAACTGGTTAAACCGGAACCCGTGGAAACTCCCAAAAAGAAGAACAAAAAAGATACGCCCAAGAAAGAACAGGTACCGCTTCGTGTCGAAGAACTAGAAAAATCCGTTCCTCAGAGTGATCCGTTTGCAGCCACTGCTCCCTCATGGGCTAACATTGTAAGCGAAAGCACCACCAGTTTCCTTGAAGCCGAGAAACTAGCAACTTCAGGAAAGAAAAATATTGACACCACCTCCTGGACGGCAATGTTCGAAGATGAAGTTGTCGAAGAGAAACATACAACTGTTGGTAAGAAAAAGATTGACACCACCTCGTGGACGGCAATGTTCGAAGATGAAGTGAGCGAAGAGCAGCAGGTGGATAATGTAGTGTCCACTAGCCAACCACGTATTGATGAATCTCAAACAAGCAAGGTGGAAGAAGCAACGCCATTTACAGCGCCATTGCAACCGGTGGAAGAACCAGTAACTGAAGAGGTTAGCGAATTACCCCAAGATGTCGCCAATGACGAGGTACCTGCAGATACTGTTGAAGACATTTCGACCGAAACCGAACTTATAAAAACAGTAATTGATGAACGATCTCAAAGTTGGGTGGAAGAATCCAGTGTGGTCATTGAAGAGTCTCAACAAATGGTCGAAGAATCTGAGACAGTTACTGAAGAGTTCAAATATGTTCGTCAAGAATCCCCTGAAACGACAGAAGACATTTCGACCGAAACCGAACTTACGAAAACAGTAATTGATGAACGATCTCAAATTTGGGTGAAAGAATCCAGTGTGGTCATTGAAGAGACTCAACAAATTGTCGAAGAATCTGAGACAGTTACTGAAGAGCTTAAAGATGTTCGTCAAGAATCCCCTGAAACGACAGAAGAGCCCAATAAACCTGTAGTTACCAAAGACACGAAGGAAACATCGATAGAAACGGTTATTGAGGAAGAAACCAAGACAGAAGAACTTTCTCAAGTGACTAAACCTGACGATGGAGTGAAAGAAATGCCTGAAAAAATCAAGCAGGCTCTTAAAGAACCTGAACAAAAACCTAAGGTGTCGAAAGAACCAACTAAAGTAACGGAACACTCCACGAAACCCGCATATGCTGGCTTACCAGTTGACGAATCTACAAATGCTTGGATGAATGTTATGGATGAACCAATGACTCTTTCGGACGACGAAGACGATAGTGAAAAACCATTCACATCACCATTAGAAGAAATTGAACAAACTGTGATAGAGGCGAATGTGAATGAAACCGTGGTTACCGAGAAGTCTACTGAAGAAACTACAGAAATAGTAGAGATCACTTCAGAGGTTACAGTTGAATCCAAGAAAACTACAGAAGAATCTAAACAAAATGTCGCTGAACCTAAAGAAGTTCCCAAAGATGTTGAAATCATTGAAGAAGCATTGGTAGCCACAGAAGAACCTGAAATAATTCCCATTGATGTTGAAAAGCCAAAGCACACTGTTGAGGATTCATCTAAAAGTGTGGAAGAGCCAAAGAAATCAGTGTATGCTGGTTTACCAGTTGATGACTCCACAAATACTTGGATGGATGTTATGGATGAACCAATGACATTCTCCGACGATCCGTTTGCAGCCACTGCTCCCTCATGGGCTAACATTGTAAGCGAAAGCACCACCAGTTTCCTTGAAGCCGAGAAACTAGCAACTTCAGGAAAGAAAAATATTGACACCACCTCCTGGACGGCAATGTTCGAAGATGAAGTTGTCGAAGAGAAACATACAACTGTTGGTAAGAAAAAGATTGACACCACCTCGTGGACGGCAATGTTCGAAGATGAAGTGAGCGAAGAGCAGCAGGTGGATAATGTAGTGTCCACTAGCCAACCACGTATTGATGAATCTCAAACAAGCAAGGTGGAAGAAGCAACGCCATTTACAGCGCCATTGCAACCGGTGGAAGAACCAGTAACTGAAGAGGTTAGCGAATTACCCCAAGATGTCGCCAATGACGAGGTACCTGCAGATACTGTTGAAGACATTTCGACCGAAACCGAACTTATAAAAACAGTAATTGATGAACGATCTCAAAGTTGGGTGGAAGAATCCAGTGTGGTCATTGAAGAGTCTCAAGAAATGGTCGAAGAATCTGAGACAGTTACTGAAGAGCTCAAATATGTTCGTCAAGAATCCCCTGAAACGACAGAAGACATTTCGACCGAAACCGAACTTACGAAAACAGTAATTGATGAACGATCTCAAATTTGGGTGAAAGAATCCAGTGTGGTCATTGAAGAGACTCAACAAATTGTCGAAGAATCTGAGACAGTTACTGAAGAGCTTAAAGATGTTCGTCAAGAATCCCCTGAAACGACAGAAGAGCCCAATAAACCTGTAGTTACCAAAGACACGAAGGAAACATCGATAGAAACGGTTATTGAGGAAGAAACCAAGACAGAAGAACTTTCTCAAGTGACTAAACCTGACGATGGAGTGAAAGAAATGCCTGAAAAAATCAAGCAGGCTCTTAAAGAACCTGAACAAAAACCTAAGGTGTCGAAAGAACCAACTAAAGTAACGGAACACTCCACGAAACCCGCATATGCTGGCTTACCAGTTGACGAATCTACAAATGCTTGGATGAATGTTATGGATGAACCAATGACTCTTTCGGACGACGAAGACGATAGTGAAAAACCATTCACATCACCATTAGAAGAAATTGAACAAACTGTGATAGAGGCGAATGTGAATGAAACCGTGGTTACCGAGAAGTCTACTGAAGAAACTACAGAAATAGTAGAGATCACTTCAGAGGTTACAGTTGAATCCAAGAAAACTACAGAAGAATCTAAACAAAATGTCGCTGAACCTAAAGAAGTTCCCAAAGATGTTGAAATCATTGAAGAAGCATTGGTAGCCACAGAAGAACCTGAAATAATTCCCATTGATGTTGAAAAGCCAAAGCACACTGTTGAGGATTCATCTAAAAGTGTGGAAGAGCCAAAGAAATCAGTGTATGCTGGTTTACCAGTTGATGACTCCACAAATACTTGGATGGATGTTATGGATGAACCAATGACATTCTCCGACGATGAAACAGAAGGCGAAACACCTTACAAGGCTCCATTGGAGCCGATCCAAACTGTGGTGGAAACAGTAACAGACCAGTTAAAAGAAACAACCGTCCAACCTGACATCAAGTCTGTTGAAGAACCTAAGCAAGCTATCGATGAAACCAAACAAGATACGGAAATAGTTGAGACAGTTCTTGATGAACCTAAGGATATAGTTGAAGAACAAATTGATGTCCCGGTTGAACCTACTAAACCGGCATATGCTGGATTGCCAGTTGATGAATCAAGCAATGCTTGGATGAATGTTATGGACGAACCAGTGGCATTCTCCGATGATGAAGATGACCAACAAGAAGCTACTGCTGCAACTGTAGAAGTTAATGTTGAAACTATTGTCACCGAAACGATAACAGAAGCTCCAAAAGTCACAGAAGAGCCCAAGCAACAAGTTCCTGACGAAGCTAAAGAGCCAGAAGAAATTACAACGGCACAAGCAAATAAGCCTGCATATGCTGGTTTGCCGGTTGATGATTCTACAAATACTTGGATGAATGTTTTAGATGAACCAATGACATTCTCTGACGAAGAGGATGATAATGTACAACCAAGTCCAACCGTAGATCAGCCTGTGAGTGGAGAATTAACAACTGAAATCATCGCATCTGAAAAAATATCAGAGGATTCACAAACCGTGGAAGAGTCCAAGCAACAAGTTGCTGAGAAACCAAACGAACAGCCTGCTGAACCAAAAATATCAGAAGCGCCAGCAACGGTTGTCGAGGAACCCAAAAAGGCAGCCTATGCTGGTTTACCTGTTGATGACTCTACCAACGCTTGGATGGATGTTATGGATGAACCAATGACATTCTCTGAAGATGAAAACGAAAGCGATACTCCATTCGCAGCGCCTTTAGAACCAATTCAAATGGCTGAAAATGACGATGAAACTTCGATCGAAACAAGCATTACTGAACAAGCATCACAATTTGCAAAAACAACAGATTTGTCTGAAACCGTTCCAGAAGATGTTAATGGCATGGACATGGTTACGGAAATAGTACACAAACTTCCCGAAGAACCGAAGCCATCTGTTGAAGAACCCGTTAAAGTGGCAGTTGAACCAACAAAGCCTGCTTATGCTGGTTTACCCGTCGATGACTCTACAAATACTTGGATGGATGTACTGGATGAACCAATGACATTCTCTGATGACGAGGAGGTGGAAATCGAGACGCCATATGTTGCTCCTTCGGAACCTATTGAGGCCACTGAAACCATTGAACAACCTCAGTCCACTGTCGAGGAACTCAAGCAAGTGTCTGTGGATATTATAGAAACATCTACTGAAACTGTAGTTACAGAAGTCAAGTCAATGGAAAAGGAGCCTAATAAGCCTGCTTATGCTGGTTTACCAGTAGATGATTCTACAAATACTTGGATGGAAGTACTGGATGAACCAATGACATTATCTGATGACGAGGAGGTCGAAATTCAGACACCACCATATGTTGCTCCTTTGGAACAAATTGAAGAGAGTACTACTATCGTAGTAAAGGACACCACTGAGATTACAGACAGTGAAGATCCCCAGTCTGTTGGCGAGGAACTCAAGCAAATGTCTGTGGATATTAAAGAAATTATTACCGAGACTGAGGTTACAGTGGTGAAGTCAATCGATGAACATGTGGAAGATCATAAGCAAGAAGTATCTGAGAAAACTAAGCCAGAACCTATACATGTCGAAGAGAAGCCTAATAAACCCGCTTATGCTGGTTTGCCAGTAGACGATTCTACAAATATTTGGATGGAAGTTCTAGATGAACCAATGACATTCTCTGACGAGGAAGATGAAATCGTTAAGGTGTCAGAAGAAATACAGAAAACGGAAGAATTTACTGAAGTTGAAAGATCATGCGAAACTGTGGTCCAGACTGTTACTGAAGATGTGCAACAAACTTCGACAGAGGTCATTATGACAGATGTTGCACAGAAGTTGATAGAGGAGAGTTCATCCGATGAAGTTGCTAAGGATACAGATGTATTAAAGAAGATCGGAGAACATGTTCAGGAGGAAGCTATACAGAAACCTGAATACATAGAATCGAATACCGAAGAATCTAAGCCAGTCCTTCCAGAAACACAACAAGTTCCAGAAGAAGCTAAACCCTCTGCCGAAAAGCCATCTAAGGTATCAGAAGAAATCAAGAAGCCTGCTTATGCTGGTTTGCCAGTCGATGATACGTCAAATGCTTGGATGAGTGTAATGGATGAACCCATGCAATTCTCTGACGATGAGGTCGAAGTATCTGAAAAACCATTCACGGCCCCATTGCAGCCATTTTCCAAAAACAAGAGCGTTGACACTGTCAAAGAAAATATAGATACAACTGAAGTAATTTCCCAGGACCCTAAGGAAGAAAATGCAACTGAAGTCGAAGAAATCATCGAGATGAAAACAACAACCGAGCCTGCTCCAATCAGTAATGTATTTGATTTGCCACAATTGGATGTTTCATGGAAGGATGATACCAAGGTTGGATTGATCGAAGAAGCCGAAGAAGCTACAGAGACTCCGGATATAAAAGAAATTAAGCCGTCTTCCACTTATGCCGATATGTTGAAACAAACTACAGAATTCATTGACTTGGAGAAGAAACACATTCACAAACATCCAGCAATAGTAAAGCCTGCAGAAACTAAGGAGGATACGGATGTACCTGTTGTCAAGGAGGAAAAACCAAAGAAGGCTGAAAAACGTAAGAAGGAAAAGAAGGTTAAAACCGTTGATGATTTGAAGCCAGTTGCGGTTGAGAACATTCAGGAAGCACCACAGGAATCGAATATTGTTCAATCCGAAGAAATTGTGGAATGTGGAACCACCACTGTGGATACTACTACAACTAACAAAATGTCATGGTCATCGATAGTACAACAAGTTCCAGAATCAACCCCTGAAAAATCGACGTTGCCTGAAATTATTCCCGAACAGCCTAAATCAGATAAACCTAAAGAAGATCTTAAGGCGAAGCACGAAAAGAAGGACAAGAAATCAAAGGTAACCGTTGACGTTGCCGACAAACAACGTGAAGCTGAAGAACAATCTAAATCAGCCATCGTTGAAGAACCAACTGTTGAAGAACAGCCTGCGGAAGAATTCACAGGCACAACAACAGTTGAATTACCCTCACAAACAAACAAATTGTCGTGGTCTTCAATTGTTCAACTAGTCCCAGAAGCTCCTGTTCCGCAGGATAAAATTACCACTGAACCTAGCGATGAATCTCAACCGAAACCATCACTGGCTCAACAAACGACTGTGTTCATCGAAACCGAAAAGGCTAAAACGGAACCTAAGAAGAAACGTGAGAAGAAGGACAAAAAACAAAGTCCACGCAAGGCCAGCCCAGAAAAGACCGAACTAATTGTAGAGCACAAACAAGATGAAACTGTGACTATTGAACAAGAAGTCGTGGACGTTACTGCTGCAACTTCTTCTATGCCTGAGACGATGGAACCAACTTCCGTTAATACTACGGCACCGACTATGTCATGGTCTTCCATACTTCAACAAGCTCCTGAACCAATAGGCGAGGATGTAATGAAAGAAGAACTAAAGAAACCGGAACCAAGAGAAACTGAAACAGTTATGATAGAAAGAACCAAAAAACGCGAAAAGAAGGACAAAAAGAATGCCACTCGTAAACCAAGCCCAGAAAAGTGTGAAGTTGTTGTAGAACCCAAACAAGTAGAAATTCCTGTCACTGAACAGGAAATTCTCATAGGTACAACTCCTGAAACTGCGATTACTGAACATGATGTCATCGACAAAGCAGACACAACTACCACTAATTCTGAGACATTGGAAACAACATCTTCTGTCGTAACTTCGTCAACAATGTCATGGTCTTCCATACTCCAACAAGCTCCAGAACCAGTGTCGGAGGAAGCAAAGAAAACCGAACCAAAGGAGGAAATAAAGAAACCTTCTGTGGCACACAAAACAGCTACCTTCCTCGAAACTGAAAAAGTGAAGAGTGAGTCTCAAAAGAAACGTGAAAAGAAAGACAAGAAACAAACTTCTCGCAAGAGTAGTCCAGAAAAGATGGACATTGTAGACGAACCTAAGCAAGAGAAGAAGCCAGAACCAGTTATTCACACGGAGGATACAACTGTGGAAGCGGTTGAAACCGAAGAACAAATTATTAGGGGTACTGAGACAATTCCAACTAGTCCTGAGACGCTAAATAGTACCGTATCTTCTCCAATAATGTCATGGTCTTCTATACTTCAACAAGCTCCTGAGCCCGTACCAGAGGATCTGAAGAAATCAGAATTAATGGAAGAGTGCAAGAAATCTACGGTGCCTACTAAAACAACAACTCACATCGAAAGTGAAAAAATAAAGACTGAACCTCAAAAGAAACGCGAAAAGAAGGATAAGAAATACAAGGCTCGTAAGTCTAGCTCAGAAAAGACTGAAGTTGTTGAAGAACCCAAACAACAGGAGATATCAGAAGCTGTTACATCAACGGAAGACAGAATAACTGAAACGGTAACAACTGAAGAAAATGTAATTGTGGTTACTGACAATCTTAGAACTACCACCGACACCTTGGAGACTACTACCACTACGCCGAAAATGTCATGGTCATCCGTTCTCCAAAAGGCTCCAGAACCAGTTCAAGATGAAGCTAAAAAGCACGAAGAGAGGGAGGTGGTCAAGAAACCTTCTGTGGCTCAAAAAACCGCAACTTTCCTCGAAATTGAAAAGGTAAATGCCGAACCTCAAAAGAAGCGTGAGAAGAAGGAAAAGAAACAGCCTGTTCGTAAGACTAGTCCAGAAAAGGCTGAAATTCCAGAGGTATCTAAAGTAGAGAAAACATCAGAAATAGTCGTACCAACAGATGAGATATCTTCTGAAACTGTGGTTACTGAGCAAAAGGTTATTGCCATTACTGATACAATTACCACTACTGCTGAGACAGTGGTAACTACTGGCACATCTTCAACAATGTCATGGTCGTCCATACTTCAACAAGCCCCAGAACCAATTCCCGAGGAAGTAAAAAGACCAGAACCAAAGGAAGACACCAAAAAACTTTCTGCTGCTACCGCTACTTTCCTCGAAACCGAAAAAGCAAAGGCTGAACCCCATAAGAAACGTGAAAAGAAGGACAAGAAACACGCCAGCCGTAAAGCCAGTCCTCAAAAGGCAGAAGTTATTGACGAACCCAAACGAGAGAAGACCACAGAACCTATTGAGGTGGCTGTTATTGCTGAACAAAAAGATGTTATCGTACCGGATACAACCATTGTTTCCCCAGAAACTTCGGAAGCAACGTCTGTAACAACTCCTCCGGTTATGTCATGGTCGTCCATACTTCAAAAAGCTCCAGAACCTGCACCAGAGGAAGTAAAGAAACCCCAACAAAAAGAGGAAGTAAAGAAGCAACCTTCTGTTGCACAAAAAACTGCTTCCTTCCTCGAATCTGAGAAAACAAAAGTGGAACCAGTGAGAAGACGTGAAAAGAAGGAAAAGAAGCCCGCTACGAGAAAACCCATTTCTGAAAACATTGTTAACGAACAGGAAGATGTTTCCAAAATTGACACAACAGTTGTGGAGGTAAAGGAAATAAACACAATTGTTGAGAATGAAGAGGAAACGTTTAGAATGCCTACATCTCAGCCAAGCGGCGTAATATCCTGGTCCGAAATACTAAGGAAGGCTCCAGAACCACCTAAGGACGATATAGTGGCTCACCCTCAAACAGATGTTCCTCAAAAGAAGGCAGCGATTAAATCATCCTCCGATTCGGATACAGTTGACGAAAAATCTGAAGTGAAAGTGTCGAAACGAGAAAAGACAAAGAAGAAAAAGACGGAGAAACAACCGAAAAGGGAAACAATAAAACCAACACAAGTTCCTTCAGAAGTTCTGCAAGCTGATAATAAGGACGAGGAGTCCGTTATCATGGAACATATTCCATCAGTTGTGCAGGATGTTACGAAGCCATCAGGATTGTCTTGGTCTGCTATTGTCAGTCAACCCGTTGCAGAAGAAGAAACTTCTGAACCAAAGACATCAAAGAAGGAAAGTCCAACAGTGTCACCAAAACCAAGAAGACCAAAACACAAGCAATTAATAAGCGAACATATTCCAAAGGCTGAAACCGAGGAAAATGTTATGGAGTTTGTCGATAAAGTTGAACAAATCGAAGATTCATCCTGGTCGTCTACTGTCCATACAGCGGCCACTACAGATTTTACTCAGACTGTGACTACTACAGTTGTTCCTGAAATCAAGAGTATATGCAAGGAACCTCAAACTACTTCGTGGTCTCTTCCCGCAAGTGAAGATGAGGCTGAACCAGAACCAAAGACAGACACTTCCAGTGGTCATATGAAGTCATGGTCAGATATTTTGAAGGAAAATATTAGCCAGCCGTTCCTTGATACCGCAAAGAAGGCTTCCTTTGACTCGAAGAAGAAGACCCAGGAGTTCATTCAACAAGAAATGCATTCGAGACTACCTGAAAGAAAATCCAAGGAAAAGAAACCCCACGACGTAAAGACATTGCCGGTAACAGAGGTGACACATCCAATTACACCACTGGATGCTGAACCGTCAACAACAAAGAAGGCAAAGAATGAAAAGAAATCAAAGAAAATTAAATCTGAACACCATATTACAGAACCCCTTCAGACCCAAGTAGATTACGACGAACCAGTAGATATAATTCCTGAGACCGTGGAAATTGTATCGGAAATCACCGCTCTCACTGAGATGAGAGCCGATACAACAACAACCGAAGAAGTAAAGGAAATTATAAACAAGCCTTGGACACCAGTTGAAGAGATTGAAGAAACAGTGATCGACAAACCTGAGCATACAGTCGCCGAACATGTTCCGGCTCAGGCAGAACTTAACGAATCAGTTGACACTCTTCCCGAGACAGTGGAAATCGTATCAGAAATTACCACACTTACTGAGACGAAAACTCATACTACAACGACCGCTGAAATGAAAGACTCTACGAGCAAGCCTTGGACTCCAGTCGAAGAAATTGAAGACTCCTGGTTCCCGGCCCAACAAATCCAAACTCCTCAATTTGATAAAGAAGCTTCACCAGTATGTTTACAAACAACTGCGGATGATTACAAATCGACCGCCCAAAAAGAAATAATTCCATCAACCCCAGATAGAGATATGGTCCTTGAAGTAGGTACTGAAGCAAAGGAATCTCTTGTTGAAGAAACCCCCGAAGATATATTAAGGGAGGAACAGCCTAAATATGATGTCGTGGAAGAACTCTCTCAAACACTTAACATAAAACAAACAGTTACGGACTTCATCGAAGAAGAAAGACAAACTCATTTAGAAGTCGATGACGAAAAGGGAGAATCTGAAACAGTTTCAGAGCTCTTAAAACCAACTGAAGTCTATGTTGAACAGGGAACAGTTGTATTTGAAACTGTTACCACCACAGTAGCAGAGTCCCAAGTTGTCGATTCACATGTTACCGAAGAATCTTTAGAAACTGAAGTACAGGCAGAGAAACAAGACATTGAGGAAGTCCAACCTGGTCTAGAAATTGTAGATGAGAAACCAACTGCAAATGATCTTCCAACCTCTGAAGTCTTAGACAAATCTTCGACTGTGGTAGAAACCATCGTTACAGAAATTGTAGAAACTCCAATGGTTGAAGTAATTGAGTCTTCTATTCAAGCAGAGAAACCAACTGCTGTTGTCGAAGAGCTCAAATTTGCTGAAGATGTTAAACCTTCGGACAATTTCGATACAGAAGAAGCACCAACATACAAGGCAGATAAACCATCTGAAGACAATGTGCAAGAAGTGGATTCAAATACAGTGATTGAAACTATACCTGAAGTTAATACCGAGCCTAACGTCGAAGTAACTCCAATTGTAGAAAAGGTTGAAGTGATACCTGCAACTGTTGAAAATGTGCCAGATGTAATTGCGGAGGCTACTGGACAATTCACAGATGATGTCAAATCCGAAAGTGTAATTTTGGAGGAAGACAATCAGAAGACAAAATCATGGGCAGATTTGTTGAAAGAAGATAAACCCGGTTCACTGCCTAAATCGGAGAAAGCCTCTGAAACTACCGCTCCAACATCTTCCGAGATTGTACTTACAAAAGACACGAAGAAAGATTCACCTGAAGAAGTTTCAATTATTGAAACTGTAAATACTGAGATTTCTGAACTTATTGTTGAAGACGACAAGCCATTGGCAGAGGAAGAAGCCAAATCAGAAATCCAAACCGAAAAGGTAGATGAGGAATGTGCCCTGAAAGATAAGAAATCGAAAAAGAAGAAGGACAAAAAGCAGAAGCCAATTACTCCCGCCACACCCGTTGAATCTGGAGTTGTTCCATCTACTGAGGAAATTTCTGTTGAATCTAAAACAGTTGTTGATACTGTTGTAACCTCGATTGAAGAATCAATTGTTGAAACAGTTAAAACATCTTCCGAGGTTGAAACTTCAAACGTCGTTGAAGAACCTAAAACTATATCAACGACTGTTCCTTCAACACCAAAATCTTGGTCTGATTTGCTGAAGGATAATAAACCTGTACCTGAAACGAAACCAGAAGAAGTCACTCCAGTTAACCCAACTGTTTCAACCACTGTTGTTGACGAGGCTGCTAATACCGACATTTCTGAAGTTAATGTTGAAGACGTCAAGCCATTGACAGAGGAAGAACCCAAATCAGAAATCCAAACCGAAAAGTTAGATGAGGAATGTGCCCTGAAAGATAAGAAATCGAAAAAGAAGAAGGACAAAAAACAAAAGGCAATTACTCCCGCCACACCCGTTGAATCTGAAGTTGTTCCATCTACTGAGGAAATTTTGATTGAATCTAAAACAGTTGTTGATACTGTAGTAACCTCGATTGAAGAATCTGTTGTTGAAACAATTAAAACATCTTCCGAGGTTGAAGCTTCAAATGTCGTTGAAGAAACTAGAACTACATCAGAGATTGTTGCTCCTACACCAAAATCATGGGCTGATTTGCTGAAGGATAATAAACCTGTATCTGAAACGAAACCAGTAGAATTTACTCCAGTTAGTCCAACAGTTCCAACCACAATTTTTGACGAGGCTGCTAATACCGAAATTTCTGAAGTTATTGTTGAAGTCGTTAAACCATCGGCAGAGGTAGAACCCAAATCAGAAAAAGTAGATGAGGAATGTGTACCGAAAGAGACGAAATCGAAAAAGAAGAAGGACAAAAAACAGAAGGCAATTACTCCCGCCACACCTGTTGAATCTGACATTGTTCCATCTACTGAGAAAATTTCGGCTAAGCCAGAAACAGTTGTTGATACTGCTGTAATTTCGATTGAAGAAACTATTATTGAAACAATTAAAACTTCTCCCGAGGTTGTCGTTGAAGAATCTAGAACTACATCAGAGATTCTTGCTCCTACACCAAAATCTTGGTCTGATTTGCTGAAGGATAATAAACCTGTATCTGAAGAAATCACTCCAATTAGTCCAATCGATCCAACCACTGTTACTGATGAGGCTGATAATACTGAGATTTCTGAAGTTATTGTTGAAGACGTTAAACCGTTGGCAGAAATAGAACCCAAATCAGAAAAAGTAGATGAGGAATGTGCTCTAAAGGAGAATAAATCGAAAAAGAAGAAGGACAAAAAACAGAAGGCAATTACTCCCGCTACACCCGTTGAATCTGAAGTTGTTCCATCTACTGAGGAAATTTCGGTTGAATCTAAAACAGTTGTTGATACTGTTGTAACCTCGATTGAAGAATCAATTGTTGAAACAGTTAAAACATCTTCCGAGGTTGAAACTTCAAACGTCGTTGAAGAACCTAAAACTATATCAACGACTGTTCCTTCAACACCAAAATCTTGGTCTGATTTGCTGAAGGATAATAAACCTGTACCTGAAACGAAACCAGAAGAAGTCACTCCAGTTAACCCAACTGTTTCAACCACTGTTGTTGACGAGGCTGCTAATACCGACATTTCTGAAGTTAATGTTGAAGACGTCAAGCCATTGACAGAGGAAGAACCCAAATCAGAAATCCAAACCGAAAAGTTAGATGAGGAATGTGCCCTGAAAGATAAGAAATCGAAAAAGAAGAAGGACAAAAAACAGAAGGCAATTACTCCCGCTACACCCGTTGAATCTGAAGTTGTTCCATCTACTGAGGAAATTTCGGTTGAATCTAAAACAGTTGTTGATACTGTTGTAACCTCGATTGAAGAATCTATTGTTGAAACAATTAAAACATCTTCTGAGGTTGAAACTTCACATGTCGTTGAAGAAACCAGAACTACATCAGAGATTGTTGCTCCTACACCAAAATCATGGGCTGATTTGCTGAAGGATAATAAACCTGTACCTGAAACGAAACCAGAAGAAGTCACTCCAGTTGGCTCAACTGATCCAACCACTGTTGTTGACATTTCTGAAGCTATTCCCGAAGACGTCAACCCATTGACAGAGGAAGAACCCAAATCAGAATCCAAGAAGAATGACAAAAAACCAAAGGCAATTACTTCCGCCACACCCGTTGAATCTGAAATTGTTCCATCTACTGAGGAAATTTCGGCTAAGCCTAAAACAGTTGTTGATACTGCAGTAACCTCGATTGAAGAAACTATTATTGAAACAATTAAAACATCTCCCAAGGTTGTCGTTGAAGAATTTAGAACTACATCAGAGATTGTTGCTCCTACACCAAAATCTTGGTCTGATTTGCTGAAAGATAATAAACATGTATCTGAAACTAAACCAGAAGAGGTCACTCCAGTTAATCCAATCGATCCAACCACTGTTATTGATGAGGCTGATAATACCGCTATTTCTGAAGTTATTGTTGAAGACGTCAAGCCATTGACAGAGGCGGAACACAAATCAGAAAAAGTAGATGAGGAATGTGCTCTGAAAGAGAAGAAATCGAAAAAGAAGAAGGACAAAAAACAGAAGGCAATTACACCCGTCACACCTGTTGAATCTGAAGTTGTAGATACTGTTGTAACCTCGATTGAAGAAACTATTGTTGAATCAATTAAAACATCTCCCGAGGTTGAAACTCCAAATGTCGTCGAAGAACCTAGAACTACCACAGAAATTGTTGCTCCTACACCAAAATCTTGGTCTGATTTGCTGAAGGAAAATAAATCTGTGTCTGAAACGAAATCAGAAGAAGTAAATCCAGTTAGTCCAACTGATACAGCCACTGTTGACGTTACCACTTTGTCGGTTTCTCAACCCGAGAAACCCACAGAAACTGTTGTCCAGCAGTTAGCAATTACCATGGATGTAAAACAAACAGTGGCCGATTTCTTGGAACAAGAGGGTCAAGCAGAACAAAATCCGATAGTAGAGAAAGCAGAGTACATTAGAGAAACTATGCCTGTTGAAGCTTCTGTTGATGTTAATGTAACATCTGAAACGCGTTCAAAGAAGAAGAAGGAGAAAAAGGAAATGAAAACAAAAGATAAATCAGAAAATGTGGTACTACCTGACACTAAGCCAAGTATTGAAATTACTCCTAAGAATGAAAGAGCGGTATCTCCTCAACCACCACCGCTACTGAAATCATGGTCTGCGGTATTAAAGGAGAATATTCCTACACAGGCCCAAACAGTGAAACAAGCTTCGTCCACATTTATTCAACAGGAGCGAAAGCCCGAGGTTATAGTTAAGGAAGCTATTCATATCGAAGAAACTCAGGAGTCTTCTGAGATTTTGGAAGAAAAATACCCAGAGGAAACGGAAAACACACAGACACAACCTGAAAAAGAACCAGTAGCCAAGCCAAGTCAGACTGAATATGTTCCAAGTGTAGAAGAGGTTGGTGAAATAAATGTCGATGCAAAGGAAGCCTCGTGGTATGATGAGGTCGTCGAAGAGGTCCATGAAGATAGTTGGGTGATTGTTTCCGAAGATGATGTTAAAACTCTTCCTTCCACCGAAAACACTGTGCCTAAAAGTACAGGAACCCCCACCGTTGAGGATTCAGTTGTGAACGTTCCTTTAGTTCACGAACATGGACTAGATGTCAAATCAGTGGACAATAAATCGAAAATCGCTGAAGAAGAAAGTAAAACTGCAGAAGTTACGGATATTATTGTACCCCTACCTCAGCAATCTGTCCCTCAACAATCTGTATGGTCACTATCTGAAACATACGCCGAGGTTGTAAGAAAATCTGGTCTGATTGAACCAGGCAAGGTGCGTTATTCACCCCAGCCAATAAGACGAACCGATACACCAATAGAACATCTGCCTCAAAGTTCAACAACTCAAGACATATTGGCTGCACAAGACGATGTTATGCATTCTGAACCCGCTCAGCCCGCATCAGAATCCACAGAAATGGTGGCGGCTATAGAAAGAATCGTAACCGATTTGGAGGAATCCAGTTGGTCTGAAGAACCAACGTCAATGACTTGGCGTGAAACAGAATCTGAACCGCACCCGGCAGTTGAACAACCGGTGCCCATAACACCATGGACAACAACGGTGGAAAGTCAAGAAATGCATACTACAGTAATCACCACAAGGAAATCTCGTAAACAGGAACGTCCCACAATTAAAGTTAGCGATGTTCCAAAAGATGATGTGCAGACAGATTCTACATCGGAATGGTTGACAGTCAGACCAAGATCGCGCTCTAGATCACATTCGAATCAATCACGAAAATCAACCAAAAAGTCAAAGAAAACACGACCCTCACGTAGCTCAGAACCCACGGAACAAGTCGCCCAGACGGCGATCACACATGTCGATGTTGCACCTATGTCCATACAGGAACCCGAACCACAGCTGGAATCAAGTCTTATTGAGCCAGTTGTTAGTGCTCACGATGTTATTGTGGACCAGGCTACACCAGCTCCTGTACCCGTAACAACTGGAATGTCTTGGGCTGCTATTGCCGCTCAGAATGTGCCACAACCCGTTCAAAAGATTCGTGTTATTACTGAAAGTGAAAAAGCAGTTGCACAGACAACAGCGAGCGCTATCGATACAGAATCTCCTAAGACAATTATTAGTGTGAAATTGGAACCCGAAAAGAAGGAGAAGAAACCTAAACAGAAGACCAAGAAGAAGTCTGAGTCTAAGAGCGTGTCACCCAGCGGACGGGTTACGAAGCAAGTAACGGAAATAGTCAAGGAAACAATTGAAACTACTCCAGAATCTGATACGTTTGTTTCACAAACCACATATTGGACAGCCACTTTGAAACCTGGCCAGATAACAATACCAGACAAGGCGGAAGATGTCGTGGTTCCCGTCGAATCGCCAACAGAAACCCCTAAGTCTTGGGCTGCCATAATCAAAACAGAGGAGAAGGTGTTCGATGAACCAATTCCATTGACCAAAGAACCAACCGAAACTGTTGCTGAAACCCAAGGTGTTTGTAAACCAACTTCGACTGAAATTCCTCAACCTGATAAACACACTTCTACGGTAGAACAATTCCTGGAAGTTGAAAGTTCGACTGAAATTCCTCAACCAGATAAACCCACTTCTACGGTAGAACAATTCCTGGAAATCGAAAGGCAATCTGGTGAAACGTCGAAACCCCAAAAGAAGAAGAAGGATAAGAAACCCAAGGGCGAACAGACTGAAAAACAATCGACACCTGTCGAAAACGCACCTGAGGCTGATACCTTTGTTTCGCAAACACATTATTGGTCGGCTACATTGAAACCGGAACACAGATCTAAAACACCAGAGAAGATTAATGTATCTCAAACAAGCGAAGTGGCTGTGGAAGTGCCCGTGCAGTCACCAACTGAAACTCCGAAATCATGGGCTGCTATTGTCAAGACCGACCAGAAAGTGTTTGTTGAACCGACAACTGAAAATGTAACGGTTACCACAAGCGAGTCAGTCGATCAACCTAGAGTAGAGGAAGAAAATGTCAGTGATGACAAGCCTGCCGAAATTGAGCATAAAGAAACGGATGATGTATCACAAACTTGTGTTCTTCCAGATCCAGATACATTCGTCGCACAGACTCACTACTGGTCAGCAACCTTGAAACCAGAGAAAATCATTATTCCGGAAACTACATCTGAAGTACCTGTGCAATCTCCCACTGAAACTCCTACATCGTGGGCTGCTATTGTCAAGACTGATGAAAAGGTATTTAATGAACCGACAATGGTGGCAGCAGATGTTGCCAAGGAGAAGACAACTTCAGTCGAAACACTTGAAGAAATTGTTACTGTAACAACAACAAGTGAACACACGAATTTGGAAGAAGTCGCCACAAGCGATGTGGTTTCTGAGGAAACAAAGAAAAATCTATCAACTTTTGAAACCGTTGAAACAATTGTGGAGAATATTGAAGTTCCAGAAGCCGGTGATCAGCCTCAAGCTGATTCTACAGTTGAAGAAGTTCCAGACAATGCATCAGGACCCGCTCTTGATGCTGTTGAGGTACCGGTAGCATATCCAACTGAAACAGTGTCCGTTGTTGAAACAAAGCCTGATTCAAGTAAAATGGAAACCCCAACAAGTGGCTCTTTGACCCAACAATTAATTGAAGCGGAACAACAACATGAAACTGCGGAAGGATTTGTATCCCAGACTAGTTATTGGTCTGCAACTCTTAAACCAAGTTCAATCGTAATTCCTGCAACCGAAGAAATCGAAATACCTGAAATCCCAGTCCAGTCACCAACAGAAACACCCAAGTCTTGGGCGGCAATTATACAGACTGAAGAAAAGGTATTCACACAGGAACAACAACCAGCTGTAGAAAATATTGAGTCTGTTGCAGAAGAACCTGTAGCATGGTCTTCAGTAGTGGTTAGTAAAACTACCGACTACCAAGATCCTAAACCTCAACCAATTGTTGAAGCCGATGAATCTCAAATTTATTTGACGACTACTGTTACCACTCACAAGGATCTACCGATAGAAACCGAAGAAGAATCGCCTTCTTCCTATGTTGCCACAACTGTTACCACCCATACACCACCACCCACCGAGGGTGAGAAAGAAGTTGCTACATATGTCTCCACTGTGGTTACAAGTCATACCGAATCGAATGCTGTTCCCGAAGCCGAACTCTGCACTGTGGTCGATTCCGATGAATTGAAACGCATTCACGAAGACGAATTGCGTTACAATTTGTATCAAGAAATAAATAAGTACTGGACCACTAAATATGAAATATTCGAAAATGCTCTCAAAGTGAAACATACTTCGCAAGAACCTGAGAACGATGCTGTCCCAATCGAAGATCCAAAACAAGATGAAAGTTCTCCAGAGCGGCAACAATTTAACATTTGTGATTCTGCTCCTATCGACGATAGTGTTCAGCCAGGTGTAACAATTGAAGAAGATACCCCAACAGATAAACTGTTAGTGCATTTAAGCACTGATTTACAATCGAAGGTATTGCCTTCGTTTAACGTGTTTGAAACCAAGTGGGTATTAAGTCAAGCCCAAGAAAGTGCTCCAATTCAAGAAAGTCAGGAGCCAAGTCAGGTAACAGGAAGTCAGGTTATTACAATTGAAAAATCCACTACAACTTCCGAAACGTTTAAGTCCATTAGCCAGGAAAGTGCCCCAGTTCAAGAAAGTCAGGAGCCAAGTCAGGTTATTACAATTGAAACATCCACTACAACTTCCGAAACGTTTAAGCCTATTATTTGTGTCTGTCCAGAGGCTCCGGTAGAAATAGAAGAAGCTCCAATTAGCGAAGAATCCTTATTGAACAATTTGTTCAACGATAACTTCTCTAAGATCGTTACAGATTACTATAAAATACTCAGGCATGAAGGCTCTTTGGTCCAACTAGTTGAACCACATGAATCCCTTGCAGATTCTGTCCAAAAGACTGATGAAGAACCCACTTTGACCTCTGACACAACTGATAAGACTGATAGTGAGATTGTTGTTATGACTACAACAAACTCCGACGTTAGCATTCCCCTCAAAGATGTTGGTATACCTTCACTCACAGCTACCGACCCCGATACTCTGCTCTTGAATTTGTCTAAGGATTCTTGGGTGTCCAATGATCTAAAGACAGACTCTGTTGACAGTTTATTGGCTAGTGTAACCGTGGAAACTACTGACAAATTGGAGAAATCCGACGACCTATCGCAAACAGACAAAAACGACGATATCGCTCATGTACAAAAGAAGACCGAATCCAAGGCAGACGCAGGTGACAGCGATAACGAAGATGATGATGACGACGACGATGACGAAGAGGGTGGTGATGGTAATGCCATACCAGAAATACGTAAACCCAAGGACGACGACGATCATAGAGGTGGACCTGGTAGTGATAGTAGTGGACACGTAACCCCCACACCCGAACATGACATGAGCAAGGGAGGCAGCTATGGCTCCTGCTCGTCCCAATACATGTCGACTGACTTGCCAGGTGGTATTGGCCATTGGCGTGACCAGAGTACTTATTTAGCCTTAGATGGACAAGAAGAAGAGGTTAAGGTAGATGCCAGTTCGACTAGTAAAGTGGGAGAAACACAAACGACTGCTACTGCTCCTCAGCCAATAAGCATTCCTGCTGGCCCTGCTGAAATTAATGTAACAACTCCCACTTTCCAATCTGAATCCCTTATATCCCCCATAACCCTTACCCATACTGATTCCACACAAAATGTAAGTCTTGCTAGTAAACTAACCCCATTAGCTAAAGCTACTACTACCACAATACTAAATGCGGCGGCACAAGCAACGATGGCGGTCCAAACTGCTAAGACACAAGCAGCATCATTACTGCCCCAAGTGGTTGGTGCCTTGGCGCCATCCGTTGTGGCGGCAGTAACCCAATCACAAGAACAACAACCATCAACAACAGTAGAGGAACGGGTTGTAACCAACACCTCTGAGGAGATCAAAACACCCATTACGGAAGAAATCATTGTGACAACAACAAGTGGAGAACTAGAACCTCAGTCTGCAACATCGTCAGATCAAACAAATGCAGTTGTCACAGAAGACAATGCAGTTCCAGAAGTGAAAACAGCAACAACAATATTCACCGAAGAAAAGTCGACAACATCATCTCCAAATGTTGCCCAAGTTGTCACACCCGGCACCGTTACAACAGTCACCAGAACCGAAATTGCAAAGGAAACTGACGGACAAGATATTGTTGCAGCAACAACACCGTCCACTCAATTACCACCACTAACCACAATTCAAACACCCATTACAACAACACAAACCACCACAACAACCACAACCGTTACAGAGGAAGTTTACAATCCCATCGTTGTCAGTGATCCCAGCAATGTTATTCGGCGCACAACAACCACGACCACAACCACAGTTACCGGTTTGGGTCTAGACAGCATCCAACAACAACAACAGCAGCAACAACAGGCGAAGGTGATAATAACGTTGAGAATACGTACTCTGCTAATTTTATTAATAACCGCTTTTATATGTGGTTTTGGTCTATGTTTATGGCTTTTAAACGGTTTTGATTGGTGTAACGAATGATTGATTGCCCATTTTGAATCCTAACTGTATTTGCCAACAATTAATTCCTAAGCTAAATTTCAAATCAAAACGAAACGAATATGATGAAAATATTTTTTTATATATCACTTGAATCGTTGCATTTATAAATATTATTTATTGTTTTGTTTTCCCTATAAAATCAATCAATTTTTCCTTACATACAACACAAGTATAACGATTTTGGCAACGTAATGTTTTCCAACGAACTGAATTGAATGGCACATTTGATTTGCCAGAAATGTGATCGGTGCCCAAAATGTGTATGCTTGTGTAATTCGAGAAATGAAAAAGTGCTATAAAGAAAACGACCAATTGGCGGTAAAGGGTAAAAGAAATGTACCATATCTCTCCATGGACATTTCAGATGAATTCCCTTAATGCATTTTTTCCTTTCTCGAAGAGCAATAAGAAAATAGCTTTAGTTGTTTTTCCTTAACATATTTTAAATCAAAATGCCATTAGACAACATTTTAAATGTTATTGTCGTCCTTATTGTTGTCCTTATCATGTTTTTTTTTTTGCACTACTTATATTTACATGAATATATATTTTTATTTTTAGTACATATATCGTTTTTATGTTCATTTATTAATTTTGCCTTTTCGTTAATTCGCTTTTAAGTTTTTTTACATTATTTTATTTTTCTTATTTTCGTTTACTATTATTATTTGTTTGTTTTTTAATTTAACTCGAAATTAACCTTTGGAATGACAATGAGTAATATTTAACGTTTTATTAAACAAAACTTCCTTAATTAGTTTTAGTGTTCGTAGAATATAAAAAAACAACAACATTTATTAATAAAAATAACTAACAAAATATATTAAACAATTATATTTAACCCAAAAACCAAAATAAACGCATGTTTAATTAATCCATTCCCGTAGCTGTTGTAACGTAACAGTATTATTCTTGGTGATCTAGAAACTAAGACCAGGAACCAAGTACACCGTTGATAACCAAACACAACAACAGAATTTAAAATACACTTCAAATGTTCACAACACCCATGATATGTCTAACCAGTAAACCTGTATATCCTACACAGCACTTGTCCACCAACAATTTTAGCACTTTATCTAAATACCAAAACACAATATTAGGGTATTATTGCGGGTAAATATTTTGATACAACGAGATCAAATATCAAAATATACTTATTATACTGTTATGTATAATGTAGGGTTTAGTAAGGCTGATGTTTGCAAGAATTAGTTTGGAGGTGATTCTAAATTGAATACTGGTCTTTTTGGACTGATGTTTTTTGTATATTAAATAAAAATTGAACGCGATGTTAGGGTCTATTTGTTATACAGGTATTTTTTTAATCAGAACATATTAAACATATATTTGTAGAAGCAACATCTGGTATATGGCAAATTAAATTTTTGAAGAAGGAAAGAAATACTTTTCTTTTTAGTGAAAAATGTATTTTTCCACTTAAGCTATATTTCATTCGATTTGCAACAAATATATCAATTTCAAAATTTTTCTACCAATTAAATTTTTATTAAAAAAACCCAATCCAATAGACATAACAACATGTCTCTTGCATTCCAAATGATACATTTTTCTTATTTTCTAAAATTTATCTTTTTTTTAATTTTAGCCATAATCCACAACTGCCCAAATAGTTTGTATTCATTTAGTTTCGCCAAATTTAATATTCCGACAAAATATGAACAAGTTTATTGAACTCATATGGATATACCTCTAGAGAAGGCTAGAAGAGGGCCAAAAAGGCAATTGCCTTATCTTTCAGTTTTGAAAGAAAATAAGAATTAGTTTCCTTCTTCGATACCACGGTCGAGATACAAATTAAATGATTATGTTGTTTGTATTCAATTGCATTTAATGTGCTCCAAGTAGTTATTTTAAAAATAGCCAAAAGAGGAAAGAAAAAAGGAATGAATTCTCATCGCCTTGATTTGTGACGGTGCTCACTGGCTCTGTAGCTGCATCGGACAACTATAAGACATTGTGTGGTGTTATTTTTAATTTTCAGTCTTGCAGCAGAATTTTACAGCTCCACATCTAGGAGGTTTTTAGTCTCTATTCCTTCTACATCATTTTTGTTGCACGAATTTCTGGCGACAAATTTTATTGCAAAATAAATTTTTGCAAGTCAAGTTTGTTTTATTTTGTGACAAAAGTGAACATATGATGAAGTGTAAGGATTCGTTTTAGTGTTTTCTGCAAAACAATTTTTAGTATTAATACATTTTTGGAGACAAATAAAAATTACAACGAAATTGAAATTAAGAAAGGAAGCCAAGACGATTATTCGTCAGAAGATTTTAATTGGAAAATAGTTTTGGTTTGGTTCCGGAAACTTGAAGTAAATAATTTTTTACTTCCTTCTGAAAAGTTCGAAAATGTATTTTATACGTGAAAGCACATTGTAAAAAAAAATCAGTAAAAATGTTGAAACACCTTTTTCATATTTAAGCATACTGCTTAAATATTCAATTTCCAATGTGTATATGTAATAGAACATGGCTGGAAATAATTTTGTTCCGATCCACCCGTTTAAAACTCGACATTTAGTATCAATATTCCTATGGAATTGCTATCAGAATCAAAAAGCAACAATTGCTATTGTGATCATTGGGATATAAAAAAATACTCTTTCCAAATATTTTAACGAGTGATGTACATTATTGAACATTTAGGCGTTAAGAAGTTTAATGGAAAACCCATGCTTCTCTCTACGTCAATAAATATATATAATATGTATATATAAACTATGAGCATGATGTTTTCACAAATGTTTATATTTAAGCGTTATTTTACCTCTTCCCTTGAAGCATGTGGGAAACTAACTATTCCTATGTATATACCTACCTTTAGGTGTATTCTGTATAATGTATATATGCTGATATTTTTTATTACCTATCCTATAATATACCTATAATTATTAATATACTGTTTATAGCTTTTCTTTATTTATAAATACTGTTATTCTGTCCTGCATATCCAATTGGAAAAATCGCTTTTGTTTTACAATTGTTATCATAATTGTTTTATTATTATTTCGATTATAAATGCAAAAATATTAATTCTTGTTTATTCCTTTGCAATTTTTTTAACATTCCAACTTGTGTTTGTTTTGTTAATATCCATACACAATCTCGCCCAAATTGAATTATGAAATCATCAAATCACCACTACAGGATGTTATAAATCAAGAAGTTGATGAATTGCTTCAATCGCTAACCACTGTAGAGGGCGCCATTGCATATTTACCACAGGATAGTTTGGATGGTATGCTACAGGGTCTAAAGGTAAGTCCAACGTCTATTCTATTTTGAAATATTATTGTTTTATTTTTACTAACAAAATGAAGATTAGCTCACTGGAGCAAATACAAAGTGTTTATTAAGGCAAACACACAAAGTGATTAACCGCATTGTTCTTATTCGCAGATAAAAATCAACATCACTTATTTGCATATACCTTCATTTCATGTTTAAAGCCGTTTGGGAGTATTCACTTTCCCTTAGGGTTTCCCTAAAAAGACTTTTTCTGACTATCTTTATCTTCCAATGATGTAGTTCAATTGAGATATATACATATTTTTTTTTTTAATAATTTATTTCAATATAATAATATAATATTTCCGCAGATAATTCAGGAAAATCTGGAATATCAAGAACAAGAAGCGCAACGATTGAAAACAGTCAGTCAAACCTTACCAACCGATCCTGGCACTGAACGTTTATTGAACGACATAACCGATCGTATTGACCTGCTATTGAGACGCACACAGCAAGGCATTACCATGATAGCGGTAAGATAAACTAAACAAAAAACGCCTAAAATTACATTACATCACTGTTGTACAAAATTTAAATATACATACATATTCAAGAAAGTATTCTAATAGTTGACGCCACTTAATTCGTTCTGTTTTTGTTTTATCTACAGGCCGCAGTACACGGTCAAAAGAAACGCACCCAAGAACTTGAAGAATATCAACAGGATTTGACAACAATCGAAAGTTGGATACGTGAAGTTACCCAAGAACTCAAAGATTTTGAATTGACCGCTGATAGTCCAACCGATGAACCCACATTGAAGTTACACGTTGAAAAGAGTCAAAATCTCTTGCGAACCTTGAAGGAAAGGCAACAATCATTGGAAGACTTAACAGGTAGAACCAAGCTGTTATTGGCTCACGAGGATGTAGCGCCCATGGCCAATAGTCTCATTGAGCAATTGCAATATGTCATTACAATCTTGAGAGAACAGATTTCTGTTGCCACCAAACGCATATTTACAATTGAAAACAGGATTGTTGAACTAAGAAGGGCCAAAGAAGAGGATGAACGTCGCAAGAGAATTCTAGAAGATCAGGCCATACAACCACCTGTGAGCAAAGTTGATGAATCTCTCGCCTCCAATGATAGCACAGTTGGCTCAAGTCCCATGCCAGAGGAAGAGGTAATACCTGTGGTTCACAATGTTGAAACTCAAACATCAGCCAGTCTGGAGAAACCCCAGCCGGTGTTGAAAGAAAGTGTCACGGTTGAGGCTCAAACTAGTTTGCCTTTGGTAGAACTGCCAAAAGAAGTGGAAACTGCCGAAATGGCAATGCAAACCCACAAGGAGGTGAAACCAACTGAAAATATTACAATTACTCAAATAAAACAATTTGGTCAAGAAACAATTAAAATCGATACCGTACCGAATGTCGAGGTTCCCGAGCAACAGGAAAATGTTGAAATTGAAGCTCGTTATCACCAAAAACCACAAGGTGATATCGAAAGATCTACTGAATTGGTATTGAAAAATGTACCCTCGACATTTGAAACAACATTTGTTGAGCCAGATGAAACCACCACCGTAGTGGTGGTTGCACCCGATGGCACCAAACACTTTCTGCTCAAAAAGGTCACCCGCAGTCGTCAAGAAATTGTACAACAGCAACAGGTTAGTACCATTGCCACAGTAACCGACGCTGATGGTAATATTCAAGTCCAATCAACCGACCAGATCAATTTGGAAAATATACAAACTATTGATACAAGCGGCGACGATAAGAAGGGCTATAGCACTGTTGTTACCCAACAAACCCGTGGTACTCTGGTTGATGGATCCAATCCCGAGGCTGTAGTTGTTAAAGAATTTGAAACTCCGCCAGAAATCGTGAAATACGAAGAAGTTCGTGAAGGTACTGAGTCGCCTATGACAATCGACCCTAAACAAATTGAGCTGGTTACGGCGGAAGGTGTAAACCAAAGCACAATTCAAGCCATTGTCCAACAGGTTACACGGAAAATTGTTCGTAAGACGCGAAAGATCATCAAGCGTATAGTTATCATTGATGGTGTGGAGCATGTTACCGAGGAAGTGGTTGAAGAGCCTGAAGAGGTTGAGGTAACCGAAGAGGAAATCCCACCAGAAGTAAATGTTAACATTATACGCACTGTTAATGGCAAAGTGGTTACCGAGGAAGAATTCATCCGCTTGACCCAAGAACCTGGAGTAGTTATTCAGGAAATCTCCACCGACATGACTGATGCAGGATCTGCATCTACACCACAACAGGTATTTGATATTGATTCCACTACTATTACCACCACAACCACCCAAACGACTCCAACCACAAAACACGAAACACAACAACAACAACAACAGCCCATTGCTGAAACTACAGAAAGAACAAACAAAACAACAGAAACTCCTGAAAGTCCAATCCATGAAGCACCAGTAGAAATTGTTGACTTGCCTGCACCTAATGTAGTAGTTGAGAAAGTTGTCAGAGACACCATAGTAGAACAACCAGATCGAAAAGAAGTCGAACCAACAATTAGTTCCAATGTTTCAGTACAATTAGTGCAGCAGCAGGACGAGGAGGTGCCCGTTGTGGAAGATATCCATGACATATGGCCTGTTAAACACCATCTACAGCCCACAGATATTGAATTCTCTCAACACACTGAAACGCCAGTAAGCCCACCAAAGGTTACCACAAACATTGAACCTATTTGGCCTCTAAATGATGAAACTGGTTACCCAGTGTCATTGGAAAGATATGCATTTGAAAGAACTGTTCAGCCCGAGGAAATTCATGTTCAGCCAATAACAGTAACAACTACCGTCACCACAACTGAAGAAAATATCGACAGTCATCCAATTGATGTTATTGAGACACAGGCAACTACAACGCCAGCTGTTCCAGTCGATGTAAAGGAAACAATGCCCACTGAACCTATGTCTACAACAGATCAGACTTCTCTACCACACACAGCAGCATATGAGCAATTAAGTCCCGATGCACCTATGGAAGCCACGGACAAATTCCTTATGAGCGAAAAACAGGAATTGATGGATGTAATTCCAGATAAATTGACTGACGCAAAGGAAACTCCGCAAGAAGTGACAGCTCAATTCCTTGAAAGTGAAAAGCCGCAACCAATGTCACTTAAAGAGCCTGAAGCTCTCCCAGAAGATTCTATTCCACAAGAAATCGAGCCCGCGCCGGGTAAAGCAACTATTACAATTGTAAAGACTACGGTGGAAACCACGTTGCCTGGTGTATCGAAACCCATTTCCGAAGCTGAAGAAATCTCGCACATTATTACTCGCGAAGGACAGGCGCCAACTGAGGATGTTCTATCAACTGAAAGCATTGTAGAATCCGAAATATCTACCGAAGATCAATTCATGGTGAAACCAAATGAAGAAAAGCCAAAACTAGATATAAAATCCACAACACAATTATTCATTACTGGGGAAGCCACTGCTTCTCCTATCACCATGACGGCTCCATCTATTGAACATAATGGTTCTAGTGTTCTGAAGGTTGTAATGACCGAATCTGAAGACACACGCCCAACAGCTTCTGGTCAACCAAAGGTAACCATGACCATAATTGAAACCGGAAAAGTCCCAATAGACTCCGATGATTATGATGAAGCTGACACCAAACGAAGTAAAAAGAAAAAGAAGAAGCCGAAGCCGATGTCGGAAGTGGAAGAACCAAAATTAGAAAATGTAGAATCTCCAGTAGCCGAAATCGCAACTGAAGAACCAATTGTACCAGAGACTGAAGAAGTATCTACCGTCTCAGAAATTGGCTATGAACCCGATACCACAACAATCGACGAAGAAAGTGATGACGATAAAAAGAAAAAGTTTAATAAGAAGAAACAACCCATCAAAGCCCCAGCTGATGATGATAGCCATGTACCTCTTTCATCATTGGAATATGATACAAGTCTGCCTTCAGAAAGTTTGGAATCGGAGGGCAAAATTCATCAAGAGGCCGTTTTGGAACTTAGCCCAGATAGTGAAGCTTCCAGTATTACTGCAGAGACAACGGTGCGTGTTGTTGAAGAAGCCGTTATAACATCCGAATCTGATACACCACGTGAGCCCATTAAGGAAATTGTAGTTCCAGTGGATGTCGTTGAATTGACATATGTCCAAGATGAGCAACAACAGACCACACCTCGCGAGGAACTACCGCATGTAAAGGAACCAATTGAAACTGAGAAAGATGTTAAAGAAATCCAGACTTCACCACGTCCAGCAGTGGAAGATATGGCCCAACAAACTAGCTTGGAAGTTTTGCCGGAAAACAAAGAAATGGAATCTCAAACCCTTATTGTTGATGTCAACGAAACAGAGGTGCAAACCGAAACAATGCAGCAACATGATGAGAAAATAATACCAACAGATGATCAAATGCCGACTGAAACTGCCTCAGAGCAAGTTCAAACTGAACAGGAAATGAAACCAGAAACGAGCCATACTTTCAGTCAAACTGTAGTTATATCTACCCTGGAAAAGGAATTGCAAACAACACCCAGAGATTCTCCACAACAACCTGAAGTTTCCACGGCTGATGTTATAAACCCATTGGTTAGAGAGTTAATTGATGATGTCGCTATTGAACTGCCCGAACCGAGAATGGAAACCTGTGAACAATTTACTGCTACCGAACAAAAACCAATGAATGAGTCATATGTTCAGACATTGACACCTGAATCTCAAGAGGTTGAAAATGTTCCTATTCAACAAAGAGAACAACAAACGTCGACATTGGAGCTTGTCCTAACATCAACTAGCCAGAGTCAAACATCTCCTCGTGAAGAACCATCTCTGGCGGTCGAAGTTGGATCAACCTCGGAAGATTCATCACTCTCATCAAGCGAACCATACAATTTGGAAATACAAACCACAGTCACTTTACCACCTGATTCGGATGTCTCTGATGTTCAACCTGTGGTATTCGAACACACCGAAACTATTGAATTGCCCAAGAAAGATAAGAAATCTCAGAAGGAAGAAGAAGGCGTGCCTTCAAGTGATGACGTTTCCGAAATAAATGTACATGTAGAATTCGATGATGCCCATGATACTGAACCCAAGATTTCTGTTCAACCCGGCGATGCCAAGAGGCCGCAGACGGTGCAATTGCAAATCACCAAAACCACAGTCATTGAACAATTTCCCGATTTACCGGTCCATGTTAGCGAGCAAAACAAAGTCAGTATTGCAGGCCAACAAACATCTAAACCACGTTCCAGACCCACATCTACGGTGACCATTGAAGAAGTTACTTCTCCAATGGAAGAAATTGCTGTGCCCATAACACCTGGACCAGATAACGATGACGAAACCATTCGACACGAGGAGAGTTTATGGATTAATGCGGCTGCAAATATTCCCAAAGAACAGCCAGTCGCTAAGGATGCATCTCAAGCTCTCATTTTGTCTGAAAGTCTTTTGCATTATCCCGGACAGCAGACAATTATTATAGAGCGCCAAGATCCTTGGAAAGAGGCTAAACAGTCGATCGGAGGTCGGATGAAACACTTAAAAGACGCTGAAACTCAGCAAACTCCTTTAAGCAATGTTTTGCATTTGGCCACACTCTCGCAGCAAATAAAGGAAGTACCCTTGGACCAAAGAGTTCAAGAGGTTAATGATAGCTTGACTGATTTGGAGAAGGCTTTGGAGGGCGGAAATGAGAAAGTAATACAAACAACCGTTATTACAGTAATTGAAAAAATTTCCACCTGGTTGGAGACAATTGAATATCGTGTGTATTTGATACGCCAACAGACCAATGACGGCCCTTCGGAGGAAAAAGTCAAGAACTACAACGAACTCAATGATGAGTTGAGTATCATTGGCCAGAGTGTAGACCAATTGGAAGGTCAACTCTGCAAATCGGATACTCTGAAACAACCCGAAGTTCAGCAGTGCGTGGATGCGTTGAAGATGCACGTCAGTGCTGTTCAGGAAAAGACGCACGACAACCAAGATCAAGATATTAAGGACCTTGAAAAATGGAATAACTTTGTTGTGTTGGTTAATCGCATATCAGGACTTTTGGAAGATTTGCAGGAACGCTATGAGACGATTGTTAACCAAGACGGAACTCTGAAACAAAAATTGTCATCCTTGGATGAATTGGAAACCCAAAATAACTCTACCCTAAGCCAAATTGCCCAGCTTATGTTGAATGCTCGCGCATTCCAAAGAGATTTCCCTGGCAAAAAGGTGCCACAAGATATATACACTGCACACGAGGCTTGTCGCAACATTAACAACAACATCATTGCCGAAAGAGATCGCCTCCTGCAATTGCAGGCCTTAGCCGACGAATATGAGCAAACATTGAAAGAGTTCACCAATATCACCGTTTTGGCCGACAAAATGGTCGATGGTCCGATTGTAACGAATAGTTTGGAGCAACTGAATAATGAGGTACAGAAACATCGTAAATTCTTTGTCAACCTCAGTCACTGTCGAGCTATGCTTGAATCCCTTGAAGAGAATATTGATAGTGAGACCAGAGATAAGCACTCCGAACTGCACAAGGAATTGTACAACAGAGCCACCATCCTATTGGAGAAGGCATCGGAAAGGTCCTCGAAATTAGTACAAGCTGCCTCGAAATGGACCGTCCTGGAGAAAGGCATGAAGGAAGAATTACAATGGTTGCAAGTGGCTCAGCAAAGAGTACCCGACCTGTCGGCTGTTACATCCGCCGACTATGACCAATACACCACCCTCTACCAATCGTTGAGCCAGGATATTTCACACCACTACGTCAAGATGACCCACATTTCAAATATTGCCAATAAGTTACAAGACTTAATACAGGCCCCTAACTTGGTAGAGGAAACCAATGAGGCGTTGATAGTCCTCCTTAAGTTGCGGGAAGAAGTCTCAGTGTACTTGCATCGTTTGCTTGTGTTCAAGGATATCTGGACACAGTATGTCAACCAAACAGATAAAATGGAGACATTTGTGCGCGACAGTGAAAAAGAATTGAAACAAATACAAATTCCCGAATATCCATTGGAGCAACCGATCGAACATATGCGCCAATTCTGGGAAATCAAGGCTCAATTCGAAATGCACAACAACATTCGCACGGAGGCCGGCAATAGCTTCGAAAAATCACTGCAAGTTATACCACTAGCCGATGAAATGCTACAGAGACAGTTCCATGCTCAATTGGAGGATAGATGCAATGCTCTCGCCCAAGACATTGAACGTATACAAAATCAAATTGTCCGCTCTCTGTCCTCGGAAGACGTAGCTCCCGAAGATAAACTGAAATTGGTGGAGAGAGAATTGCAAGAAATCTACTTGACCATGACCAGCATGAAGGGAGTCATCAAAAATGACGAAGAACTGAGCCTTTACATCGAACGCTTGCAGGTGCTACGCACACGTGTAGGTTTCATAGGCAACGAATTGGGTAGAATTGGTCTGCAGGAGCCCGCCATAGAGCCAGAAAAGGTGGGCGAACTATTTGCTCTCTCTCACAAGATCACCACCCAAATTGCAGAGGAACTAGAGGGCGCTGGAGTACTTAAACAACAGCTACAAGCTATTCAAGAGGGCATCTCAAATCTTCGCAAACACCATGCAAAACTTTCCGTTATTCTTGATGAATGTGAGAGTGCCGAAAAGTTGGGAAGCGATGCCATTGAAAAGGCCGTTGTCGATTGCCAATCGGTAGGCGATGACCTAATTGGAGCCTGGCAGGAAATTATGCGTATACGTCAAATGTTGCACACGCTACCAATGCGCTTGAAAATGTCGGTGTCGCCGGTTAAATTGGAACGTGATATATCACAATTACAGGACGATCACGCATTCCTTGAGAGCAAATGTACCAATATTATGACAATATTGCGTAATCGCTTAGCTCTGTGGATGCGTTACGAACGGCAATTGGAACTGGTGCACAATTCTGTGCAGGAGACCGATTTTATGATGGAGTTGTTGAAGGTCCATGGACAAGTCGATTACGAGCGCTTGCGTAAAGCCACTGAACGTCTAGAGGTAAGTGGAAGAGAATATTAACCAACTTTTTATATTTTATGAATATGTGAAATTTATAGACTATTCCATCATTTGATGTCAACGATAATAAGCGTTCTTATCGTCGTATTTCTAATCAATTACTTGACCTAAGACAAATATATTTTCCATATATTCGGGTTGTTATGATTACCATTTTTACCTACTTCCGTTTGTGTTTATCAGTTATCCACAATGTGGGCGAAATGGTTCGCGAAAAGACAGACACACTCTTTTGACCCTCAACAATATTTCCCTATAATATCCGGTACCTGCCTACTTGCTTTTGTTGTTGTTTTGTTGTGTCAATATTGTTAATGACCTTATTTTTGTTTTTCACACTCAAAAAAACATTACCATATGGGTATCACAAGTGACACACATATGTATTTATTTTGAAAATAAACATGTCATAGGTTAAGAGTTAAAATAAGTCACAGTGTTCCGGGAATGTATGAAAATAAGCGTCATTTATTTCTAAACAACAAATACATTCTGGACTGTAACGAATCGAAAAAATTTAAATTATTTAATACATGACTTACATTCATATTTCATAATACCAATAAATACAAATTAAGCATCCTAGAACTGCAATTCGTAATGAAGTTTTATGGGAAAATCCTGCAAGAATATTTTATTAATCGAAATTTTTTCCTTTATTAATTTGAAGAGCTTTACCTCCTTTGAAGTTAGTGGTAACATACAAAAAAGCATTTCCTTGACAAATGATACGAATATTATCCACATGTGGACAAATTTCAGCCAGTCAACTGCTCTTCAATAGTCCAATATTGATTTGGTATTATTATCACATGGACACTAATTTTCTGGAAATTTATAAAATTTAAAATAAACCTGGAAATGTAACCCCAGGATTTAAAACAAATCTTTTTGTTTCCTACCCACTGTGCTTTTCCAAATACTTACTGCATTTGGAAAATCAAATATTACTGTAATAAACACATTGAATAGTGGCGATAAGTCCAACTCGAAATATGAAAAATCGTCATAATGTAAAACATAAACATCTACTATCTGTGTTTTTCTGTAGGATTTTGGCATATGTTCGTATGTCGTTGATGTGCGTATCCGGACAGACACAGTGTCTGTCTATTGGGACGGAATATGTATGTACGCCTGCCTGGCCATAGGTGGAAAATAGAATGAGACTCAGTAAATATATAACAACAACAACAACAATGTGACTTAGGTAGTCAGAGTGACCATTCACTTTAGTTTGGTCATTGGCCGTTATGGTAGTCAGTTAGTTGGAAGACCTATAAGTTACTATGACCAAATAGAAACATGAAGTAATTAGTTGTCAGCGGTAGATGGAGTTACACCAAACGCACTTGCTTCAATTTTCTTTAAAATTATTTATAATAAATTAGTAAAGATTATCCAAATACACTCAAACAGCAAGAAAAAACAACAACAAACAAAACATCATCATCATTATTACGTTTAACTCGTCCACCAGTTGTGGGGAATTTGATAACAGTGCCACCGGCTACATAATTCGTTTACAACTGTCTCGGGGAAAAAAGCGCCAAAGCCACTGGGAGAGTGAGTGTGACAAACCAAAATAAGTGTTCATTTTTTCAAGAGACTGACTGGCTGACTAGTGTATTTGTACGTCGTTTAGTTAATGCAAAACTAGAAGACAATAAAGACGTGTTCGGTTGTGGCCGGATTGTATAAATCGGTTGCTACAAAAATGATACGAATATTGTAACTCAAACGACGAAAGAACGTTGGAAAAAGCAGTGTATTAAAAACGAATTTAAATTATTATGTTGAGAAATTTTGATCGAAATCGAAAGTTTTTTAACAAATTGAATAACTAAATATTTCATTTATTTCTAATTAAGGGACTCGCTGGTGATTTACAAAATCGCGAGACTTTGTTAGATGATTTACAGACATCGGCAAAACCTCTAATCGAAACTTGTGATGTTCAGATAGTTGAGCAAATCGAATCAGCCGTCCAAGAAGCTGTCGTAGCCTGGAATGATACATCCGATAACCTACAGAGCTTATGTACACGTTACCAGCGTGCTGTAGAACTTTGGCATAAATATCATAACGCCTCAGCTCAAGTCAAGGAATATATTGAACAACAAATGGATACGGTGAAGACCTTCAAACAACCCATGGAATCAATGCAACATGCCAAGGTAAGTTCCACAAAACAAAAAAAAAAAAAAACTTTTAACACAAAAATGCCAACAAACTTCCCAGACCACAACAAGGGGTGTAGGAATGTTTGGTTAAATGGTTAAAAACACATAGAATTTTGTTGTTATTTTGAGCTCAAGAGAGTTCTTATCAGCCAACCAGCCTGCCACTGTAGTTGAGAAAATAATTATTGTTTTAATCTTAAAGAATTCCGTCACTTGCTGCTAGTAAAACAAATGCCTTATCATTTACATTTTTTTTGTTCTTAGCTCATTTCGAAGTCAGCGAAAGTGAAATAGTGATTTTCTTAAAAAAAGATAAAAGTTCTTAAATCTAATTCTGTTGAAAGTGAAATTAATGTTAGGGATGACTATACATACAATTTTTAGATTTCCCGTCTAATTGATATGGAAATATCGAACTTTTATGTTAATTTAGTATAGTTGATTACAATACGAACAAACGAACAGCATTTTCCAAATATTAAACTTCGGTCTTTGTTAATTTCGTCTTCGATTTGTAACACTCCATGTTCGTTATACTAGATTTTCTGCAATACACTTTTTCTGGTTTAATGCTAAGCGTTTCCCTTATGTATCTTTACATAATTCCTGCAATTAATCGATGAAAATACCAATTTTCGAAAAGTGTGTCAGATATTTTTGGGCTAGTGATTGTTGTTTGATTATATCCTTCTTTAATTTTTTGTAATCAATAATGCATAAATACACAATACACTGAAGAAGAAAAAAACGATAAAAAAACAAATTCGCCTTTTGGTATTGTTCAATATATATTTTTTGGTTTATTGGAACCAATTTCGTTTATCCAAATAATAATCTGAGTATTCTCAGTGTTTGAACATTTTCAAATCTCTCTTATTTTGTGTTTAATATTCATTAATCTAAAATGTTATGAAGAATTAATAATAAAAGTACAAAAATACACGTACACATTAATATATTATAAACAAATGGTCATTGATATATAGGATACAAGCACACACATACATGTGTATATTTATACTAATATATAACCCATGTGTAAATACCTACAAAATGTCATGTATGACGAACGGAAACCAAACAACATTCTACTCCATTCACACCGCACCGATTGGCTGTTGTCGCGTTGAGTTTTAAGTTAGGTGACTGACTTATAAGAGATGGTCAGTTGGTATGACCACATAAGCGTACTCACGTAAAAATAAAATCGATAATATTTGAATTAAATATTAGTGAAATGACAACGGCCAACTAACCAACCAACAACAATGGAATTGTAAGTCAAGTGAATGACATGAATCTAAATAAAGCAAAAGAACTTGCATCAGCCTGCAAATGCGATGCCAAAATATCGGTCACTTTCACTGTCTGTGAAATTCGGCAAATAAAGTATTTATAGCTTCTTATGTGAAGAGGAACGCTGTTCCCCAAATAGACCCTATGGCAATGCGATTGCATTGTTAAATATAGCCATAAGACACACTTGCTTATTTGATTTGGATTTTTATTTGCATTTATTTCAACTTTCTTTTACCTATTTCTATTTTAAGGCCTGTCAAGACAACCTAAACAACCAGGATGACAAACTGTTAGAGTTGCGCGAAATGGTTTCGAAAATAGCAGCGGATATTGGTTTGGACGCCTCGAACTTTATGCATGGTGAATTGGAAGAGCTTGGCCAGCGTCTAGAGAACTGCAAGGAGGCCATTACAACATTAGCAAATGTTGCCGAGGCCCAGGAGCGTGAACGAAAAGAAATTGAAAAGAATTGTACAGATGCCAAGGAATACTTCGACAATGTGCGCCAGGTATGTGTGTTTCTACGTTATACACCATTTATCATATTGTCTGTGTCTTAATTATCAATAAATGGGCATATACTGGGAAATAAACTAACTATGTTTAGGCCAAACGATTAACCAAACACCAATTATTTAAGTGTTCAAAACGTGTTTTATGGCGGTAATTGGCTTCGTTTTTTCGACAAAGGTTTTCGCAGTAGAACTTTTCCAGTGTTCGGCTACACACTTACAATGGTTGTTATATAAGTGTACAATTTCTAATGAACATAAATAGGCGAATCGAATATCTAAGCAGATTTCCTTCTAACGCGTCATTGAATCTTAAAATGAAATAAATCTTAAATCGATTTTATCGAAGTTTCGCTTGTTTTTGTAGATTCATATCTGATTCTCATTCTCTCTCAAGCACAAACGAATATGTTCAGTGCAGACCATAAACTAAAACAGAAGGTATTATTAGTTTTTAGTGCGTGCCATCTGGTTGTTTGCAAACCCTGGCCAAATTTTCGTTAATTATTATAGACTTCCATTTCGAAAATATTAGAAAAGAACAACAACAAACGTGAAAATTCTCTTAACAGTTTAATGAAAAAGAATCGATAATTGTAGGAGTGGGAGCGGATTGAGGTGTGTATTTGTAGGGTTATAACAATAAATTGTGGGAAGATAAAATATTCTTTGTATATCACGTAAATCCTCAATGAAATAAATCCTTAATGTCCTAAACAGTAACATCCACTTTGATATTTTCTGGTCTAGCGATTACGAAATATGCGAAATACACCACCAAGCCCCTAGCTGTGTTAGTCATTTAGTTTGCTGCGTGGTCATCGCTCATTATGACCGTGTGTATATAGCCTACACTCCTAACTGAGGACATCAAATGAATTTTTTGCTATGTTCGTTCGCTTCAACTTTGGTGTCTAACACGCACATGGCCAAGCCACGTTCTCACAATTCCTACTATGTTGTGTGGAATGTGTAAAGTAGTTGTTTGTTCCACTATTGATTTTTGTGCAAAATTATGGATGAGGTCATTATCAGAATGTTAGTGGTGGTGGTGGTAGCCTAGCCATAGAAGGGCAATAAGACGCGTGCAACGAAATCAAATCCCAAGTTTTTAGATTTCCAAACGTATTTGATGCACCGACATAGTTGTATCGTTTGATTAATATAATTGTGGAATAAAAACAACTCTTTTCCTTATTTTTTCTTATATAGGATATCAGTCAAGAATCTCGAACACCCAAAGAGAGTGAGGACCAACTTAATATTTTAAGAAATCATTTGCAAACATTGGCCCGTACCGAAGAGCAATTAAAACAATTAAGGGAACGCGAACTAGATAATACGTTACCCTTGTTGGAGAATGGTGGCCAATTGCGTGATCAGACTTCAATTATTGAGGTTCTGGAATTATGGCAAAAGGTATTTCAGGATACCTTCCAGGAATATCATCGTCTGTCCTCCCGACTAGTGCGATCACAGAACTCAACAGAGGCTTTCCGATTATGGCGTCAGTATTTACAACATGTTCAGTCCTTCCTGTCGTGCTCCATACCAGAAGATTACACCGCTCTGAAGGAGCAACAGCACCTGTGTGAAATTCATCAGAATCTGTTGGTTTCGCAACAAAATGTTCTAGCTTCGCACACTGAGGCTGAACAGCAACAGGAACCCGAAGTTAGTGAACAGTTCAAACAGCTGACAAATATGCACAATGAGACCTTGTCGCGTATTATGCAACGCAATATAGAATTAGAACGACGAATGGATGTTTGGAACAGTTACCGACAGGATTTGCAAGTTCTACTCGAATGGCTAAAGGAACGGGAAAAAGAACGAAGTGCGCTCCAACTCAGATATATACACCTAAAACGTCTCAACCGCTTGCAACAGCGCATGGAGATTTTAATAAATCAAATGCCAGTTGGCGAGCAATTATGTGCCAAGCTGAAAAATGAACAACAGGAACTTACAAAATTCTGTGACGATGCTTTGGCCACGTCAGTGCGCATGGAGCAAGCATCTGTAGTGCAGAGGGTCAACAATCTTAAAGCTGCATTGGAGACCTGGTCTGGATTCCTGACAAAAATTAAGGATTTGGAAAAGCAATATGAGCAAAAGGTGGCCGACGTACAAAATCAACTGGGCACCGCTCAGGAACTGGTAACCAAGACTGAAGTTAACCTGCCAATCTCCCAAGAAGCCATTCAAGACTGTTTAGGCCAACTGAGAAATCAACGTGTTGTCTTGTCGCAATTGACCCCAACCTTGGAAGGTCTCAATGTTCTGCAAGAGGAGCTCAAGGAGTGCGTCAGCCCTCATGATATGAAATCCATACGCCAATCTATTTGGATTTTGTGGCAGCAACACTCCGATATTGACTATGAACTATCGACGCTAATCACTACGATTGAAGAACGCCTCATGCTTTTGGCTAACTTTAAGAACCGATATGAGCGCCTATCCAAATGGTTGGACAAATTGGAAGAACGATTGGAACGCACATCCGATATTTCGGCTGTGGCCAATCCTGAAGAGTTTGCCAAACAATTGGAGAAACAAATTAATACCGAACTAACTCTTCGTGAAAGGGACCGTGAATGGCTTCTGTCGTCGGCTCGAGAAATAATGCAATTGTATGCTGACCAAACACATCATGGCGAAGCAGTACGCTCGGAAGTTCAAGAGAAATCTGACACATTGATTGACAGATGGGATCGCATCAAGTACTTGTGTAAACAGCGTACAAACAAGATCAACGACCTCAAAATGACCTTGCAACGTCTCGAGGAACGCATTGCCCTTCTGCGATCATGGATGTTCGAAGTTGAATCGGAATTGGGTAAACCTTTGACATTTGATTCATATACTCCACCCGTCATTGAAGCCAAATTGAAAGAGCACGAGAAAATCCAACGGTCTGTGGAACAGAAGAGTAGCAATGTGGGAGAAGTCTTGAATCTGGTGGAAATGCTTCTTAACGATGCAGATACCTGGAGAGCACATCTCAATACAGCCAACCTTGCCTTAGCCGCACAAAATCTAGAAACCCGCTGGAAACATGTTTGTAGTCAATCGGCCGAGAGAAAACAACGTATTCTCACCGTTTGGAATATGCTGCAACAACTAATCAAATTGACCACTGAACACAAAGCCTGGCTGCAAAATCAGGAGACAGAAATTGCCGCCTTGGAACGTGATCTAAGTAAATTGTCCAAGGAACAAGTACAGGAAAGACAGCAGGCGGTGGAACAAAAACTTAAGCAATTGGAAAGTCAAGAACCGAACCTAAAGCAATTGGAACATATATACGCAAAATTGACCTCCAGTTCGGGTGTGGATCCTGAAAACATTCAAAAATTGACAATGCCAACTAAAGTGATGCTGACTAAGTGGAAACAATTGAGCAGCAGATGTCATGGCATAACCGATACCATCAATAAGGAGCTGGCTCTGTATCGAGACTTTAAAAAGGCCCAGGACGAGGCTGTACAGAGTTTGAGTGTAATTCAAGGTGATATTGCAAAATTAATGGAATCGCCTCCAACCACTCCCGAAGAAGCCAAGGAAGCCCTGCGTAAAATCGATAGCTTTGAGCGAAAACTGCAAAAAGTTGAAGCTCAAATTCAAAATGCTGATAAATTTGCTTCCGAAGCTAAGGGTAAACTAAAGAAGCAAGAAGATCTGACGACAATGATAACATTGCTAACACAGTTGACGACTTTATGGCGTGAGATTCAAACTAAGGTAACTACCATAAAAATGGAATGGGTAACAAAAGCTGCCTCACTGGGTACAGCCGCTGCTGAAGCTGCCATAACTGCCACAAAAGTTGGTGAGTCAGATGCAGGTGTCCAAGTAGATACCTTATCCAAACGTAAACTGCGCAAAGCCCCTATGGCACGAGAAACTTCAATTACTGCCAAAGATGCCTACATTATGGAACTGGAAACTGCCATTGTGGAATGTCAAACTAACCTCAATGATCTGCAGAAGACAATATGCGATCGTACCAGAAAACCAGGCCCGCAAAAGATGTCTAAACTATTGGGCAATGCCCAGTCGTCAACGGAATTGGTCAAACATTTGAGCCAACTGCTGTTGAGTGAATGCAATGCCAGCAAGGAAGACGCCCAAACCGAAACAGTGGCAGAGTTGATGTTACGTTACGCTACTCTACAGTCTCAATGGAAGGCGCGACAGCAAAACGATCAAAATTCAAGGTAAGATCTTTCAAGTCCAGTAAGGACAAATTGCAATTAGAATTGGTTTTGGTACTTAGAATAAAAAAATTAACTTTAACTTCTTTGCGTTCTCTTTTTCAAACAATGCCTATCATTCCATAAACTACACACTTTTGTTAATAACAAATCATTATAACATAACACGACCAACACCAACACAATGCCTTCGTCCACCTCTTGTCTATATGTTGTATAAAAACACCATCTATTGTCATCATCTATGCCTTTTACAAATGCTTTACGGCCTCAATAAAATAACCTGCAGCAAATTGCCAATTGCTTATAAATACCAATGTACACAGTAAGTTATCCAACATGTTTAAGCACTCACCTAACCAATCATCCATTCATCCGTCCAAATGGCATTTCATTTAAGCCACTAACGGATCAAAACATCGATCGTTAGTGGCACTAAATGTCTGCTTAATTTGTTCGTGTCCTGGTTTTTGGTTTATGACATACATACATATGTTTATAGAAATTCCCAAATAGCTATCATAGAACGTTTTATTAATATCCAATTTTTTGCAATTATAGCGAGATCGGGCGACTAACATGTCCGCTCTGCACACAACGTAACTGGCAACAAATCGACAACGATCTCTGGCGTCTCGAACAATGGCTGCAATTCGCCGAAGGCACTCAAAAGGCCCAATCCGCTCCTCCATCCAATATTGAACTGCTGGAGGATGTCGTACAAGACCATCGTGAATTCCTGCTTGACCTGGAAAGTCACAAATCAATTGTGAATTCCCTTAATGTGGTTGGAGACCATTTGGCCACACACACTTTGGACACAGAAAAGGCCCGTCAGTTGAGAGATCGCCTGCAGCAGGATAACGAACGTTGGAATAATGTGTGCATCAATGCCACAAAATGGCAGGGCCAATTACAAACGGCTCTAATGGGTAACAGTGAATTCCATTCGATCATAGACGAACTTTGTGCTTGGTTGCAGCAAACCGAAGCCAATATAAAAGCCTCGGAACCTGTCGACCTAACCGAAGATCGTGCCATTCTGCAAGCCAAATTTGAAAAATTCAAAGATTTACGTGGTGAATTGGAACGTTGTGAGCCACGAGTGGTTAGTCTACAAGACGCAGCCGATCAATTACTCAAATCCGTTGAAGGTTCTGAACAAGAGTCCAGCCATACGTATGCAAGGTAAGTTATCTATATGCCGGAGCCTTAGGGCGGCACGATGAAAATTTTCTAAATGGGATTCAGCATAGAAATTGTAAATGTTTGTGTTTCGTTCTACTTGTGTGAATGTGTCGTAGAACTTTGTAGAGTACCTACGTAAAAATAGATTCATGTACGGGCAGGTGTGGTGATGAAATTTGCCTAGACCCAATGTCCAATATTGGGATTTTGCAATGGGTCATATTAATTTCATTCCGTACACCTGTCACGTTAGTAGTTGTAGTTTATATTGTAGTGATTTGAAATTAATTTGTTTCCATGACTAAAATATGGGATACCAGAGAGAATTTCGAGATATTTCCTGCTAATTTTTTCGAATTTTATTTTGTAATTTTAGGTTTATTATTCTTCTTCTTCTGCAATACGAAATTATGTCGTAATACGTCTGTATAACAAGTGATTGTCTTTTTATCATGTTTTTATGTTGTACACTATTTGACCCTGACCATTGTCCCTTATATGCGCCAAATAGGGGATATCCGTTACCACACCAATCGACAGTGTTTCAATTCATATTTTAATAGTCAACAAAATACAATACGTTGACATTGAACTCTCTTATAGTGTTTAAAATTTCCCATGTACAAACGTGAAGTAGACACAATAGGGCACTGTAGGCAAATTGACAGCTTGTGCATGTTTGAGATTAAATCTAGTTTAGAACTGAGATCGTTGACTTTATTTATATTTATTTAGAACTGAGATCATTGAAATTCTTCTACCATTTTGAATTTAACACAAACCTATAGAAAATCTTAGGTTGAATTCCAAACCTATTGACTTTCAACTGCTTCTCATGAAACCAAACGCTCGAAAACAAAATTATCCAAACCATTTTAATTCTAAACCTTTCATAACTCTATTTGGAATGCTTTTTATTATCAAAATTAAATTTTATTAATACTCTTCATGGCTCGTTACGTTGTATTCACCCTGTTCTCCAACCTCAACCCACCAACAAAACCAACCAACCAAAATTTTCGGCGATGTTATTCATTTGATTTGCAATTTTTTGTTTGAACTCGAAATTTTTTCGTCCGCCCATGCTAACCCCTCATTATCCTTAACCCTCGAGAGCTTTCAAACTCATACACTAAATTAAAGAACCCTTTCTAGATTGACCGATCTGAGACTGAGACTACAATCATTGCGTCGTTTATCCGGCATTTACATTGTAAAATTGGGTGCTGTTCTCGGCGTTGATGGTGACAACTTGGGTGTATCGTTACATATGCTATCAAATGAGGTAAGTCTTCATATTTGTATACTTATTTTTGTTTTTTTTAATTTTATTTCATTAAACCAAACGTGAAATATCTTATCGACTATAATTTTAAGCACTTTGAGAAAATTTATTTTTGTATTTAATCAATTCAAAGAAAATAAGTGAAATTGGTAACAATGTTTTGTTCAACAAATTGAACTGTTGATGAAACCAGTATTGATTTTTTATTTGTATTTGTTTTTTATTATTTTCAATTTGTTGTTAATTTGATTTTTATTTCTTTTTTATGATTTTTTTCTTATAACAGCTTTTGGATCAATCTGTAACGACATTACCTTCTTCCTCTTCTATGCAGGCTGCCGCACCAAACACTGAAAATGCAAAGTAAATATTGTTGTCTTTGTAGTTGTAGAGTAGAAATTTGTTTAATTTTTATTATTTAATGTGTATCTTTTTAAAAAGAACTATTCAAGTTTTGAAATTCAAAAAGAAAACATTTTGTAGAATATTTTAAAAATTTAGAAACGCACGCTGTACTACACCCATTCTTTAAGTCGAATGTATAGAAGAAAGGCTTGTTAAGAGAAAAGAAATATATGCAGAATGAGATAGATGAGCTGTATGAAAATGCACTTAATATCTGAGTGCAAAATTTATCGGATTGCTAATTAAAATACTCTGCATATATTTTTTGAGTTATATTAAGTTTTGGTCAGACATTTTTGTTTATAATTTTTATTAATTTTGGATTTTTCATATTTAATTAAATTCAACAGCCAAGCCGATGGCGATGCTGCCGATGGAGATGTCATAAATACCACCGTACTTGCCAGAGGCGCCAGATTCCTCGGCCGTGTTGCACGTGCCTCGCTCCCCATACAAGCGCTCATGTTACTGTTGTTGGGTGTTGCCACACTTGTGCCCCACGGTGAAGATTATACCTGCATGTTCTCAAACACATTTGCCCGTAGCCTAGAGCCAATGCTCTCCTATCCACATGGACCGCCACCAACATAAGATAATAATATAAACTAACAATCCCTTAACTCTTGTCCCTCTTCCTATTAGTATGTCTTTATAAAAATCCCTTACGTATAAGCAACAAAGAGAAGAACAATGTTAAACATTAAAATAAAATCAAATTGTAATTAATTGTACGGTATGTTGACAAAAAAAGTATATTTCTGTATTATTGTGTGAATCTGTGTATTTGAGAAGAATCAATATTTTGTAAATTTTTGTAAGAACAAAACCAAGTCCCCCTCCTCTAATTCCTTAACAGAACAAAAACAAAAAACAAACAAACAAATACTTTAAAAGTTAAATATTTTATAAGAAATTTAAATTTAATGTACGAAACGCACATAAAACGACATAAAAACGGGAAAATATTAACATTTTTGATATTTAACGAATTATTAAAATCCAATCCTATTTCACTTGAATACACTTATCGTGGAACATTTGTGTATTTCAAATGAAATATGTGATATGTTAATTTCTTAAAAAAACCTCCTTTGCAATACAAACAGTTGTATCCTACTTTCTCTGTCTATCTTGGTGGGAAGCAACCGAAGTAGTTAATCAACTTTTCGAAATTCTCTCCAGATTTCCAAATGCAAACATCACATGACCCGAATTGGCTACTGTTCTTTTGGGAATAAAAACAAGACCTTAAACACTCTCCCAAATATTAATGTTCTCAAAGGTTTTGCCATCTATTCCTAATGAAAGTGGCCACCAGAAATTCCAACAACATTGAAATTTGTTTTGGAATTTAAAAATTATTGAGACATCGAGCACATGAATACCATATCTCTCCCCGTATTTATTGACACTGCTCCATGAGGTTTCATTAATTTTTTAAATCTCAAAACATACCAATGTTGTTCAACACAAGAAAAAAAACATTCCCTTATATTTTTGCTTAAAAACCAAACGTTTTAGTGATATTTTATATATAGAATACGTTTGCTTCCCACTGCTGTTTGTATTGCTTTGGAAACAAGAAAAACACATATACCTAAAAAACGAAGCAGCAAGTGTCCTATGCCGGTGCTAAACCATTAAACAAAATTTATAAAAAATTTGTTCTCTAAAATTAAAGAAAAAAATGAAATCGAAAAAAACATGTTACTAAGTGTAAATGCAAAGAAAACTAAGCAAAAAATTAAACTCAAGAAGAGTTTTGTATAAACTAACAACACTCCCTCCATTATTATTTTTAAATTTTGATTTATTTGTTAATGTATTTTTTTTAATATTTAAGTTGTTATTTTTTGCTTTAAGCATTTGAAGTTAAACAAAAAACACATCTTGCTGTATTTTATTTAGTTTTCGACATTTATAAGTTTGTGTTGTCTGATTATATTACCTTCAAACTAATGTTTGTACTTTATTTGTTTATATATTAAGCGTTTTTTTCCATTTGTATTCTCTATTTTTTGTTAATAATTTGCATCACATTTTGCTCGATTGTCTTATTCTTACTCTTGTACCTATACTACAGAAAACATATATTAAATAGTAAACTATCAATCCTTATTATTGCTTTTATTATTTGTATTTGTAATTAATATTATACTTATAATTATTATTATTACTGTTATAATTATATATCATTTAATGACAAATAAAAATAAAACAATCTAACATTACATTTTAAGTTTCCTTATACAGAAACAAGTGTATAAGAAATATGCAACTAAATTATAAAACTAATAATACAATTATATTATTTAAAATATATATTCTACATATATATATATTAAAAACAAAACATGAATTAACATACAGAAATTATAATCACATTTTCTAAAAATTGCAATAAAAAATTAAAAATATATAAATAAATATAATTGCATATGTTTTTTTTTCATCCCAAAGAAAAGATGTTAGGAATAGGGAATGAAGATCAGACTTCTATCAAACAATGAGTCAACCACTAAAAGTTCATTTTAATATGATGTTGGTATTGAAAGAGTAGCATTGTTCCTTAGGCAGCAAAAATTCTTCGACTCCACCTATTGTAAAAAAACTATTTACAATTTCCGATATTGTTTTTACCCGACATTCACAATTCGAATACTAAATAGAAAATATATTTGAAAAAGGAGACAATGAACAAATGCGTGAACCTTTTCGAAATTACCGCATTATTTTCAATATTTTATTAATTCTTGAAATCAAACTTGGTATTGCAATTATAACTGTCACCGCGGCCTATCAACATGTTCTGAATTTATTTATGTTACCACAAGAGAGGCGATTGTTAACATCGACATTCATCAATTTGTATATAATGGGATTCCAACTGATCGCGACGTACCTGTGCAGCTTTTCGATGTGGCGAAATATATGGGCACGTAAATATTCTCGCAGCATTCAATTACTTGTGATTGTATGGTCGGTATTTTGTTTTATTATTGTTGTTGGTGGTTGTGCCACGATATGGCACTTACTTAATACCCCACAATTCCTAATTGCTAATGTATCGATGATGTTGTTCCGCGGCATTGAGGTGTACTACTCAAATCCATCATGGAAGTTTTTCTGGGATGAACTACAGTATACTAATGAATGTTGTGGAGTTAATGGATATGATGATTGGATGCATGCATCATGGATGCCCCAAAGCTATGTTAAAGAATCGAGACAAACTAGGACACAATATAGACCTCGTTTTAAGCATAACCCCAAAGAGCATAGGGTAATAACCAACTGCATTCAGAAGGTACCACAAGTAACTACGGACATATCAATTGCATTTGTCAATCCGAGCGATGCAAGTCTGAATAATGATGATATCGGGTTGGTACATGGTTGAGTATATGTCTTAAAATTCCACGATATTGATAATTTGCGTTTTTAGTTCCCAAATTTTGGCCCCTTATGCCTGCTGTAAATATAACAGCTTGTCCTGTTATCAAAACTATCTACCACGAACCGGTGATGGTGTAGGCAGTATTTCCCAATTGAATATCACAGAAATCAACACAAAAGCATGTCTGCCTCTTTTCAAAGAATATTTGTTGTGTGCTGTAAATGTTCTGCTGATTTTGGTTTCACTCGCTGTACTAATTGACGTGAGATACCAAATGTATATGTCGAAACGACAACCTATTTGACTTGTTCCATTTTTATTTTAGATATTAATGTGTTGTCTCACAAAGTATTTAATGCTACATAGTCGAGTGCCTAGTTACTGCGAATTGGATCCATCTTATGACGACGATGGCAATGCTTTGGTTGTTGTTAAATGCCCGCCGAGAGTAAGGTGTGTCACCCTGGAAGAATCGGATTCTATTGATTCTGACGTCGCTAATATTGGCTCAGATGTTGAACCATGTATTTGTACTTTCGACATGGACATGGGTGTAGATTGTTCCAATGTAGGCCAATATCCAATCAATCACAATCCATAACAGTCCGCTTTGTTAGTTCTTAAGTAGTAATTTATTTTATACTATAATCAATCTTTATATTTCGTGTATATGTATTTAATAATAATTTTACTTGTTATTTATAATATTTTTTTTTGTTTTTGCAAAATAGTCAGGCTGAATCCCAGTTTGTTGTTTTTATAAAAAATAAACCAAATAAACCGCCAACACTACTAAATATTTTTTTAGCTGTCAGCATTATATCTATTTATATCTTTCTTAGCTGTATCTTCTCCCCATTGTACAGGACCTCATACAATTCCACAGCTTCTCAATTAGAGTGTGTATGATATAATCATCTGAATTTTTTACACAATATGAAGTCTGATATAGGGAACAATTCTGCATTATTAACTCAAAAATCGCGATTTATGATTTATGCCGGTCTTGCAGCAAATGAGCGATATGTACCTACATTCATGACCGATTTAACAAAAAAATTGATATATAGAATAAGTTTATAAATGTCGCTGAGTTATTTGCCTTTGAATTAAAATTCCGAAATCACGCAAAATTCGAATATATATATTTTTTTATAATCGCTGCTGTGTATGTATGTAAATCTATGTTACATTATATTTGTGCATAAAAACATTCAGCATTCTACATTTATGAAATTTCTAGTTACTGCATCTATGTATGGCGCTCCGTTCGCCAAATTGTATGGTCGTAAAGGAAATTGAAATAGGTATATATCTATATGAAATGGAGTAAAAAATAGCCGATTATAAGCCATAGCCACAGTCAATGGATCGATTATACAGTCATAAAATTGAAGAAACGCGCAATGAACTTTCTTAACAAAGCACGCATTTTAGTTATGAAATTCAATGATTTGAAAGCGTTGATCGTTTGTATGACGATTCATCGTTAAATTATGGACCAAACTGAAGATGTATGACAGAAAAACAAAACACGAGATGTGTGTAAACTGTTAAAAACAGTGTTGTCAAAAAGATAAAAGCTAAAACTGCAGAATTCCCTCTAACCATTGCTGCAAAATTCATAAAAATCGGTTAAGTATTTCAGGAGTTATTCGAATTTCAATTCTACCATGCTCCGAAATATACTTTCTGTTCGATGCTGGGCGCCTATTACCAAAAAATGAAAAACACCACAAAAATCGATCTTGCAAAAATGGAAATTTTTTCTTCATATAGCCACAGTGTGTGTATGTGTAAGTAAATATATTTTACGTTGCATATGTGTATAAATCACATACAATCACACCTACATATTAAGCAACAAGAAATAGCACCTCGAACTGCCCTTTGCCCCTACAAGTATGCTATAATTTTCATACAACAGCAGATATTATGAAAGCAATTTTTGCCTTTTTTAAAAGATCGATTTTTGTGTGGTTTTTCATTTTCAGGTAATAGGCGACCAGAATCGAGCAGGAGGTGTATTTCGGACCATCGTTGAATTGAAATACAAATATCTCGACAACTACTAATCCGATTTTTACAAAGTTTGCAAATATGGTTAGAGGAAATTCTGAAGTTTTATTACGCACTGTCAAACACTGTTTTTAACAGTTTACATATATTTCGTGTGTTGTTCCACCGCCAAACATCTTCAGTTCGAGCTATATTTAACGATGAATAGTCATACAAACAACCCTTTTAAATCAATGATTTTTTTTTATAAAAATGCGTGCTCTGTTAAAATGGTTCACAGTCCGTTTCTTCAATGCCCATTTAAGCGGTTATTCCTTACTCTTTTATTTATATGGATATATACAGATTTAAATTTCCTTAACGACCTGGTAATGTAGCGACCACAGCGTCATCTATTGATGCAGTAGTTGAAAAAATCATAAATGAAAAATTTAATGTCGTGTTTTTTTTACTGCAGATATTGTAAAAAAATTGTGCCATATAAAAGGAAGTCTGGCTATTTCGTGATTTAATTATAATTAAAATTTAAAAAAAAATATATGAAATGTTTTATGTGAAAAATTATTTAGAACCTTAACTAAGTTTTCGAAATAAAATTTGCCGTTTCCCTACCGATAACCAATTTTTACTTCATTATCATACCTTATAGGTACATTTGTGGTTCCTGGTAGTTTTTAATGAATCCAGGCCCATATCTAGTCCCCAAAAAACAAACATGTTTAAAAACTTACGACTTTATGTGTTACTCGAAAAAATATTTCTTTAAAAAATATATTTTTATCTAAAATCTAAATGTAATTCCCGAAAATAATATTTTTAACAAAATAAGTCTTTTGAAAGCTTCCTAAAAAAATGTGTGTTTTTTAATGTACAATTGTGGTTTTTTAATGTTTTTGTTCAATAAACATTGAACCGAGGTAAGATTATCGTTGAAAATGGGAACCATCACCCTTTTTTACATTTCTTTAAATATTAAATAAACAGTCTTAGTGTACTTTTATAGCAGCCATCATTCTTTAAGGACTACCAAATCAGTTATGTTGAATTTTTTGAAATCTTTTTCCTGATATGAGCCCAAAAATGTTGTTCCTACTATCAAAGCTGGTACATGTTACGGAGCTAGAAGCCAGCAGTTGGATGCCTGGTAGGTTTGAGCAATTTCTGAAAGAAAATATCCAGCTGAAACTGACATCGTTCATCAATTTGTTCCTCTACACTACCATTGTATTATGTACTATTAAGTAAATTGTGTATGTAGTTGAGTTATTTCTTTATGTACCATCTACGTTTATTGAAATAAAACAAATAAACAGATTTAAAAAAATACTAAAATTGTGTGTCTATTTATGGACGTCTAAAAAATCTCTTAGTGGGGGTTCACAATATTAGTTTCTTAGTAACAATGACGCCCAATGTCACAATAATGGTTCCCAATGAATTTAAAAAAAAGTATGCTACAAATTTAGTAATTTCTTTGTACGGCATTGCCAGATGCAATTTTTTAATATTTTTGGCAGGCTACTTTCTATTTTCTTCTGGGCGCCTGGTATTTTTGTGAAATTTGCGCAAAAAATACATAACCAGGTGAATGAAAAATTGTGACGTCATCACACAAATTATGTTGTATCCGTAAATTAAAACAAATAGTATTTTTAGTAAATTTATTATTCTTTATTTTTTATTCAATATTCTTTGTAAAAAATATATGCATACATTTAAAAATATATTAAATATAAAATTTTAGAAATAATTTTCTTAACAACTTAGCCCACTTATTTGGACTATATTCTATTGCAATCCTTCCTTGTGGAATTTTATGATTGAGAGATGAGGATAATTCCAAAATATATATTGATCGATATTGGCGGGCCTGCCATATTTTCAAATAATTTGTATATTGCTTTCGATTGTGAAATTCGAGCATATATAATTCATAAAAACCTGAAATGAAAAATAAAAGACAAATTAAAAATATATATAAGCATTAAATAAATGATTAAAGTGATTGACTGACTGATTTAAGGATTCATCAACGCCCAGACGTAACGGCAGAAGATAGAATCTTGAAATTTTGGGTGAGGGTCATTCTTGGTCCAAAGGTGACAGGTAAGGCTTGGTTTTAGGAAATCCCTACTAGAACGGTACGAAAAGTACTAAATGTGATACAATTTGTATTTGGCGAACCGAGGGTCACTGATGGAGTGTAGAATAGATATAGCAACGGGTTTTTTGGACATTCGAACTATAAGTATGCGAAAAGTACTAAATTTAGTACAATTTCGTAGCATGGATGGATAGAGTTAAAATCTTGAAATTTGGAATGCAAATTATGGTTGAGAAGCAGGGTCGATATAAGGAACTGGCTTTGGAAGCGTGTACTTATGTATACGAAAAGTACTATATGGTACTATATTCGATACAAATTTAATTTGGAGGTACACATCGAGTTGGAATCCTAAAAATTTGAATTAACATTACCGTCGAAGTGTATGTTTGGGATATATACGTAGTTTTGGAATTTTTTTACTTATGTGTACGAAAAGTACTAAATCGTACTATAATTGGTACAATGTAGACTTGGGTGAACCGTTAGAGCTGGAATCCTGCAATTTGGAGTTACGACCTTTGTTGGTATGTAGTATTGAGCTATGTACACAGTTTTGGAAATTCGTACTAACAATGTGTACTAAATGGTACCAAATCTTATATTTGGGTGAACCGATAGAGCTGGAATCTTTAAATTTGATGTTAGAATCTCTGTTGGAGTGTAGGATTGGTCTTTGTAGGAAGTTCTGGAAAATAATTTTGTACAATTTAAATTTTGGGCGAACCAATACAGCTGGAATCCTGAAATTTGGAGATAGGGTTACTGTTAGGGTATAGGATTGGGATATGTAGAAAGTTTTGGAAAATTGTACCAATGTGTACAAAATGGTACCAAATAAGTATTTGAGTGTACCGATGGAGCTAGAATCTTGAAATTTGAAGTTAGGATCACTGTTGGGATGTAGGATTCAGGTACGTATTAAGTTTTGGAAATTCGTACTAATGTGTTGCATTGGGGTATGTAGAAAGTTTTGGAAATGTCTACTAAATGACTGTAAATTTGGTACAATTTGGATGAAAAGTTAATCGATAGAGCTGGAATCCTGAAATTGATTAATAAGATTTCCATTGGATTGCATGATGTAGGTAATAAGGGAAATTTGTACTAAATTTGATACAATTGGATTTAAGATTGAGTTATGTAAAAAGTTTTGGAAATTTGTACTAATGTGTACTAATTGGTACCAAATTTGGATTTGGGTGAACCGATAGAGCTGGAATCTTGAAATTTTGGAGTTAGGGTTACAGTTGGGGGGTAGGATTGGTCTATGTAGGAAGTTTTGGAAATTTGTACTAATGTGTACAAAATAGTACCAAATGTGGATTTGAGTGAACCGATAGAGCTAGAATCTTGAATTTTGAAGTTAAGATTACTGTTGGTGTGTGGGATTGGGCTATGTTGGATGTTTTGGAAATGTATACTAATGTGTACTAAATGGCACTAAATTTGGTACAGATTGGATTAAAAGTTAACCGATAGTGCTGGAATCCTGAAAATGAATAATAAGAATTCCATTGAATTGCATGATTTCCATTGGAAGTTATGGCAATTTATATTAATGTTTACTAACTGGTACTTTCTTTCTTTTATCCGATAATTCCATATAAGAAAGAACGCATACAAAAAATAAAACTCCAGCTTTTTTTGAGTTTCTTATCCGATATCAAATCGGACATTTCATATGACTGTTGTTGGATAAAAACATTTTCAACATTTTGACCTTTCGTTGGGGTGGTACTAAAGGGTATGCGCCGATAAGTTTGGTGCAATTCGAATAGTTCGTTCGCATGATATTACAAAATTATATTCAGCAAAATGTTGACCATTTTGTGTGGGTAGTACCAGAAGGAGTGGACCGATATTCTTCATCTTCGAAATCAATCTAGGTTTGAAATAAATATTACGATGTGCAAAGTTTGAATGGAATCGACTACTGCCTTCGAGAGTTATCGTGCGACTAGACAGACGGACATTTGTAAATCGACTCCAAATTGTCTGAAACGGATTTGGTCCAAATATACGTGGGGTCTAAATCCAATATTTCGTTAGCCACAAGGCTAAGGTATAATATCACTTGCTGACACTTCTTGCACAATAAAATTATTTTTGTAGAAACCGTTTTTGCATGTACTATATTATTGCGTTGTATAAATTTAAATTAAATGGTAACCATACAGACGGTTTTAGCGACATCTGTGTAGACGAAACGTTTGTATATTCATCAGTCTATGTAAAAACGACATTTGTTATGCAGTACAATTACATGGAACCGCATTCTGTGTTCCTTTTATGCTCACTGAACACACCTTCTTAAGCAATCACTTGAAACAGCATAGAGATGGCGCCACTGCATGGATGTGAGTTTTGCGTTACGACACTCAAAAATTAAAAACCATTCGTATTTCCATAACAACCTGCTATAACAAACCAAAAACAAAAAACACACACTTTAGTTTTGTTGATGGAAAATAAATAGAGCCTTCGACTGAATTATATATAAGACGTCAAATTTATTGATAAATTTAATTATTCTGCAAACAAGAATTCAAATAATAAGAGATATAATAACAAATTTTACCTTGTGGAGGAAATGGCAGATCAGAATAATGGGGCTGGCGATCAATGGGATAAATTGAGCAGTTACTGTTCCTCTGGCGAGGAAGGTAAGTTTGAATGTAAACTGAAGCAGTTTTGGAAAAGGGATAATCCCACATACATATATATTTAATGAAATACATACATATGTACATATATACATACGTACGTGCATATTTGTATTTTGTCTTATTTTCGTCTATTTGGTAAAATGAAAAAAAAAACAACGATTATATGCAACAGATGAAAATGTAAAAGAACAATTGCCACTAACTCCGGAAATACCCCGGCCCACATACACTGATGAAGAATTGGTCAAGCTAGTCGACTACATACAACGAATGTGCATGCTGTTTGCATTGGATCATCGTGATTGGAGGGAGGAGATATTGGATGTTATAAGACGATGGCTACTGGAGGTCAACGAGGTGCTTTTGACTTTTTTCTATGATGGAAATAGACTGACTGCATGCCTTGGCTTTCCCGTCACACCTGTATCGGATCTGAGTTATTTCAGTCGATCACCAAATCATATCTTCTCTGTGGAAAGTTTCCATGATGAAGTCAATTTCGGCACTGTCCACGAAGACATAGATGGTTGTCTACTGAAGGTGCTACAGCTGGTGTATGCACCGGTTTTTCGTAATTACTTAGATTGGAATGAAAATGTGAAGTCCCGATTCGCCCAAGCTATGGACAAATTATTGGGATATCTTACGAATATTAATTCCAAAATGGCCGGCTTGACCATACTCTATGTGCCACATGTGGTGCAGCAGATGGCACGAGACAATGTGGCACACGATCGAGAATTCGTTAAAAATATGGAATCGGTCGTTGTATTTTGGACAACACAAATACGAACATTATTATCGGATAAGGTGTTGGTGGTACCGCACGATTTGGTGGTACCCGAGGAGGAATATGAATTTTGGCTTTATAGATGTGAGTATTTCCTTGTCATTTGAATGGATTTCCAATAATGAATAAACATCGTGGTTCTAGACGAAGTTTTGCACGGCATTAACACTCAACTGGATCTGAATGATGTCCAGGATATTATCGGGGTACTACGTACTTCCCACTCGGTGTACATAAAGCAAATCGATGAGCTCATAGCAGAATGCCGCTTAGAAATGGCCGAGGCTATGTCGAATATCAAATATTTACATTTGCTGATTGAACCCTGTTCACGCATTGACAGGTGTGAGAGTCCCGCAACTGTGCCAGGCGTCTTACCGCGCATTGTTCACTTCGTACGCTACATCTGGCTGCACTCTCCATTCTACAATCGCAAAGATTTAATAACGAATCTCTTGCGTGATGTTAGCAATCAAATTATACGCTTTTGTGTATCGAAAACGGATGTGGACAAAATACTTCGAGGCAACTCCCGGTTCGGCATTCGGATGTGCAATGTGTCCGTGGACTGTTGTTTGTCCTACAAGCTGATATACGAACGAATGTCCAGGGATTTGTCTGCGAAACAGCCGAGCACAGGATGGGATTTAGACAATGCCATGATATTCAACCACGTCGATGCCTTCATAGAGAGATTGCACGATCTGATCGATATATGTGAGTCAATGATAGTGTTTGGCCGTTTGGATGAAACCGAAGATATACCCAAGCCCCGTTTCGGTGGAACAAATGGTGGGGAATTTGAGAAAACAGCTGAGCGGGTGGAGGACGAATTTCGAAAGACTTTAGACTTGTTGAAAAACGATTCCAAAGATTTGATCTTGAATGTCCACAAGAATAGTTGGTACGAAGAAGTACTTAAATATCGCAAGACTGTTCAAAGCTTAGAGGAGACCGTACAGCGCCTGATGGACAGTGCATTTCAGAGAGTTTGCAATATTGAAGAGGCTTTGGAGGTTCTGCATGCTGTACTCTTTTATTCGTACAGAAGTTCCATACGTAAAACCTATCTCGGTATGGTCAGCGAAGTTTGGACTATGTTTGCCAAAGAAATGGAAAATACGGTTCGGGCACTAATGGATCGGGTCAAACTCCATGAATCATGGTTTAATTATTATGCCTCCCGAGCGTTGGCTTATCGCATTAATTTGGAGCGTTTGCAATGGTTAAGGGATCGCCTTAAGAATTCCGAATGGCTACCTGTGGTTCCCGAGGCCAATTCTGTGTTGATAAAATTTGAACTTTTAAAGAAAGATTTCGAGAAGGAGATGAAAAAGACCTTCGATGAATGGATACGCAGCTGTGGTAGTGGCAATCTTCTTAAGCGATTGGATCGCACCCTGCTTGTACGCAGTAAAGTAAAGAAGGGTCTCTTAGAGTGCAACATGGATCGTACGGTATTGAGCATTTGTCAACAGGCGCATCATTTTGAGCAAATGGGCTTTCAAATTCCCAGCACGATAAGGAAACTCTATGAGAAGTATTCCACCCTGCAATTTGTCTATAACAGTGTCATTACGGTATGTCTTGATTACAATCGCATATTGTCGGCCTTGTCCGAAGAGGAGCGGAAGCTCTTTAGGGCTCTAATACAATCATGTGATCGTAAAATTGCTCCTGGCATATTTAAATTGACATGGGGTGGTGAGTTGAGTGATGCCTACATAGCTGATTGTGCCAAGCACACGAATCGCCTGCAAGAGTCGTTGGATATCTACAAGAGAGCCAATCGTCATATCGCCAAGATATGTGAACAAATATGTGATACTCCACTGGTGAAATTTAGCCTGCCGGGAGCAGTGGAGTTGACTGCGTTTGAGGCAAACGTCAGTGCGTATAATCGTCGTGCCACCAGTCAGATCTTAAATTTCTACAACACAATTATTGAATTGCTTTATGCCGTCTTTAAGGAATTTCAAAATGTCATCGAAGAGGTAAGAACTTATGTGAGAAAAATTTATTCCGAGGGTTATGGTTCTTGTACCTAATAAAATTTAACAAAAAATCGTTAGGTTTAATTCAATTCACAACCAAATGAATGGTTAGACTTTTCTCGATAAATAAAACTTTGCACGTAGTAATACTTCATAGCTTGTTTGGGATTTGTGATCGAGACAGAGGGTTATAATTATATCTTCTCATGCATTGTCCTTTTTTCAGATGACTGCAGAATGGTTCAACTATATACGGCGTTTTGAAGATATGCTGGCAGAGGCCCTACTAATTTGTGCCCGCAATTCTCTGAACAATGTGTATTACGCTTTGCGCTCAGAGGGTGATATAAATCCCGCTCCTATAATTATCATTTCCATCGATATTCAAGAGCAACAACCGACGCTCACACCCACCATGTCGACCATAGAAACCCTTATGATGGGTATGCTGAATCGAATCCACAGCAGTTTAGAAACCATACCGAGAATAGCCAACAAATTTGAATTGCCCAGTGAACTGTGTGGGCCACCATTTGCCAAGCTAATGAAGCAGGACGCCATCATAGCAGATATCCAGGAGAAAATTAGCATGGAAGTTGATTACAGCAAAGAGGAAATTGCTAAATTCGTTCACAATTGGACAGGTTACAGCGATATTTGGGAGTGCAGCGAAGAGGAGTTTGTCAAGCGTATCGAGCACACCGACCAGACAGCGGACATTTTTGAGGATAGCATTGAGTCGTACAGTTCCCAGGCAGAACTGATTGCCATGAAAGATGCCATTGTCAATGTTTACTTCATAATGGTAAATCAGACGTCTTTGAAGAATACAATAATGGATTGCATCGAACGATGGCAGCTGTTGAATGTGAAGCTGCTTACGAAACGTGCAACATCGAAAATAAAAAGTGAGTGGCGTTCTACTTTTTACTTAAATAGACAAGAAGTCGTATTGACTAATTGACAATTATGCAGAATTCACGGAATTAAGATTTCAATTTCAAATTTTACATAATTTTGACCACAAACCGCTAAGGGAAAACAACAATGTTCAGGGAAAATTTAAAATCTACAAAATTGATTAATTCAAGGAGTTCGTTATAGCCAATTTAAATGAAATGCAAACTGAAAATTGATACCGAAAAAAGAGTTAGTTATAAAAAAGTTCGATATGAGAGTAAAGATTTGTATGAACAATATATCTTAAAACTCTATGACCAGGAAATGTGTCCGCTATAAGAAAAGTTCGTTATAAACGTACTCGACTGTATATTACATAATATTTTAATCCATGCCTCTTTATTGTTGTGTTTCAGGTGTCTACCGCTATGTCAGACGTAATGAGAAGCGAATTAGTGTCGTACCCAGGACACTGAAAGAAGCCCGGGAAGCAACGGAACTTTTTAATCGCCTACGAGCTGAAGCACCCATCAAGCAGGATGAATTCCCAGAAATTTTGGAACTTTTCAAAGTTTTGGATAAATATCAAATTGATATTGTCGAAAACACCCGACTACTCGTAGTTAATCTGCAGTCCACCTGGGAAACTTATCTCAAAAAACTGGCAGAGGCTGGCGAAATGTTGGACAACACGAAAGAAGAATTCAAAGCGAACCTCCTACAGCAAGCAGACAAATTCCGCAACATTATGAAGGAGTTTTTAGCTGATTTTATGCTTAAATTACCCACATCTTCCCAAACGTAACGTTCTTCTAAGGTTCCAATGTGTGCGCTTATTTTTCTTTTTTTCCCCTGCTTTAGAAATCCAAAAATAGCTTTAAAATATCTTAAGATTATATCTGATAAAGTGGCTGCTTGTTTCAAATTCGAAGAAAGTCTTATCAATGATTTGGCAATATTTCGTATTAATCAGCCGGAAAATATGGACTTGAAGAAATTAGATGGGGAAGTGAAAATCGTGCAAAACATTTGGGAACTAATTCTGGAATGGCAAAATGCCTGGAATGAATGGCGTTTGGGAAATTTTTGGAAAATTAATATCGATCTCATGGAGGATACGGCCTTGGGTTTGTATAAGGAATTCAGTGCCCTGAATAAGAAATACTATCCACGCAATTGGGATATGCTTATCACGACCACAAAGAATTTGGATAGCTTCCGTAGGACATTGCCGTTGATAACGGCCCTAAAAAATCCATGCATGCGTCCTAGGCATTGGGATCGTGTCAGAGATCTTATGCAAGTGTAGGTATATATCGGTTTTCTGTATAGCAATTAGATTTATTTCCCATTATTTGCTGTCGTCTCTAGACATTTTGACGAGAACTCGGAAAAATTCACATTAGAATTTATTATTGCTTTGGACTTCCAAGCATACTCGGAAGATATTCAGGATATATCGAATGCGGCCACCATGGAATTGCAAATCGAAAATGGCATTAAAAATATTGGCAGCATTTGGCGCAAACAGACCTTTGAAATGACTCCATATCGCGATGGCATCTATAGAATTAAGAGTGTGGACGAGTGCAGTCAGTTGCTGGAGGAACATATGGTCCAAATATCGGCGATGAAATCGACCAGGTTTGTTGAACCTTTCGCAGCGATAGTAGACTATTGGGAGAAAACGCTTTCCTACATATCGGAGACCTTAGAAAAGGCATTGCAGGTGCAACGTCAGTGGCTGTATTTGGAGAATATATTTGCTGGCGAAGATATCCGCAAGCAACTGCCAAGCGAGGCGAACCGTTTCGCTGCCATAACCGATGAATTCTCACTGATATCATCTAAAATGTTTGAGGCCAAAACAGCCTTACGGGCTACGCACCTGAAGACACCCCCATTTTTACTTAATCGATTCCAGAAAATGGACGAACGTTTAGAGGCCATACAGAGGGCATTGGAAATATATCTGGAGCGGAAGAGGCAACTATTTCCCCGTTTCTATTTCATTTCCAATGACGACCTGTTGGAGATATTGGGCAACAACAAGAGGCCAGATTTGGTACAAATCCATTTGAAAAAGTTATTCGACAACCTTGTGAAGTTGGAGTTGAGGCGAGTTGGTAAGGCGATGAATCGCTGGCAAGCATTGGGCTTGTATTCCGACGACGGAGAATATGTGGAATTTCTAAATGTTATTTACATCGATGGTCCTTCGGAGAAGTGGCTGACAACGGTTCAGGACTATATGTTTGCTGTGATGCGGGAACAGCTAAAGTTGACCAGAGCTTCGTTGAGAAAACTCGCCTCGAATCGAGAAAAATGGCTTTCTATGTGGCCAGGCCAATTGGTAAATACGACATGCTTAATCCAGTGGACCACAGAGTGTACGCGCAGCCTAATCCACTGTAAAATGGTCGATCAAAAGAAGCCGCTGCGCAAACTGAAGCGTAAACAGAGTAAAATATTGGGTAAGCTCTCTGAAATGTCACGCAAAGATTTGAATAAGATAATGCGGCTCAAGGTCAACACCTTGATAACGGTCGAAATTCATGGCCGTGACGTGATAGAGAGGATGTACAAGAACAACTGCAAGGATGTGTCACATTTTGAATGGTTCTCCCAGCTGCGGTTTTACTGGCATCGCGAATCGGAATCTTGTGTAATACGACAAACCAACACTGAACACTGGTATGGCTATGAGTATATAGGCAATTCTGGCCGATTGGTCATAACGCCCCTTACAGATCGTTGTTACATAACACTGACAACGGCTTTGAATTTGTACCGCGGCGGTAGCCCTAAGGGACCCGCCGGCACTGGAAAAACGGAAACTGTGAAAGACTTGGGAAAAGCCCTGGGTATGTGGGTCATTGTTACAAATTGCTCCGAGGGTTTGGATTTCAAGAGCATAGGCAAGAATTTCTCCGGTTTAGCTCAGACTGGTTCCTGGGGATGCTTCGATGAATTCAATCGCATCAACATAGAAGTCTTGTCAGTTGTGGCCCAACAAATAATGTCCATCTTATCAGCATTGTCAGCCAAACTTGGTGAATTTGTCTTCGAAGGACAGAAGATAAAATTAGTACCCACTGTGGGTCTTTTTATTACCATGAATCCGGGCTATGCTGGACGAACTGAATTGCCAGATAATTTAAAGTCAATGTTCCGACCGATTTCTATGATGGTCCCCGATAATGTTATCATAGCCGAGAATACTCTTTACTCAGATGGGTTCACCAACACCAGAAGTTTGGCACGCAAGGTCTATACTCTGTACGAACTGGCCAAACAGCAGTTGTCCAAGCAATATCACTACGATTTCGGACTGCGGTCCATGGTAGCATTGCTGCGCTATGCAGGGCGTAAGAGGCGCCAATTACCCCATGCCACAGAGGAAGAGGTCGTCTATTTGGCCATGCGAGATATGAATGTGGCCCGTCTGACGGCCAATGATCTGCCACTCTTCAATGGCATCATGTCAGATATATTTCCCGGAGTGGACGTACCACTTATAGATTATAGTGATTTTCAAATCGCCATACAGGATGAGCTGCTGGCGAATGGACTGCAAGTAATTCCCAGTGCGGTGAAGAAGATCATTGAGTTGTATGAGACGAAAAATTCCAGACATTCCACGATGATTATTGGTGATACGAACACTGCCAAGTCCGTTACGTGGAAATGCCTGCAGGGAGCATTCGGGCGCATGAATACTCAAAAGAAATCTGGTTGGCCAGCGGTAGTGGTGCATCCTGTCAATCCTAAGGCCCTAAACTTGGCCGAACTTTATGGTGAATACAATCTGGCAACGGGCGAATGGTTGGATGGTGTCCTCAGTTCGATAATGCGTATCATATGTGCCGAAGAAGATCCGACTCAAAAGTGGCTACTCTTCGATGGTCCAGTTGATGCAGTCTGGATAGAAAATATGAATTCCGTAATGGATGACAACAAAATATTGACCCTGGTCAACAGTGAGCGCATAACCATGCCGTCACAGGTATCACTACTGTTTGAGGTGGCTGATTTGGCGGTGGCGTCACCGGCAACAGTTTCTCGATGCGGCATGGTTTACAATGACTATCGTGACTGGGGCTGGAAACCCTTTGTCGAATCGTGGCTGCAACGTCAGAAACCCGTTGAATATGTCAAATATATTCGTCAATATTTCGACGAATTCCTGGACAAAGTTTTGACATTCAAAAACTCAGAGTGCAAGGAAATTGTCAAGACCAATGAATTGAATGTGGTGATGTCGATGTGCCACTTGCTCGAGGGATTTGCTACCAAACAAAATGGCATCGTTGTGGGTAACGAGGAACTGTTGGAGACCATGAGCAAATTATGGTTTATGTTCTGTTTGGTTTGGTCAGTGGGTGCCACAGTCAATGAACAAGGGCGCTTGCGTTTGGATGCCTACATTCGAGAATTGGATAGCTGTTTCCCCATTAAGGATACCATTTACGATTATTATGTAGATCCAATGCAACGCTGTTTCCTACCCTGGGAGAGCAAACTCTCCGATACATGGCGTTTTAACGAAGAGTGAGTAGTTAGGACGTAGTCTTGTAAAAATGTGTTTTTCTTCACTTGCATCTTCTTCTTGTGATAGAGAACCATTTTATAAAATAATTGTTCCCACCGTGGACACAGTACGGTATGAATATTTGGTTTCAAAACTTTTGCAAGAGAATCACCCAGTACTGATGGTGGGCAATGTTGGTACGGGTAAAACCTCAACGGCCGTTAGCGTAATGGAGTCCTGTGACAAAACTAAATTTACCGTTCTCTCCATAAATATATCTGCCCAGGTAAATTCAATATTGTTATGATCTAAATAAAACAAGAAAAACATTTTCAGTCGGTGATACCGACAGATGCATAGCATTAGCCTACGACCTATCGTATGTAGAATACACACATGTACCGGAGACAATGGACCGGTATATGTGATAGTTGCACTAAATCGATGGTTCGTATAAACATTTAGGTCTTCCAGAATAACCATACGGAAATTTTGTGGAGATATAAAAAAAAGGATGGACCTGTTGATAGTCTGTTGTTGTTCAAATCGGATACTACAATCGCATTATATTATATCATTTAGTTTAAGTAAAGTATAGACAATTTTGTGGAGAAAGCATCAGAAGAAGTGAACCGATATACATTCGAAATCGTTTATACCGAAGGTTGAGGGATCGATATATAATCGATATGTCGTTATAAATGATACAAATAATTGACAGAACTTTTCTTGGGACTTTTGGATAAGTCGTTATAACCGATATGTTCTCATAAACGATATGTTTTTATAAAAGATTTCGACTAACGTTATTTTTACAGACCACAGCTGCCGGTCTTCAAGAATCCATTGAAAATCGAACCGAAAAAAGAACAAAAACACACTTTGTTCCCCTTGGTGGCAAGAAGATGATTTGCTTTATGGACGACATTAATATGCCCGCCAAGGACGTGTATGGTTCCCAACCTCCGCTCGAATTGATACGTCAATGGATTGACTATAAATACTGGTTCAATAGGAGAAATCAACAGAAGATATACGTGACTAACACATTGATAATGGCTGCCATGGGCCCGCCTGGTGGTGGTCGCCAGATTATATCATCGCGTACCATGAGTAGATTCTTCCTCTTAAATATGACCTTTCCCACAGAGGCTGTGATAATGCGTATATTTGGCTCGTTGATACGTCAGAAGTTGCAACCATTCGCCAATGAAGTGCGTGAGTTGTGGCATCGCATTGCCACGGCCACTATCCACCTCTACAATGATGTGGTTTCGAAAATGCTACCAACTCCGAACAAGTCGCATTATCTATTTAATTTACGTGACATTTCCAAGGTATTTCAGGGGTTGCTGCGCGCCAATTCGGAGGTGCTGGTCAAGAAGGCACAGTTCCTAAGGCTTTGGATACACGAGTGTTTTCGTGTGTTCAGCGATCGCCTAGTGGACGACCAAGATTATGATTGGTTTGTCAATGAGATGAATGATGTCCTGGGAAAGCATATGGAAGTAACGCTACACAGCTTGTGCCCCAATAAAATAGTTCCGATCTTTGGCGAGTTCATGAGTATGCAAGGCTTCTATGAGGACTTGGGCATGGATAATCTGCGCTCTTATATTAATGACCAGTTGGTGGAGTACAACAATTTTCCTGGCATGGCTCGCATGAACTTGGTGTTTTTTAAAGAGGCTATTGAACATGTTTGTCGAATTGTTCGTGTCATATCACAGCCCAGGGGTCATGTATTGAATATAGGCATTGGCGGTTCCGGAAGACAGGTTTTGGTTAAGTTGGCAGCTTTCATCCTGGAAATGGGTGTTTTTCAAATTGAGGTGACGAAAAAATACAAAACCCAGGAATTTAAGGAGGATCTGAAGAACCTATATAAGGTGACAGGGGTAAAACAAAGACCCACCGTCTTTATATTCAGCGGCGATCAAGTGGTTGAGGATACGTTTTTGGAAATACTCAACAATATGTTGAGTACCGGTGAAATAAACCTTTTCAAAGCGGATGAGTTTGAGGAACTCAAGACGGAATTGGAGAGATCGGCCAAAAAGGCTGGAGTTCAGCTGACCACTGAAGCTCTATACAATTTCTTTATGCAAAACGTACGGGACAATATGCACATCGCCTTGGCAATGAGTCCCATAGGTGAAGCTTTTCGTTCTTATATTCGTCAATATCCGGCGCTTATTAATAACACCACACCGAATTGGTATAGATTGTGGCCTCAAGAAGCCTTACTGGAAGTCGCTGCTAAATTTCTTTCAGAATTCAAAATTAATGTACCGGTACCCGGCAGAGAGGACGAAAAACATCGCGATAGTTTGGTAATGAGCACGGAAGAAACACTGCAGAGAGATGTGGCCTACGCTTTCTCTGTCATACATTCCAGCGTCATTCAAGTATCTCAAACGATGCTATTAGAGGTGAAACGTCAAAATTATGTTACGTCATTGAATTACCTGCAATTGGTTAGCGGTTTTAAGGAGATTTTGGAAATCAAGCGACTTGAGATATCCTCCAGTGCCAACAAGTTGCGTAATGGCCTTTCGAAAATCGCGGAAACTCAGGAAAAAGTTACTGTCATGTCGGAAGAACTGAAAGTGAGTTCGGAACAGGTAAAAATGTTGGCGGTAGAATGTGAAGAGTTCATTGCCATCATCGAGCAGCAAAAAACCGAAGCTACAGAACAAAAAGAGAAAGTTGATGCCGAAGCAGTGATAATACGTCGGGACGAAGTGATCTGTTTGGACTTGGCAGCCACCGCCAAGGCAGACCTTGATGTTGTCATGCCCATGGTAGACGCCGCAGTCAAAGCTTTAGATGCCCTCAACAAAAAGGATGTGGCCGAAGTCAAGTCCTATGGTCGTCCCCCTATGAAAATCGAAAAGGTCATGGAAGCTGTTCTAATATTAATTGGCAAGGAACCAACCTGGGAGAATGCAAAGAAGGTGTTGGGAGAAGCCACCTTCCTCAATGATCTCAAGAATTTTGATCGGGACAACATTTCTGATAAAACTTTAAAACGCATCGCCTTGTATACAAAAAATCCTGAATTGGAGCCGGATAAAGTCGCAGTGGTGTCATTAGCTTGCAAATCATTAATGCAATGGATTATAGCCATTGAAAATTACGGAAAAGTATATCGCATTGTGGCGCCCAAACAGGAGAAATTAGACAATGCCATGCGATCCTTGGCGGAGAAGCAAGCTCAACTAGCTGCGGCCAGAAAGAAACTCGAAGAGCTTAACGCACAACTGGCCGAGCTTTACAGGAAGCTAAAGGAAAAAACGGATCTCCTTAACGAACTTCGCTTAAAGGAGGAACGTCTGAGAAAGCAACTGGAGCGAGCCATAACTCTTGTAGAATCTCTGTCAGGCGAAAGGGAACGTTGGATTGAAACAGTTGCCCAGTTAGATAAACAATTCGAAAAACTTCCGGGCGATTGTCTGATATCGACAGCATTTATGTCCTATTTGGGTCCATTTGATACCAAATATCGTGAGATCCTTTTAGAAAGATGGACGCTACTCATCAAAGAGAAGTTAATACCTGCCACAGAAGACCTGAAGATCTCAGGCTTTCTCTCCGATGCCGTTACAATTCGAGAGTGGAATATTCAGGGTTTGCCAGCTGATGACTTTAGCACCGAAAATGGTGTCATTGTGACTCGCGGCAGTCGTTGGCCGCTTATTATTGACCCGCAAATGCAGGCCAATGCCTGGATTAAAAATTACGAGGAGAAAAACGATTTGAAACTAATCGATTCTGGCCAATTGGAGTATTTGAAAACTTTAGAAACAGCGTTGCAGAATGGAAATCCAGTGCTTCTGCAAAATGTGGGAGAAAGCATTGATCAGTCTCTAAATCCCATTCTGCGCAAAAGCTACACCCTACAGGGTGGCCAAAAACTCATCAAGTTCAATGACAAGTTCTGCACTTACAACGACAACTTCCGCTTGTATATAACCACAAAAATGACCAATCCCCATTACCCACCCGAGATATCATCGAAAACCACGATTGTTAATTTCGCCCTTAAGCAGGATGGCCTGCAAACTCAGTTATTGGGTATTATTGTGCGTAAGGAAAAACCTGCCTTGGAGGAGCAGAAAGATGAATTGGTGGTAACCATAGCTCGTAACAAGAGAACTCTCATCGATTTGGACAACGAAATTTTGAGGCTGCTTAATGAAAGCAGAGGATCACTGCTGGAAGACGATGAGCTGTTTGCCACCTTGCAGAAATCACGCCAGACCTCAACATTAGTGAAAGAGTCGTTGAGCACAGCTGAGGTAACCGAGATTGAAATAGACACCGCTCGCCAAGAGTACCAACCTGCAGCCGAAAGAGCGTCCATTTTATTCTTTGTTCTAATGGATATGTCCAAAATCGATCCAATGTATGTTTTCTCGCTATCGGCCTACATACTGCTCTTTACGCAGTCTATCGAGCGAAGTCCCAGGCATCAGATTGTCTTCGAACGTATTATGAATATCAATGACTACCATACCTATGCGGTCTACAAGAATACGTGCCGAGGTCTATTTGAGAAACACAAATTGCTGTTCTCCATTCATATGACGGCTCAGATTTTGTCCAACGCTGGTAGATTGGTCGAAGCGGAATATGAATTTATTTTAAAGGGTGGCATTGTTTTGGATAAACAAGGGCAGACTCCCAATCCAGCTTCACGTATGTGTTGGGTAATGCCCATGCGGTAATTGGTCTTGCTAACACTGTTTTCGATTGTAGATTGGATTAGTGAACAGGCTTGGGACAATGTTACAGAATTGGACAAGGTTGCGGGATTCCATGGGATTATTGACTCGTTTGAGCAGAATGCCAAACTGTGGCAGGGTAAGTTGATGAAATAACAATGCAGAAATGTTTTTGTTTTGCAGGAGAATATTGAGGATTTGTTGGCCTCATTCATTTGTTTCTGAACTTTCTTTGCTTAGTTTGGTATGCCACAACAAATCCTGAGGTTGAAGATCTCGTGGGAGAATGGAACGACAAACTTACAGATTTCCAAAAAATATGTGTTATACGATGCCTTCGACCTGATCGCATTCAGTTCTGCCTAACTCAATTTATTGTGAACTCATTGGGTACGCGGTTCGTGGAACCGCCGGTATTGGATTTGAAAGTAACATTCGAGGAGTCCATAGCTCAGACCCCCTTAATATTCGTACTATCTCCGGGAGTTGATCCCGCTCAATCACTACTCACGTTGGCGGAACAGATGAAGATGTCGTCACGGATGTTTTCGCTAAGTTTGGGTCAGGGACAAGCACCCGTAGCAACCAAACTGATAATGGACGGCATTCGAGATGGCAACTGGGTATTTTTGGCGAATTGTCATTTGTCTCTGAGTTGGATGCCGACCTTGGATAAGATAATTGCCACAATGCAGTCGATGAAACTGCACAAGCGCTTCCGCCTATGGCTTAGTTCGAGTCCCCATCCCGAATTTCCCATTTCCATATTGCAGTCCAGCATTAAAATGACCACTGAGCCACCGAGAGGCATCAAGGCCAATATGAAACGGCTTTACAACAATGTCAACGAAGAAAACTTCGATCTGGCCAATGATCCTTCGAAATACAAACGGCTTCTCTTTTCCTTGTGTTTCTTTCACACCATACTTCTGGAGCGCAAGAAATTCCTGCAGTTGGGTTGGAATGTCATTTATAGTTTTAACGATTCCGACTTTGAGGTTTCAGAAGTCTTGTTGTTATTGTATTTGAACGAATATGAAAACACGCCATGGGGAGCTCTGAAATACTTAATTGCGGGTGTAAATTATGGCGGCCATGTGACAGACGATTGGGATCGCAGGCTATTGACCACGTACATTAACCAGTACTACTGCGACGAAGTCATCAGAGTATCCAAGCATAGGTAATGTTCAACGATGAGTACCCTCTATGCCTTGCACTGACATGGCTTACACCATTCTTTTAGATTATCTTCCTTACCAAATTATTTCATTCCGCCCGATGGCGATGTCCAATCTTACTTGGATCACATACAACAATTTCCAACATTTGATAGACCTGAGGCTTTCGGTCAACACCCTAATGCTGACATTGCCTCTCTGATTGGGGAGACTCGACTGCTATTTGAAACCCTAATCTCAATGCAAGTGCAATCCTCCGCATCGGTGGGTGAGAGTAGAGAGGAGAAAGTATTACGTTTGGCTCATGACATAGCTTCAAGTACTCCGGATGAATTGAATTATGAGCAAACGGCAAAGCTTATTGGTCTGAATCGCACACCACTGGAAGTGGTACTACTGCAAGAGATGGAACGTTACAATGTCCTCTTGCGAAATATTAAAATCCATCTAAGAGATTTGCAACTGGGCATAAAGGGCCTGGTGGTGATGAGCACCGATTTGGAAGATATATACCAGGCGGTATATGAGGGAAGGGTGCCTTTGGTGTGGTTAAAATGTGAGATGGAAGAGATATATTCTCTCTCAGAAGTAATGCGCATATTTTCCAATTCATTGTAGGTTATCAGTCGACAAAGCCACTGCCCTCGTGGTCTCGGGATTTGGTCTTTCGCATTGAACATTTTTCCCAGTGGGCTAAGGTGTTAAAACCTCCGACATTATTTTGGTTGGCCGCTTATACATTCCCAACGGGATTTATTACTGCCGTCTTGCAAACATCTGCTCGTTCAAGTCGAACGCCCATCGATGAATTGGGTTGGGAATTTTTTGTTTTCGTTGAGGAGGATGCGGCTGCGGCACGTATTGTACGTGAAGGTGGTGGTGTTTATGTACGCGGTTTATATTTGGAGGGTGCCGGTTGGTTGCGTAAGGGCCAGTGTTTAACGGATCCCTTGCCAATGGAATTGGTTTACCCTATGCCGGTAATACATTTCAAGCCAGTCGAACAAATGAAGAAGAAAACCAAGGGCATCTACTCGTGTCCTGCCTACTATTATCCAGAACGCGCTGGTTCATTCGTTATAGCAGTGGACTTGAAGTCCGGTTCAGAAAACGCTGACTATTGGATTAAACGTGGTACAGCATTGTTGTTGAGTTTGAGTACATAATGTTGTTGTTATTTTAATAAAGATTTTTACTATAGAACCTCTGTCGCATCTTATAAATGGCCCAATTTAAGGCTTTGGTGAAATGTCTTTCTTTATACAAGGTTCAAACGACAAATTAAAAGACAAAAAACCGAACGATAAACCAATAAGGAAGGTTCAAAAGTGTATAAAATCAGACGAAAATGTACGTATATGGGAGCTATATCTGAATCTGAACCCATTTAAATAGACCTCACATACATGTACTTAATTCAGTATCCTATGCAAATTTTTGTCTCAATTGGTCAGATATTGTAACATGGGTGAACTATTGTGGAAGTAGACAAACCTACATATGGGAGCTATATCTAAATCTGAATTTCTTTTATATTTCAATGGTGAGATGTGACAAATTTCATCTCATTCGGATCATAGATGCTATCTGCACATTGTTTACAATTTGACATGAACCATGGGTCTACCTTGATTCCTTTTGATTGGTACAACCATATGCACAAGGACAAACCACTAAAACAAGGATATATAAAGATAATTCGATTTGATTGATTAGGTTACCATGCATTGCAGTCTTTGTTTTTTAACAGGGTATGGTGAGTAATATCCAGTTCAAACTCTCCAATATTAAATTTCAACCTGTGTAGATATATTCTTTTTTTTTGAGTGTCTTGAAAATGCTTTTAATATGATTGCATTTAAATGACTGCTAAATGACAGACAACTGTCGTCTCCCACAACAACAACAACAACAGCAACAATCAATTTGTGAATAGATAAAAAATGTCGGCGTACCACTGGCCACCACTTATAGGCTCTGCGTACGCTTTATCACCCCAGTGCAGTGATTGATTGTTAATTACCTTACAACACCAGATAAGTTTTTTGTTTCGTGCAAAACATAACCGCCAAACGTTTTAAACATTTTTTGGGTGGCATTCGAAAAATGTTAAGGCCACAGTTCGCATCGTTGGTTCTCTCTGTGGTGGTTATTACGAGTTGGGCGTTTCAATTAACCGATGCATCCAACATAGTGGCCTTGTTCATTAATGGCCACCGTTCACATTTGCTGTTCTACATATCAATCGTCAATTTGTTACTGGAGAGGGGACATCATGTGACAGTAGTAACTACACTGGATATACGAGAATTTGATGCGGCTCCTGATAATCTTAGGTGGATAAAATTATCATCGAACTACACAATATCAAGGAGATTGTCTAATTCAAATACATTCGATCAGTTGACATCAATGACGGAACGTATTGATGATACAGCGGAGTTTATGAACGATCCCACATGGCAGAAGTTTATGCAGGATTCAACACAGCATTTCGATCTGATGTTGTTGGGTTATCTATTCAACGACTATCAATTGGGAGTAGCGGCTCATTTTAATTGTCCCTCAGTTGTTGTTTGGACGGGACAGCCAATAGGATTTATTCACAGATTAATTGGCAATCCGCAAAACAGATGGTATGTTCCTCAACCCTATGACCGACACCAATACAAAGGTTGGAGAGGTGTGGCTATCGGTTGGTTTGAAACATTTGTCGAAACTGTTGCTCTGCATAAAATGAAGGAAATTTACGAGTAAGTAGAACATCAGATAACAAACGTAGAGCTCAAGTATTAACTAAAATGCGACACGGAATATGTAGTTTTATGTCTGCTTGGGTAATCGATAATTTTACAACAGTACATAAAATCCAAATATACATGTAAAAATATGTGCCAAGCTATGGCACAATTATTATTGTATTAAGCCATGATACATATTAACTGAATTTGTACGATATAATATGATATGGAAAACCATCAGCACTATTGCTGTGTTCCAAAAACAAAAAACATCTTTAATTTAACGAAATATTTTTCTATGCTTCTGATGTTCCCTTCCATAATTTTCTCAGTATCATATATGATTGGTCCTTTTCCAATTTTAAGCTTGAAAGATCATACATAAGCATATTTTGTGTGTGCACAAAATGAAGTAAAGTGTCATACAATCGGTCACATCCGAATGTAGTTTACATACTGCGTAGTGCCCCATATGCTGCGTTCAATGTTTGAATGCTGAATTTCCGATTTCTAGATCTTCTATATCTCCCGATATCTTCTATATATATATTCCGCACTATAAACCTATTATCTTTCTTTCAGTCAACACTTTTCACAACCGGACTATCCTACATTTTGGGAAATACGTAAAAATGTCTCATTGGCGATTGTTAATCATCATTCGTTGAGCGAAGGCCCCATTGCTCCCCAAATACCGGGTCTAATAGAAGTTGGTGGCCTAGAATATCGAAGAAGAAAAGAACACAGCAATTTCAACGAGCAATACGATACCGATCTCAACAACATTTTGAATAATGGAAAGGGGATCATATATATCAGTTTTGGTTCCAGAGTTAAATGGTCGATGTTGGATGGCAAATTGGAAAACATTTTCATTGAAGCATTCAAACTATTTACCAATTATACAATTATATGGACTTATGACAATGATTGCCGTACATTGGAGAGACAATCTCCAAACATCAAATGCCGTGCCTGGTGGCCTCAAACGGCGATATTGGCATGCAATAATACCAAACTTTTTATAACTCATGGTGGTAAGGGCAGCATATCGGAGGTGTATAGCCACGCTAAACCAATTTTGGGTTTTGCTTTTTTTGGTGATCAAAGAGCCAATGTGGCCCGAGTGCAAACGAAACAATTGGGTAAGGCATTGGATATTTATAACCTTGAATTGGCGGAATTAGTGGATGCCCTCAACGAACTATTAAATACTGAGAGGTATCATCGAAATGCGCGCACATTTTCTCAGTTATATCGAGATAGACCCTTAAGCAGTGAAGAAAACCTTGTTTATTGGTTGGAATATGTTATACGCCATAGGGGGGCTAAACACCTTCACAGTCCGTTGCTCGATTTGAATCTCTTTGAATATTATTTGATAGATATTTATTTAATATTTATTGTGCTTTTATTAACTTGTATACACTTGCTCAATTGGTTAGAGAGACAACTTGGTTTAAAATCATAAAAACTCACCTTTATTCTTAATACACCACACGCCTGACCCGTTGAAATCAAATACCATTGGTAATTGTCGCCATATGACTAGCTTTATTATGTAGCATTTCATATAAAAAATCGTAATTATTTATATGTAAAAAAGAAACAACAAAAATTCTTTAAAATCAAGAAAATAATAAAAATGAATGTTTGTATATGTTTCTGTTACAATTTGCATTTACATACAAGTTATTTTTCCGTTTTTTGTTTAAATACGTTTTTTTATTTTAGTATTTCTGTATTTTATACTAAATCTGTATATAAAATGTATATATTTTTGAAAATAGTTTTCAGCATTTATAAGTTATGTATAAATTATTAAGAATAGTTTTAAGTACATACTGAATGTTGTTTTTACCTTTTATTAATATTTAGAATGTTAGTAAAATACTTTTATTTTTTAATGCAAACAATTGACTTACATACGTATATACAAAATGATGATGAGTAAAAAAATGGTTTTATTGATTTCTTATTCTAAATTTTCGGAATTCGAAAAGAAAAAAATCTCTGGTGAAGCTCAGAGAATTATACCTAACATTTTAATTAAATAATATATTGTGTACTAAGATTTAAATAAAAAAACATTATTCCGTCTCAAATATCATACCATCATGTTTCATTGTTGAAGATTGATAGGCATATTACTATTAAAAATTATTAATTTTTTTAAACCGATTTATGTTTTCATTTTAGATTATTGGGAGAATTGATATATGGCAAGGAAAACAGAGATTTCTTTTATACAAAAAAAATAAAAAAAAATAATTCTAAAATTAAAAAATACACACATTAAAAACTCACACATCCGCAATATCGACAGACAACATAAAATTAAATTCAATTGATGAATATGACTAATTTGGAAACTTAAATGGTAAAAGAGTACAGATAAAATGGAAATTCGTTGGTTACTTAAATTTTGGGCTTGCCATGTGACCGATAACTGGGACATCTTCCCGATTGAGCATTGTATTCACCAAATGCACACACTGGTGGTTTACAGTCATGTTCGCTGATACATCTGCGAAGAAGACAAGACGAAAAAGAAGAAAGAGAAAACACACACACACAGTAAGTCAGTCAATAATTCAAATGAAATCGAGTTTCGAATGGAATTCTTTATTTAGACTAAAAATAAGCAGTGAAACTTACTTGCGATCTTCCAAGGAGAATCCTTCTTCGCCATGTTTGAATCGTAGGCATGTGGGATTATTGGCAATACAATCACAGCGGCACTTGCGCGTCACAACCGTGTGTGGTCGAGGCAGATGAGCATAGCGTTCAACATCCTCTTCCAAGGCACTGAAATGTCGAGGACAATGACAACTAAGCATGTTCTCTGAATAGTGATGGTATTGCGGCTGCCCTGGCGTTTTTATATCTGATCGAGACAGTAGTGTAGCTGATGCGACTGCTGCTGCGGATGCCGATTGGTGATGGTTCTTATGCTGGTGATGTGGTGGTTTTTGCAACTGGGACGCCGAACGCAGATGATGATGTTGCCATGAACCAGATCTCTTACCACGTGGCATCGATTCGTACTGCAAACTGGCACGATTGACACAATGACACTCAGTGTGATTCTGCATTGGTAACGCCTCGATTTCTTTGCGATAATTAAAGTCATAGGACTGAAATAACAAAAATGAGAGATACACCATAAGTGGCAGTAGTTGAAAGTCATTTGAATATTCAAATTCAGGCGAAGCCACTAATAAGCGAAATATGCCGGACACCCATGATCTGATCGTATTAACGTGTCCTATCGATTCTTATGAATATGTTTTTTTGTTTTGATAAAATACCAAATAAATGTTTATGGAGCCATTATCGAGGGTGGTATAGTAAGTTAATGGTATACAGTTTGTGAGGCATTTTTGTGAAAATGTCCAAAATGAGAACAATGATTTTGGGCTAAGGCAGGAAGGACTCGCAATCATTTAAAATCGACACAACATCATTTTGAAGTTATATTATTTATTTATTTATTATTTAAGTTTAACTATAAAATAGTATAAATCCTGTATGTTGCTAAATTTCATAATTCTAACACAAGTAAGCTACGTTACTCCAGCAAAACCAGCAATTTCGATCCACAAGTATTTCTCTTTTTGGCGATTTCAAGATTGTTTTCGGGATCAAAAGCAAATAAAAGTTCTTCAAAAAATATTTGCCCACCAATAGTTTTGTACGCACCAACATCTATATTTTGGCGTAGCTATTCAATTGGATATAAAATGGATATATTTATCTAAACGCCTACGGAATTACATATTCCAACTATTTGTCAAACAATTTATGACGGACCAACGGACATGGACGGCAATCAGCACACAAATGGAATTGAAATACTTACGAATACGTAGACCATGACAATTTCTTGTCGCTTGACGGTGCAGACACTGGCTGTGGAACCACAGCAGCCTGTATCATCTCCACATCTGTGCAAAATCGTGGCATAAGGCTCGTAGCGTTTCGAAGTATTATTGGAAATGGGTATAACGCGTGGCATAGGCTTCCGACACTTGGTGGCATGTATCATGCGTTGCCAATGTTCTGTGGCCAGTTCATGTGGAGTTCCTGTGAATGAAAATAAAATAAAAAACAGAAGAACAAATAAAATCATAAACATAAATAAAAACTAACAACAACAATATGCGAATAGACAATTCAGACCAGTGATGGTGATCTTTGTGAGTTTGCACTTTTAGTGTGTGGAGGAGTTGAAATTGCAACAACTCACTCGTTCGTTCCCCAAATCAGTCAGCAAACCAGCCATCTAACCGACGAGCCAGATGTCAGCATAACTCATTTCAATAGTCATTGGCACCGGGCATATTTATAGCATAGCTTGGAAATTACCTTTCCATGCGCATGGTCATGCGCACAACAACGACAACTTTATTACGAACACTTAACAATGAAATGTCCAGTCCCTTCCTACTGAATGCAGGCGGCTAACCATTGTTGGGGGCACAACAATTCTTTTGAAGTTTATGTTTTTCCAACTTAAGGTAAGGTAGAAAAAGAAACACGGCATTGATGAGGAACGGCAAGGCTCGTCAGCATGACAGCCGTGAAATGCGGCGCACGCAGGCGCTTTAACAGCCGCGTCATATAATTTGCATTTTCCAGAATAAGCTCCTAGATTCAGATCGTCTCCTTTTCTAGGTTTTCGTATTTTTGTCTTTAATTCCTGATTAGTCTGCTGCTGTGGAGGCGGTCATTTACACAAAATTATGCATTAAAGTGAAGTGAAGGTATGCATGTCCCGGTCAGTCGTCAGTTAGCCAGCCATCCAGATAGCCATTCAACAAATGAGTGCATAAAATCATTGCGTGTCTGGCCAAGTGAAGTGAATGTTTGATGGCTGCTTAGTGAGTTCCTGGTAACGGCAGTCCATTGATCGATTAGGCAGCCTGTCTATGGGTCTTTGTGGTTGGTTCCATTCGATTCTGGCATCAGCGTAATTAATTTCTAACAGTAAATACCTTTTATCCGGCAAATGTGTGTTTAATGGCCAAGGCGGATTAAGGCGCTGGCACAGCCTATGTTCGGCCGTCCAAATCAAGTTTGTCCATCAATGGCGAGTGTAAACATGTAAAAGCCCCATGAATAACAACAACAACATGAATAGTTACAACACATATTTAGTGGTCGGAGAACATAAAGGAGTTCAAAGAATTTGAACTTTGCAAATTTTGTTTGCTTGTCTTTTAATGGATTTTTATGTTATTAGAATATAAACAGCTTTCCAGAATAGCATGTGAAGATAGAGCGAATGTCCCGTGATCAGGTTTACAAAAAGTGACGAAATCATAAATATTGGAAACTAATAAAAAACGTAGTAATTAGTTCAAGTAATATCAGTCGAAAAAAAAAAACTTACACCTCTAATCAAAATTGTACTTCATATTTCAGCGAGTGGGGAGATTCAATTGTAAGTATTACGGAATGAATTGAGTTGCAGGGTTTGGAAACCTGATACAATGATGATTAAAAATTACAAAATAGTTTTTGATTTAGCCATAGGAATAAGCCACAGCCCTAAAGACTTGCTTTGTAAAATGTTACGCCACTTAAACAAAGGCCAATCACGGCAGTCTTTGGCAAATTTGCAATACTTTTAGTTTATATTAGTTTGAGGAAAAAGAAATCAATTAGGCCGGTGGTCGAAAATGTCGATAAAATCGGAGAAATTATCAAAGTTCACCGGCATGTTAGCAGTCGTAAAATCGCACAGAAGCTAAAAATCATCTATAAAACATTGTTAAACCATTTACATAAAGCTGTATTCAAAAAGAAGTTCGATGCTTGGGTGCCACACCAATTAAAGAAAAAGGATGGATCGAATTTCCATCTGCAAATCCCTGACCAAACGGAATGAGATATACCCATTTCTTAAACGGATGGTGACTGGAGATGAGAAATGGATCACATCCGATAACCCTGTGCGAAAACGATCGTGGTCAAAGAGCGATGAAGCACCTCAAACGGTGGCCAAACCAGGACTAATGGCCAGGAAGGTTCTGCTATGCATTTGGTGGGATTGGAAGGGGATTATTTATTATGAGTTGCTTCCATATGGGCAAACTCTAAATTCTGTTCTCTACTGTCAACCACTGGACCGTATGAATATAGCAATTGGCTAGAAACGGCCAGAATTGGCCAACAGGAGATGTGTAGTGTTCCGCCAGGACAACGCTAAGCCGCACACATTTACAGTGACTCGCCAGAAACTTCGGGAGCTTGGTTGGGAAGTTTTAATGCATCCGCCAGTCCGGACTTGGCACCAAACGATTCTTGCATTGCAAAATTTCTTTAATGATAAAAAATTGGTAACTAGGGAGAATTGTGAAAATCGACTGCTACAGTTTTTTGCAAATACAAAAAATCAATGCATATTTGGCTCAAATCGAACATTCCGAAGCATGTTAAATAAAGTCCTATAGTTCATATAAAAATAATGGATTTATTTTTTCCCAACCTAATATTTTATTTCTTGGATCTAGGGTACACATTATGAGGCATCAAGAGTCTCCTCATTGTACATGGATAAACTTCAATGTAAATTTTTTGTTTTAATTCAGTAGACGAGGTTTTAGGCTAATCTCTGATAGTTCTTAAGATTCTTTTTCCATTCTTTTTTTTAATTTGCTTTTTCAAAGCAAATTAAAAATTGTAATATAAATCCCCATTTTACACCTTTTCTTACTCCACTGCTATTATTTTGCAAACTAAAATAAAAGAAAGGCATACAAAAAGAGCGGTATTTTTTCATATTTTTTCAATCTAATAGTGATTTAAAAATCTAGAAAGAAATCAGATACAAAATTGTTTTAAATATAGCGCATAATGATGATGAATGACTACCCCCAAATAGCGAACCACTAATAAAATTTGACGTATTACTCGAACTGTTAACATCATAAACGTCCGTTACAAAATCTATGATCCATACTCGAATGTCATACGATGACAAAGTGTGTGTTCAATTCATGGTTACAAATATTCTGTTAATTTTGTGCCGAAATTTAACTACCCGTTGGAAACTTTTTCCCATTGCCCAAATCTTGGTTCGTCGTGTGAGGTTAAACGACTTGTGTTTAAATACCCGTCGTTTCTATGATCACGAGATCCCCTTAGGTTAAATTTACACAATGATTTCCACAAGAGCTCTTGTACATATTCTTGTAATCGAAACTGCTAACTTGAAACATGTGGCAAGTTATCATCGTTATGGCAATATTGTAAGACGTTTTCACGAATACCAATAACATAATTGAGGAAATTTTCGCCTAATACTCGATTCAATGGATGCCACGTTTGTTTGTGTGTGTGTCTGAGTGTCTTTGGCTTGGCAAGTTGCAACAAATTCATGGTGGCAAATTCCTTTGACTTGGGTGGCAAATCTAATGAATGATTTTCAAACTATCGATCGCCATCTAACAATTGATCAATTTCATAGATTGCTGCTCTGTTAGGCAGTTTGTCTACATTTATGATCTTTATAAGCTGCAAATGATCTACATGTGTTTGTTGTATATCAAAAGATTCCATAATATTATATTAGGGTGTATCGTATAAAACTCTTATACGTTATGGGGGATGGGAATGTTGAAAACAAAAGGAGTTTTTAACTCTCATATAATTCTACTAAAAACTGATAACATATTTTGTGCATCCGTATGGAGGAAGATAAAATAAAAACAAATGAAAGACTTCACGGAAATTCATTAAAATACCCGGTGATGTTGGCATTATTTTTATATCCTTTAAAATGAAGAGTCAAAATCTGAGGATTATTCTAATTCACGTTCAGCAATGTATCCTAGAAATACGTTTGATATTTCTATAAATTTTTATTGTATGTATTTTTCGGCACCCACCAATGTTCGACAATAACGTCAGTAACAGCGAAAAGCTGTGCATCTTAACTGCCCCATTGCAGCGAATGATAAAAAACAGCTTTCTCTAATTTGCTTGAGCAAAGCGACCAGGCAAAATGGGCGTTCAGTCTCTGTAGGTAATTGAGGCAGCAGGCACAGATGCTCTCTACAGATGGCCAGCAAGAGTTCGGCTTAGCCAACACTGGTACACCGTTTGAGCTATTTGTATATGCAAACGCGTCTAATATGTGATAAGTGACGTTTTATGACTCTATTTTGCTACATTGGCACACTGCTAGGCTCGTTCGGCGAAATCATTGCCTCACTGGCCCGTTCGATTGGTTCGGTTCGGATCGGATCGTTGTTATAACATAAATTATTGCAGCCTCTGCTGATAAATTGGACTTCGTGTGCCGGCGCATTGGGCACATATATTTTCTTCGGTTATGATATGTTCGAACAGCAATTGTTGCTGCGTTGTTAGGAGGTATCAGCAACAGCAGCCGTCGGCCGCCAGCTAAGCAGCCAACAATGTTTTTGTTTTATGGACATCATTTACATATCCACAAATCCGCAATGCAATGCCCCCGTATCGTATGACACACACTCGCCAATCACCGATCAAAGTGTCAATTTTCATAAGAGTTGTCGGATGGGCGGACAGACATATGGTGACAGTAATTAAGAGGATTACCTAAACATCGAACTAAATATACAAAATACAGCCATACACAGACACACACACTGAATTTAACAGGTTATCAATAGTGTTTTGGCCACGATTACAACTTACAGGAGCAATGTTGGCAATTTCTAGTGACGACTTAAGATTGTCCGCCTGAATGATAATGACAAAGTCAGCTGTTAACATCTACGAGTATGTCTGTATGAATTCGAATACGAACAGCTCAGTTCGGTTCATATCAAAATGCCAGACATTTAGGCAGACATCCGTACCAGAAATGACGATTTACCAAAATGGCAGGTGAAAAGTAAAATTGCCTCTATGCGAATTGAAATAACCCACTTTGGTTGTCAGCGCATCTCCATTTGGACTGTCTCTTTCTATGGACGATTTAGGCAAGTCCATAGATTTCATGCTTGAAATAAATTCGGAGTCCGTGTCATGCGTCTTCTTTTGGCAAGCATTTGCCTTGTCACCACCCAGCGTCCATTTGCGAAACATAGAATGAAAACGGTGACAGTATTTGCAAGTGACATTACCCAGTGGCATACATGAGCACAAATGCAGCACACGCACACACACACACACACATACATATATAAAACTTAACCATGCATGAATATTATATTTAAAATAGATAAATTCTCAGGCGTTAGAAATCTTTAAATGTTTTCCTTTAAGAAAGAGGTTGCATACATGAACAGAGTGTTGCATATGAATATTTCAGCCGGGAAGACAGGGTATACTATTGTCCCAGTAATTCAGTGAGATGAAATATTAATTCGTGATTTTTAGATGTGGTTCGGAAGCTGATTGGTAATTGAATCAATTCCTGTGTAATTGTGTATTGAAGTTGTGACTTCAGTCATTTTTGATTATGACCTCTCAGTTACGCTCTCACACCCTTACTCTCAATTTAGTTCTGTTCAACACTGTCGTAGATCATCAATTTAATCTCTTTGTTGAGATATACTTTGTCAATCGGATCTTGTGAGTAAATTATTCTTTTAATGCAGATTAAGCTGTAAATTTTTTGGGTCTGGTCGCACTGATATTCCAGAGTATGATATGTCAGCGTATACGTTATATATTTTTAACTGCACTAATAAAGTATACGTTACTGTAAAATATGTCATACTTTTGTCGTCTACTCCGTCTACTTACGAATATGCATATTTTGTTTTATCTTTTTTTATACCTTCCGGATAGCCCCATATAAGGGTACCTCCAATTTCCGGCATTTTGGGGTTCTTGAACGCTGTAATTTGGTAATTGTTAGTCGTTCGTAGCAACAAATCTTACTTCCAAATATTCGCCCTAAGCCCCATATAACCCCCTTTTTTATATTAAACTAGTTATCTGATTTGTTCCGCCTTTTTTGATTTATCCCCATATGGGCGTATTCCACCATATTTTGTACTCGAAAGTATAGTATTCTAATTCGATTTAGCCAATTTAGCCATATGTTGCAATCATTCTACTTTCGTAGAATATCCTAATAAAAAACTAGAACGCCAGGTTCGAGAATGAAATATATCAGCCCGAATTTATGCCTATAATGCCCCATATAATGATATCTACCGATTTTCCGTATTGAGGTATATCATTCCTAAATTAGGCATATAATGATAACTCCAAATGTTCGGTAATTCCTACACGATGTAATGTCCCGCTTTAGGTATGGCCTCATTTAAGTTTGCTCTCTAAATTACAGCATTTTGGGGATTTTTTTCTACCCATGTTCCACCCCACCATTCGCCGTCAAAAGCGGTCCACATTTTGGGGTTTTTGTGATTTTAGGAAAAATCTCCAATCAAAATTTTTAAAATTTGTATTTGATTGCGAAGTTATGATTATGAAGTTCATTATTTACTCTGATAAGTGTCTGTTTCTCTTCGTTCTCTTTCATTAATCGTTTTTTATGCTGGACTCTTTGTCATTCATACTCATTCATAGATTTGATTACCTTTAGTAGAACATTGATCAACTTTTGTAGTCGGGTTTTAACTCCCTATGTCAGCTCTAGGAGTACAAATAATGTACTGTCAGCATTTGTAAATGCGTAAATTAACTCTTATATCTCCCACATTGTTGTTCTTTTGCTTCGTTACACTCTTATATTCTACGATAAATCAAGACAAAATGATAAATGCCATTCGATTGGTGTTCTTCGATTCATGTTACGGAACTGACATGTTAATTGATTTACGCTACTCCTTACAAAAGACACAGACACACAATCATTTGCTCTATTTCAACGCTGCAGATTGACAATTAGTTGTAACTGTAGTAAAATTATGCACATTGTCATCAATGCAACTGCATCCAGTTATTCTTCATTCATCCATTCAATTGTGTGCAAACATTGTATGCTTATATATGAGTGTGTGTGTGAGTGTTTACAAATGTAATTGAAACGAAAAGTCAAACGCCTAACATTGCAACAAAACTCATCTCAGGAGAGACGAATGACAACAAAATCTTGAAAATTACTTGGCAATTATTTGTGGTTACGGTAGTCGTCGTCGTCGTTGTCGACGACAAAGTATTTTCTCAATGACAATGACAGCAACAATGAAATATTTTCTCATTTTGTTGTGTGCCTCCCTGTCTCTCTGTCGTTTGGTTGTTGGTCGTCGTTGTCAATCCCGAGTTCAGTGTCAATACCATTCATGAATGGTTTGACAATTATCAACCTGAAGATCAGCTGCAATTCCCCCCTCGACAAAGTCATTATTGTCCTTCCCTCCAACTCCATTTGGCATGCAAAAAAGCATGATTCATCTCGGTGTTCAATGGTCATGATAAATGTAAACGACATGCCGGCAGTATTGAACCACGAGGAAGCTGGTGATCATAATGATTTTGTGTGTATAGATTCTTTAGAAACAAAAACTGAAAAAAAAAAAATTTGCTTGATACATGTTAATGGCCATCCATGTCATTGGATTTATTGGGGAGGGTAGGAAATTAAGGAGTAATTGGGAACACAATATTGTTCAGATGATATTCTTTATATTCAAAAATTTAAAGATTTGCTACAAATCGGGCACAAAATGGGCTAGTAAGACTGTTTATAACTTTTTTGAAAATAAATAAGCGTAATTTTCTAAGTTATTTTAGCCACGAAAAGGTGAACTTTTCACAGACATTGATGTTGAACTTAGCATGTTTTTTTTACTGGAAAATCATAGTATTCAATATAGTTTGCAAGATAAAAGATCTCCCCCACCAAAAATGTTCAGAATGTGTCCATATTTTGAAGTAGCTAGCCATGCGCTTGCCTTTAAACATTTTGTGCGGAAATTATTTCTACCACCCCAATATGCATTATGGTATTGTCACAACTCGTCTTGGTCTGTGGTTGCAGAGTGTGAATACGATAGCAAGCTAAAAATCAGCACAACAATACTTAAGCCATGTTAATGATTATGTTCTCGTGGTTATATTATCTTTGCCATTCGATGTGGTTTGCAGACATCTAGCAGAAAGAATCTTAACTTGTTTTCTTTTTATTTCTTCTTTATGCACCTCTCTTATGTCGTTGTCAGTCCACCGAGATACATTGCTATTCAAACAGATGTTCCTTGTGATCACACGGATGATGGGAGGAACAAAAACCATGTATTTTGTAATGCATTGAAGTGTGTATGACAAAATCTGTATGTATGTGAGTGAGTACGTGTGTGTATGATTGAACGTTGTTACAACATTAACGGTTTACTGTTGCCTGATAATGCCTTTTTTCATTTTCCAATTGCTTGATTTGGAAAACAGAGGCGATAATCATTGGGAATCTTTCAAATTGACATGCAACGAAATAAGAGGCTTTAGACTAAAGTAGGAGCATAAGAAGAATTTCTTTCAGATTTCATGAGAAAATAATTTAGAATTTGATTACAATGTTTAGATTAGTTGATAAAATATGAATTTGCAATCAGATATATATTATACAACTTGAATTCATGTTTCCAATATGTATATATTTTCGAAGTAGAAGGATGTAGTACATTAACATAATACTTGATAATTTCCTGAGTAACTCGGAATGTGTTATCATAACCTACAAATGTTCTAGGGTCAATAGTAAAATGTCAGACTGATGATAGGCCTTACTGGATAGGATCTACATCGGCATTGATTGCAGACGAATTCTACTGTAAATCTGATCAGATACCCATTGTAGATTTTTTTCGACATTTATGGAAAAAATAGGACGTCTTTTTTGAAACGTGGAACAGTTGTTTTTCTACAGAGAAAGTTTTCAACATTTGCAGTTATCTTATATTTGTCTGATAGATTTTTTCCTCAGTTATCGTTTTAAGGAACTATGGTTAAACACGAGGACACTTCGGAATTCAAACATAAATCGGACGAAAATCGTAATTCTCATCGAGCATTCTTTTCGGTTTAAAAATGAAAGTTCCAAGCTTCTGGAAAATTCGTGTATAGTTTATATTTTAATGCATTCAACGTATTACTATAATAAAACATAATTGTTAATTAGGCCAATATTCAACACTCCATACTAAATCATTTGTATTGTCATCAGAAAATCCAATGGAAAATTAACCCATAAATTAAACTTTATTTACGAATTGTTGCCACAAAATCATATACCCAGACACCAGACAATTTAGCGAATCATTGACGATAAATTAATCTGTTGCAGGCATATCTTCATCACGTCTAATTTGAATACCAAGCAATTAAGACGACATTCTTCCAATCGTGGCCATTTAAGGTCCGATACCACATCTGGATAATAAAGCACTGTTTTATGAAGCGACAATTAATTACTCTTTAATGGAAATAAAAAAAGCGAACTGGCTGCAACAATGGACAATGTCTGAATGCCTAATGAATACCACTACATACAGGCTGGCATTCTGTTGGTGTGCGTGTGCATGCAGCACGTATTCATTCATTAACTCTTTCTGTCAGTTCGTCAGTACGTCGATTCATTGATTCATGGTGCAAAACGAGAACTGCAATGAAATCCATTTTATTCGATTATGACAAACGATACTTACTTGGCCTCTTTTGTTCTTGAATGTAACGTTCGCGAGCCTGCTGAACGGCCTTTTCATTGCCAACTTCCAGGTATTTTTGATCCGTCAATACACCGGGTGCATCGCGTTGCATTTCGTTGTCGTCGTCATCGTCGACAGCATTGCGATAGGGTTCATCGTCGACATAGTCATCCTGCAAGAAAGCCAAACATAAAGATAATCTATTACAAATATCAATGACAGCATTTCAAGAGGTCAGTGTAGCAGGCGCTTCATCTATTGGCCAACCCACTTGCACTTGGAAAATGACACAATTTACAATGGAATGGGTAGCAGCTGCAATCTGTAGTAGTAGTTGTTGTTGTTCGTTTGTGTGTTTGTTTCTATTTCACAGACAACAAGAACTACTGACCACCACAATGAGTGAAAAATGATTGCAGTGATAACTGGGATTGTTGGAGGTGGCAGTGCCAGTGTCAGAGGAGCGGACGGACGGACAGTCATTGCTTATATCTGATAAGAAGGAAGCAACATTGCGATAAAATTCCAACCACCCAGTGCGACCCATTTTCTAAAGTTTCGCCATTCAGCAAAAATCATCAGCATTACAACTACCATCACCACGAGCAGCAGTAGCTCTGGTGGATTATTTATCGTTTCCCGTGTATTGAGCACTCTCGAGTGGAATCACTTCAAAGAAATCAATACTGCTGAAGCTATTCCTGCCACTGACTTCGTTGTTTCAAGCAGCAATAGCAGAGAGTATCATTCAAAGGAAAACCAGTAGTCAAGTACACAACAAATGGGAATCACAAGTGGGAATCTACAATCGATGAACTAACAGTTGTTGTTGTTGTTGCTGTTGGTCAAAAGTAGCTTTCGTTCTCAAGTTACTGTAACCAGTTGGAACGAAGGTTTTCCAAATGCTTGTCTTGTGACGTGCGAGGTGAAGGTAGATAATTCACATTGTCAGAAAAACAAGAAGAAGATGTTGCAAGTGAAAAATTTATTAAATGTTAGAATGAATTTAATACAAAAATGAAATAAAAAACTAACAAAATCTTTTAAAACATATAGTAATGTGGAGAAAACAAAAAAATTAAATTTCTTACTTTCTTTGTTTTTCGGCAATTGCAATGCAATTAACTCGTTACGTCCGCAAGTTAAAAAAAAAACAAAGAAAGAAGGAAGTAACCTAGATTTTGCACGGCATTCATTTCGAAAATGAATGCCCCACACTTTACGTCCTTGGGTGTAAAGTGTGGAGAAAGCAAAAAAAGCAACCTTTAATAAAACTACAATGCAATTGTGGACAACCCTAAATGTATGCATTTAAGAACACGAAGAAGACGACGAAATATTTTCAATTTAATTAGAATAGTATATTTAATGTTTCAATTCCTTTAAAAAAATATTTGTTACATTTCCAAATACCAAGGCAATAGCATATATTTATCTTCCATATTCTTTGATTTGAGTATTCTTTATTATTTGAATCATTGGATCATATACAAAATATGATGTAGGTTATAATACAGGCTTTGGTTACTTCCTTACAAGTTTTTCGTTCTAAAAGTGTCACACCTTTTTTCATTGCATTACCATGTCTAAAAATAAAACACGGAATTTCCGGAACTCACAGGGAAGCCAACATTAAATTGTCGTTAAGGACCAACACATTTTATTTTTGTTGGCAAACGTTCAACGGTTAGGGTCACAAGTGCTTGAAAATGAAAATGTTGAGAATAAAATGTAAGAGTTTAATTGTCACAAATACAGTAAGAAAATCACACTGAGCTGTTGCGGTCCAACAAAAGACGAAATTGTGGGTTACTACCAGGAAGTAACACTAATTACTTCACCTTTTAATGGATATAAATAATAGAAACAATTTGTACACAAGTAGCATATGCCCTCTACTTCGTGATGTGAATGAGTGAACTATTTAAACATGTCTTAACATATTATGTTGTTTTCATAGAAAACTGTAAATGACCATAATTAAAATTAGAATACCATGTATACCTTATACAGTCCCACCTTCCTTTCCAGTCCCACCAAATGCATAGTAGAACTTTTCTTGCCGTTAGTCCTAGCTTGGCCACCGTTTGAGGTGCTTCACCGCTCTTTGACTACGATCGGATCTTATGGATTTCTTTTTCCCCAAACTAATATAAATCCAATAAAAAACTATATTTTCCAAGCCCGATCGCTTCACCGAAATATAATTGTACCATATAATCAGTACCATTTAGAACACATTAGTATGAATTTCCAAAACTTTTTACATATCCCAATCCTACACCCTAACAGTGATCCTGACATCAATTTTCAAGATTCTACCTCAAACGGTTCACCGAAATCCACATTTGGTACCATTTAGTTATATTTTCAAAACTTCTTACATCAGTTCAGCCAAAATTTTAATTGTACAAAGTTTAATTCACATTAGTAGCTCAATTCTACCCACCAAAAATTACCCTAACTCCAAATTTCAGGATCCCAGCTCTATAGTTTCGCCCAAAATCGAATTTGTACCAAATATAGTGTCATTTAGTACTTATCGTACACGTAAGTAAAAATTTCCAAAACTACCTACATTTCGCTATCCTACACTCTGACGGTAATGTTACTTTCAAATTGTAGGATTCCAGCTCCATTTGCACCTTCAAATTAAAATTGTACCAAATATACACCATATAGTGCTTTTTGTATACATGAGTATACGATTTCAAAACCATCTCCTTATAACGACCTTAATTAATACATACCCAAATCCTACACCCCAACATAAGTAAAAATTTCTAAAACTAACTATATATCGCTATCATACGCTCCGACGATAATGTTTATTTCAAATTTTGAGATTTCGGCTCCATTTTTACCTCTAAATTAAAATTGTACCAAATATAGTATCATATACTACTTTTTGTATACATGAGTACACGATTTCAATACCATCTCCTTATATCGACCTTAATTCGCATTCCAAATTTCAAGTTTTTAGCTCTACTAAATACCGAATTTAGTACATTTTAGTATTATTCGGATACTTATAGTTCGAATTTCCAAAAAAACATATTTCGAATTTAAGAGTTCTAGCTCTATCTTGGCGAGTACTTTTTTTGTCGTTCTAGTACGATTTTCCGAAAACCCAGCTTTATCTGACACCTTTGCATCAAATTTCAAGATTCTAAATCCAGCAACTTCATGTGGGCGTTGAAGAATCGTTAAGTCAGTCACTTCTTCAGTGGTGAGTTATTTGGAATACCATTTGTACTTTGATTTGCAAGAAAGTCAGGCGTAATCCCAGTTTGTTGTTATAACAACAAATATTTATTAGTGGGGGACGTATGACATTGTCCACCCAGGGGATAAGGCAGGGAAGAATACAGTTTCGGATCTCGCCACTGATCCTCATCAGTTATCTTAGTTTTTGTTAAGTAATTCCCCCAGAAGCTATTTATAGCTTCTTTACAAAAAAAAAAAAAAAACAGTGAACGGAGCAGTATAGTCGGACGGGGCAGACCATACGATACCCTACACAACTACCACAGAACTCTATCTTTCTGCGGGTTTTTATTCCGAGCCTGGGTAATATTTCGTGTTGTTTGCACCCTCTTGCCCAATTAGAGGTCAACAGCTCATCTTCCGTATACTGACATATTTTCCGAATTTTACTAATATTCAGTACAGCCCTTCTAATTAATTGTCCATATTCCCTTTACCGTGGGTTGTGTTGTGATGTTCGGCTTATAATTGTAGCCTCTAGATTGAATCAAAAAAACACAAAAAAAAAATAAGTTTTCGGTTCACTTTATCCCAAAGTTATTATCTGATCATCATCGAAAATTATAGGCCATAACTGGAATCTCTTGGCCATAATTGCGGTCTCTGTAGCGACCAAAAATACGGAAAAATTAAGTATTTAGTCCATTTTATCCCCCAAATATTAAACGATCTTTACCAAAAGCAATAGGGGTTTTCATTGCGCCGAACCCTTCCTACATGCAAAATTTCGTAAAGATTGGTCCATAACTGTGCCCTGTATCGTCTTTACAAATTATAATGGACAGACGGACGGACACTCAGCTAGTCGAGATATGACGATCGGTATACTTAAAGGTGAGGCTGCTCAATGCTATAATACCCTGACAACATAGTTGTGTAGGGTATAAAAACATTTTATACCCAAATGTCTTTTGTAACAAATCGAAATTGTTGTAAAATAAGACTACAGTAAAACTGAGAGAAAGGGAGCTTTTTTACTGGAAAAATTCACTCTGTGAAAACAATGGAAATTATTGTATAGAGATGTATTCCTCAAATATATTTATTTTTTATTTGTTATAATTACACTACTAAATACATATATTTATATGTAAAACAACTCTGGGTCACGACTAACAAGTTTTACTCGAATTTCCATTCTTGTGTACCAATATTTTAATATGCAATTTTCAAATCAACGCCACAATTTGACAAATTTTTCACATATTTATTACTTGCCATAACCATTTTCATGTTAATGAAATGTTGTGCAAATTTGTCAAAAAACTCTTAATTGAATTTCAATTTTAGAATTCATGAATTATTCACAAGACAGATGAACAAGCTGCTATTTGTTGCTACAGTTGTAAATGTTTTCGTCAACAGGAAAAAAAAACACCCACCAAAAATACCAGTATAAAATTTGCAAATCAAGAAAAAAAAACTATTTATTAAAACAAGTGGGTGCCACGAAAATCTTGAATTAAGATTAAATTGATTTTAAGACTAGGTAGTCAGAAATTGTTTGTAAAGTAATTTGGATTTGGTAATCCTAAATCAGTCATTGAATGCTAATATAACAAAGGGGAGCGAGGTAATTCAGCGAGGCATGAAGTGGTTATCAATCATTATCCAGTTATTGATTTGTTAGACTTGTGTCCCCCTGGCCAAATAAATCTACCAAGTTTAAGAAAAATTTCTTTATCGTAAATTTTATACGAAATTGTCCAATTGATATGTATTCTTTGTTGTGAACATTTACCGAAAATCTAAACGAAACATTAATTATTTTTTTGGTTAATTTTTATTGTATTTTTTGTAATGAAATATTGTTCTGACATAAACTGCTGTTAAGCCAGTTTGCAACATGCATCACACATTGTACAAAATGTATTATGGACTTGCAAACATACATTATTGTCT